ATTTGTTTAATTTAAATTCTAAATTTTTTTTAACGATTTATTTAAGACATTCAACCACATGACGCAGATGAGCTATGTTTTTTTTTTTTTTTTAACGAATTAATTAAAAGAAAATGATTTAAGTTTTTAATCTATTTTTACATTTCGTGTCAGGTTTATGTACAATTTATTTTTTACTTTTATAAGTGAATCGGATTTTGTTTGTGCAGTAAGTGGCATTGTGTGGGGGCCCCCTTTCTGCAGCTTTGTGAGATTAAAAAAGTGTTGAATTGGGGGTTATGGAAGGTGGAAAGGGACTTTTTTTTTTTTTTTTTTTTTTTTACCCCAAATAATTTAAGAAAAATTTTATTTTAAAGCTTATTTTTAGTCTCTGGTCAAATTGTTGGTTACGATTCTTGGCTAATTTCTCCAGGTACATAATTTTATTTTAAATACCGTTTTAGTGTTTTATATTCAAGGTGCCAAGAAAAATCACTCCATTCCATCTTTATGAATTTTTGTCATAGTCGTCATTTTACTGAAGCTTCAGGGCAGTTGGTTGTAATAATTTAATTGATTTGAAAGTGTAATAGTTTTTAAAACTATGAATCTCTAAAAGACAATTTATTTTAAACAAGTACTTAAAGATATACATTTTTAAAAAAACTCCTAGTAGTTTTTTTTTTTTTTTTTGTGACAGTGTTTTACTTTTATGAAATCGCTAACAATTATTAGTTTAACACAAATAAGGAGTCAGTTCCTGAATGAATTATTATTCTAGCTAGCTAGAATAACAGGTTTCAAAAATTCAAATGGAATTTGCAAACACTTATCTACAAATTTTTCTTATCGCTTTATGGCAAACACTTGTTGCAATTTGGACATTTTGTGAAAATTATATGCACCTATTTTGATTATACAGTGTAACCTGTAATATAGATTGATTTGATATAGCATTCATTCACTTTTTTTTTTTTTTTTTTTAAATTATGCTAATGTTCACCCAATACAAGGCCCAAGAACCACTCAAGGTAGTGTTATCGTGGTGTTGTATGAGTGTAAGAAAGAGCAAGAAATGAAGTTCATGGGGCTATGCAGGTGTTGCAGAATTTATGCTAAGTAAGATGTGTCAGAAGGTGAAATTGTGTGAAGGACTAAAATGTGCGTCTACATTATGCATTGATCTGCAACAAATAAATTAAACGAATATATGAAGACAATACAACTTGAAGAAATCAAGGAAAAAAAACAACGTAGTTATAGATTTCAACAATAACATGAATTATATATATATATATATATATATGACATACACAAAGTGATGATAGGTTGCTTGTTAAATGTGGCAAGTGAGATAAGATTGCAAAGAGTGTCCATGCAGAGATTTGGTGAATGAATGTTGATGGTTTAAGTTTGTTTGTGAAATTAAAACAGTTTGATTTCTGCAAGGTAAAATGTCAATTGTGTGAGTTCAAATACTAGTGTGTATGTGTGTGACAATTGTAAGTGTTGATTCAAGTTATGAAGAGTTGTGTGCCTTTGACTGATATGCTAAAGTTGATTAAATGTACAATTACTATTTCGTAGTGATAATGTCACTTTTTTAGTAAATTGTAAGTTAAATTTCTTCACGTGGCAATAGTAGTGAGTTGTGTCGAGTTGATGAGAGGCTGGTAGTGTTATTGAGTCAGTGTGTTGGCATGCATGAAGTCTGCTGGCATCTCTCAAAACTCAGTGTCTGACTGACTTGAATCAAGTCAAGTGATTCTTTCTTATAGATTTTTTTGGTTTTCAAATAGGCTCCAGACAGCTGTGTGTGTGGGGGGTAAAGGATTTGTCTGAACTTTTTATATTTTTGTGTCGTTTTAAATAATGGGATGGTGATTGGTTAAAGGTTAATTTGGGGAAGAGTGCATCTTCCCATAGGGGGTGACAGGCAAGTATGGAGGATTCCATACAGGAAAGAATGGTTAACCTTAGACTTAAAGAGGTCAAGATTGCAGTGATTAAGAAAACATCCTGCCAGGAGTCTGTTCTACAAAGCAGCATTTCTTGGGAAGTAGCTGTTCGAATGGAACTTATTGGAATATGAAGGCAATGAGGGTGATTCATACTTGTGTGTATGTGGCATGGCAGGTCCCAGTTGTAAAGGTTAGAGGTGGTGGGACTAAGGAATGTAGCTTGTCAGAACATATGCCATGGAAGTAATAAGAGAGCAGTGAGAGACTTGCAACAGGAAACGGGTTGTAAAGTGGAAAATAATGCAACACCCACAAGTCAGCATAGACACTTTTAAACTCTATCTAAATAGGCAAGTGAGGACTGGGCAACTCCAGCCCAGCTAAAGCAACAATAATCCATTTTTGGTCTGTTTTGGCTCTTGTAAAGTTAGAGTATAATAGAGGGAGTAAGATACTTACAGGAGAAGGACAATGGACCAACCATTTCCTGTAAAATTGGTCTTCTCGGTATAACTTCTCTTCATTTTCATTGTATGATGAATATCAAGACAGCATGTTTTTCTGTATACTTACTTTTTGGAAAGTAATTTTAATATATATATTTTTTTTTTTAACTGGGGAGCAATTTTAACAATATTTACATTATTTGGACTATTGTCCTCATCTTTGTTGCCATGTTTATTACAAAGTTTTGGCTGATGTACGCACTGGCCTTCTTCAGGTGTTTGGAATGTTGAACTGAATCATTTATTTTACTCGTTGGGATAGACTGTTCTAGTTCCACATGCCATGTCTAATGGATGTCACTTATAAGTTATCTCCTGTTAATTTCCCTTTCCAAGTTCTTCACTGCTTTAACCAGGTATTGAGCTCCCAAATCTTTGGGTCCTGTCACTGGATCTAACCAACGCCTTTATCCACTGTGCCATGTTTCCTTAAGGACAATTTTAACATTACTGTCTTTGAAGTGTATAACACCATATATTGTTTTAACTCTATTATAACACAGGGCAACATGCTTTTCGTAAGTTTAAATTTATTAGAAAAGAATTTGAAAATTGGTGCCCTTGAAATTAATTACCTTTTTCTATGAATTTTACCTGACATCTAGATTATATATACAGTCCCATCCAAAAGTATTGGAATGACAAGGCCAGTTCCTATGTTTTTGTTGTTCACTGAAGACATTTGGGTTTACGATCAAATGATGAATATAAGGCAAGAGTTTAGATTTTCAGCTTTTATTTTCTGATATTTACATTTAGATGTGTTAAACAACTTAGAACATACCTCCTTTTGTTTGAACCTACCCATTTTTCAAGTGAGCAAAACTATTGAAACATGTGACTGACAGGTGTTTCTTGTTGCCCAGGTGTTGCCTTTTAGATTGATTGTTTAAACATTAAATTGCTCTGAATGACTACTCTTGGTTTTAGCCTTGCGTTTCACCTGTAAAGATAGCATTTCTTGTTAAAAAGGGTAAACCAACATGACGAGAGAGCTGTCTATGGAAGAAAAACAAGCCATTTTGAAACTGAGAAAGGTAGGAAAATTAATCCAAGCCATTGGACAAACATTGGGCATTTTCAACACAACAAATTTGGACTGTCCTGAAAAAGAAGGAAAATACTGGTGTACTGAGCAACAAAGAAAGAACAGGTTGGCCAAGGAAAACAACAGCATTTGGTCACAGAAACATTGTGAGAGCTGTGAGGAAAACCCCCCAAAACAACAGTCACTGACATCATCAACAACCTCCACAGTGCAGGGGGGTGAAGGTTTCACAATCCACTGAAGAAGACCTTGAGAGCAGAAATATGGTGACCATACCATAAGATACAAATCACTCATCAGCAGTAAGATTCAGAAGGCCAGATTGGAATTTGCAAGGAAGTACAGAGTGAGTGGCAAAAGTTTTGGAAGAAAGTTTTATGGACGGATGAGACCAAGATTAATTTCTACCAAAGTGATGGAAAGACCAAACTGTGGAGAAAGAAAGGATCTGCTTATGATCGAAAGCATACAAGCTAATTTGTGAAGTATGGTGGAGGCTTGCATGACTTTCTAGAACAGGGTCGTTTATATTGTGATGTAACTCATGATGGTAGCAGCAAAATGAATTCAGAAGTCTATAGAAACATTATGTCTGCCAGTTTACAGAGAAATGCAACCAAACTAATTGGGAGGAAGTTTATCATGCAGCAGGACAATGACCTATAACATTGCTGACACAACAAAGGATTTCATCGGGGGGGGACAGTTGATCACTCGACCATAACCCAATAGAGCATGCATTTCATCTCCTGAAGAGGAGACTGAAGGAAGAAACCCTCCCAAAATAAACAAGAACTGAAAGAGACTGTGTTAAAAGTCTGGAAAAACATTACAAATGAAGAATGTATCAATGAATTGGAGGCTTGAAGCAATTATTGCAAGCAAAAGTTATTCAACCAAATATTAAATGTTATTTACTTTAAGACTATCTTTTCCTTTACTTTTTGCTCACTGATACAAAAGGTGGTATGCTAAGCTGTTTAACACATATCAGAAAATAAAAGCTGAAATTCTAAACTCTTGTCTCATATTGATCTTTTGATCTTAAACCCAAATCCAAATATCTTCAGTGAGCAACAAAAATAAAGGAACTGGTCTTGCCATTCAAATACTTTGGGGTTTGTATGTATGTATGTATGTATGTGTGTGTGTGTGTGTGTATATATATATATATATATATTGAATGTGAAAATCTTGCAAATTTCTTATTAAAGGAGCAGGCAGGAACTTTGTGGGTGTCTAGGTGCTTTTTATGGAACCGAGATCACTTAAGTGGTTTGTCATACTTCTACTGATAATTGACATCATATACCTACCTTGTCTTTCACATTCAATGAAACTTGCACAATAAACAAATTGATGCCTAAATATACAAAATATATAAAAATAAAGGTCTTTGCTTTTACTTGAAACTGATTTTACTGTTAAAAGTTGGTTAAATATTTTGATTCCCCCCCTCCCTTTAAACTGATTTCAGAAGTAGCAGCCATTTTAAAGTGAATTTCAATGGACGGTACGGCCAGCACGAGTAAGGAGGATGCCTCGGAATCAGGCACACTTCTGGACCAACCAAAAGAATCCTTAGTACAGATTCTACTGACTCTGGGTTTCACTCGAGAGGAAGCTGGAGAAGTAAGTATGAAAGTAAAATTACTATCATTATTTCTTTACAATTATATGATTTAATGTTGTTTAATCTATTGTACCCAAGAGCTTGGAACAGGAGAATAAAATGATACTGTGAAGTCAATTCTCGATGCATTATTGAGAAATTGATTGAATTTCTTAAATGTTTCATTTTCCCTAATCATTATTGTAAACATAAATTATTCAGCTTACATTTTTTTCTCCTATTCTAAGCAGAAAATAATAGAATGTAACTTTATGTATATTTATTGGTCACACAACCTAATCTCTATTTACTAATGAGATATGCTTTTGTTATGGTAATAAGAATTATTACTCTGTACTACTTTGAACTTATTTATTTATTCATTTTTTTTAAAAAAAATTCTTTCACCTTGACCAAGGCAATAAAATCCATAAGTATGCAAGGGATTACTGAGAGTAAAAGACACAAATGACAAAAAGAACAGGATTCAAGGAGATAGAAAATGACGATTGATATTGCATTTAAACTTTTGAAGTTTTTAGATGACAGGACAGCCATAAACGAGAAGTGTAAGAGAAGGAAATGTTAGCATAGACCTTATGGTTACAACTAGCAAATTCAATAATGAAATTATGAGTTGCCCATCTAGAACTGCATTTGAAGTTGAGGCACTTGGAAAGCTAATAAGAACAATTACTGTGAAAATATTTATAGAAAAGGCAAAGGGAAGCTACATTATGGCAGTGGGAAAGTGACTGAAGCTGAGATACTGGGTCAGAACTGATAACATTGCAGATTCTTTGGATTTTATCAAGAATATCTTGCTATAAAACAGAAGCACCAGACAACTATGCACCAGCAATATTTTTTGCACAGACAAATAGTAGACTTAATGGTATATCTCCTTATTGTGAACGAGTTGCTAATACACTGCTTTTTATTTTGTGTTCAGTTCATTTGAATGTTTTTTTTACATTTTTAATGATTTTGAATATTTTTTTTTTTTTTTACTTAATGTTTCTTTCATACAACAATAGTTAATTGCATAAATAAAATCATTGATTAATCATGCAGAAAATATAACTAATTCAATGACTTAAAGAGAATTGTCTTTTTTGGCAATCTGGCTAAACTAGTTAAACATTAAAGAAAGATATAAGTTTAATATTGGATCGCCTTGCAATGACTGTAAATGAAACATGATAATGTCGGTTATCAATTACAATGAGAATTACAGTAACTTTATTTTTAATTTAGTATTCTCTATTTGTTCTTATTTTTTTTGTAAAATTTTTAATCAGTAAAATTATATTAACTAATAAAGTTTGTAGTTTTTTGATTTCACTTTTAAAATATTTACTTTCTAAAAGGAAAGAAATGGGTCATTCTGTGTTCTCTTGCTTAAATTCAGGAAATGAGTATTTCAAACTTTTAGCTTTTCAGTTTCGGGTTAGAATCAAAATGAATGTCATAAACAAAAACATACTTGAAATAAAAGTTAACATTTGTGGTGTTTTTATCATGTAATTAATAATGCCATTTATAGTTGAATATAATTTTGATAAAAAGGTTATTCTGTTTTTTAGTCATTAATAGACTTAGTGTTATGCCATAAGCACAATTATTTGGATATTTATTTGACTGCATTAACTTTGGCAGACAGTCACATTTTTGGAGTGCCTAATGAGAAGTGAATTCATTGTCACTTGTTTGTGATATGTTAACAAATGCCCTATTGTGAATGCTTTAGTATTCCTATACTATTAAGTGAAGGAGCTTTTGGTTTTTCAAAGTCATATTGATCTCTCTACCATCTTATTTTTAAGAGAAATCTTATAAATTCCTTGAATGTTACAAGAAAATGACAGAATTATCATCCACACCTTTTCAATTGCTCTCCCCACCAATTACAAAACAATAATATTTATTTTTCTTAATTGTAAAAGATGATCATCACCTATGTATTTTATCAGATGATTTTTCTCTCTTCTGTTATCAGCATGGCTTTATAATTATTTCAAGCTATGCATTTTTTCAAAGGGATTTACTATTAGATAATAGATTAGTATGAAATAACTGTTAACTTAGGTCAGTTTTGAAAACCTTCACTCTTGTCTGGTTCATATTGCTATACAATTATGTTTCTCTTGGAGATTGAGGACATAAATGTTGCACTCCAAAAATTACCCAATTGTTGCTTTACACAAAAAAAAGTCTGCATCTTATATTAGGATTACTGGTACTAAAGATTAGAGAGATAAGTCCTCCTCACTCCATAGAGACAGTATAGGGCCACAACCTCCCTATGCTTTCTGTGGTTTCTGTAGCAAGTAGGCTTTTTATGAAGTGGAGTTGCTAGCTCCCTAACCAACCCAAGAAGATTCAAATGTTATTCTTCTCCTAGATGAGATACCAACCAAGCTAGAGAAACCAGTTTGTACTACTATTTAACCCACAGATGGAGGAGAGGAGAAATGGATTAATGCTTTTCCCCAGGGTATTTGTGCAAAAGTGAATGCAACATTATCTGGAATTTGAACTTGATATGCCTATCCCACTCTCTGAACTGATAACCACTATGCTGTGTACGCATTCATATTGTATATTTGATTAACACCTAAATACTTTGACATACTAGGTTCCTGGTGACTTCAGAATCAAATATACCATATTTGATGACATCCAAGACATTACACCAGAAAAAAAGTTGGGGAGGGCTAAAAAAATTTACCCTGAATCTTATATGTAAAGTTGAAGCCTGCCATAGTCTAATTTTATCTTCAACATTTACTACCATAGACTATAATTTTATCTCCGTCATTTCTACTTATCCCATCTCTATAATATTATTTACTTGCATGACATTATTCTTATTATTACTAGCACTGTCAAAGGAATTATCATGACAGTGTATCAGCTGATTCATCATGCCTAAATCTGCCTCAACACACTCCAATCATTAATCAGCTCGAAGCAACAGAAGAAAGACATGTAACTGAATTTAAAAAAAAAAATCAATAATGAGAAAATATAGCCTTAAGGCTGCAGAGAATATGTCTGTCATATGAAGTAGCCAAAGGAGATTGGCTAGTGTGGGGAGAGGATGTTTACATGTGGTGAGTGCACTCTGTAGAGTCACTTGGTACTAGGAGATACAACACTGAATTTTATCCTCAAGAATATGGCTACAACAAATTACACTACACCATTCTCTACACACTATAATTGATAGGCAATGTTAAAGAGCACAGGAACAGAACAGGAGCAAAAGGTTTGCTCTAACACCAATTGAAGAAGAAAAAAAAAAAAGAAAAGAGGGATGCATTACATGTCTGGTGACATCAAGATCAACTAAAGTGAGCTAAAAAAAAAGATACACATTGCCCAGACCCCACATTGGCTTGAATTTGGTGTTTGCATAAAAATGTGTGTGGCTGAACAGAGGAATTCATGGAAAATTATTTCAAGCAAAGTGAAGCCTGGGAGTTAAGCCAAAGAATGAATGATTCAGAACTTTGCAGGATCAGAAGGGTTAGGGTTAATGGTTTATAAAATGGCAAGGTTTATAACTGCATACAAAAACATCCATTCTGCAGAAAATGCCAGCTGATTAGGAAGAAAAAAAAAGTATTAGGATTTCATAAATTTGTTATAAATGCATGAAAGGAAATGTTTTGAACTGGGCCAAATAGGGAACATTGACAAAGTTACATTAACATTTGCTGTACTATCAAACTATGCTAAAAGCATTTTTCCTGAATATGCCCTATTGAAATTGGTGTATGTCTCATATAGATGTTTTTTTTGTTTGTTTTTTTTTTATGCTGTCTGTTACAGTATATGATTATAAATGCTTAGATTATGATTAACAATCAAAATTATGTTAAAATGTAAAAGAAAAACTATGAATGGATAATGTGTTGAATATTATTTTTTCTTAAATATTTGTGATTTATAGGTTCATATCTTATACAAGGTCTATCTAAAACCAACGGGACTCTGTGTGATGTGTTCAGCTCTGGGTGAATGAGGGATAAGCAGATTGTGTTATCATCTAACGTGATAACTTGGGACTATATAACTGTAATTTTTGCTTTCTGAAACCATTGCATTTTTTCACATGCTTTTGTGGAAGAACAAATCATAGCTGCTCCACCACAACAATACACCTACTCACAACGTCCAGAGCATCCAGCAGTTCCTGACCAAGAAGAACTTTGCTGTACTGGAACAACCTCCCTATATTCACCTGATCTTGCTCCATGAGGGTTTCTTCTTTTCCCCAAGCTCAGGGGAATTATCAAGGAGACCCATTTTGAAGGTGTGGATGCCATCAAGAGTACTGTAAAGATGGAACTGAGGGGCATTCAAAAAGAATCCTTCCAGCAGTGCATAGAAGTGTGGCAGAGAAGGATGGAAAAGTGCATTACTCGAGTGGAGGTCATTTTGAAGGGGAAATCATGTAATTTGTTATTTGGAATTTAAATTGTTTGTGACACCAGTCCTATTACTTTTCAGACATATCTCATGTACGTATATAATAATCAAGAAGAAAACCTTAAAGATTCATTTTGTTTATGATTTATTTGATATATATATATATATATTTACGAAATAAATTATAACCAAAATGGATCTTTAAGGTTTTTTCATCATCATCATTATTATTATTTCCTTTGATTTCTGGTGTTTACACATTTCTTTTCGGGTCCTGCCCAGGGACCTAAGGTTAGAAATGGCATCATGACTCTTTCCACTGACAAAAAAAAAAAAATTACATAGATAAAGCCCTTCGTAAAGTGTGGGCTGTACTTGTCAGAACAATTTTTTGTATCTCTTTGAGGCATGGGCTTCCCGGAATCCCTTCAATTAGTCTACTGGAGTCTTTTCCAACCAATCCTAGTGCTCCAACTACAACAGGGATTGTTATTATTATAATGATGTTGATGCTCTGTAGTTTACATTGAGTTCTTCCTGGGTTAATAACCTCCTTGGAATTATCCCTACCAGTCACAAACAAATTATATATATATATATATATATATATATATATATATATATATATATATATATATATATATATATATAGTAGTAATAATCTTATAAGTATAAGAAATTATACTCATCCGGGAAAACCTTCAGTGTCTTGATTTATGTTAAACCAACCAATACCAAAGGGGGAAAAATAGGTATAAAAAAAAACGAAAGAACCAAGAACATGTACATCAGCCGAAAATAATCGTCTAGCATGCAAGTAATATATATATATATATATATATATATATATATATATTTTGGGTGCCATGTATCTTGAGGCAATCATGGCCTTCCACAGACTCTCTTTTCTTTATCTGTAGATTGGAGGGATAATGGAGCAGTTTCCTGTTGTTTCCTCCATGCTTTTGAATTCAAAGTAATCACTTTCCTTGACTGACTGCCACCCAAAGCTAGAGGACCCAGTCTACCTTACTATTTAATCCATAGCTGATAGAAAAAAATGGTAGATTCATGTCTTTTCCAAGAGTAAATGCAGCAGACTAGGCTTGAATTTGAACTTGTGAATTTCACTTTCTGCACCGATCACCATTACACTTGCCATAAGTTTTCTGTTTATCTATTAAATTGATTTAAGGGGAATACTTCCAGTTTGTTAAAATTGAACTCAAATTTGAAACCAAATTTTTTCATCATTCAGTTAATGATTTTTCTCCTGATTTTTTTTTTTTTTTTTTTTTCCTAAGGGATTATTGTGTACAGGGAACAATGATGCTGACATGGCAGCTTCTTGGATATTGGAAAATAGAGAGAGCATGCAGACAGCTCGTGTCTTGGTAAGTATGTCTATGTGTGTACGTGGATTGCAAAGGAAATATTTGTTGCAGATTACTTCCACAACAAAGAGAACAAATTGCAAGTTCAACTTCAAATATCAGAGGCAGAAAGAAATGTTGAAATCTTGGTTCGCAGATCATAGGTCACAAATCACAATGCATGTAACCAGTCAGAAAAATGACTCGCTCACCAATGAACACAGTAGCCAAATACACAAATTTTTCCTTTGTTCTTCAATTCGAGAACACCAACGCTTTTATTGACCGAGCATTTTTTTTTTTTTTTTCATCCATTGACAACTGGGAGAGGAATACATAGCATATCCAAAATACTTTCATGGCCAATCCTGCAACTGGCTTGTTCTTAAATTGAATATTCTATCTTTAGCATATGCAAAGTATGTGTCCTTATTTTAATTTTTTTTTTTTTTTTTTGGCAAGTAACTTTCTTTTTCAACAGATTTTCCATTGTAGGATACACGCAACACGCTATTGCTTGATTTGACAAGGTAATTCGCAGTTTTCTTTGCTACAGTGTATAATTTGCATTAAGTTAATGTTCATTTTGTCATTGCCTGTTGAAATTGCTTTTTTACCAAATATTTAAAACTAGTTGGACCTATGAAATTTGCATGGATGTCAACAGCTAAGCTTATCTCATGCTTTTGTCTCTATTTTTACTAATCTTTTATCATTTTCTTATGTAAACATGGATAAGGTTCATATACAAAAAAAGAATGAACAAATGATTTCTGCTATATCCTCTCTCTTCTATTTATCTTTTACCCCATCTTTCCGTGAGTAATTTAAAACCTAACACAATGTTTGCACCTTTCCACTTCTGTGTCCCTTTTCAATCTTTTGCCCAGTGTCTCTTGATATCCGTCAAGCAATCCTGTCTTTAGTCTCTGTCTCTTCCCCAATCTCTCTACATGTGGCTATTTATTTTAATTGGTTTTCTTTTCTTTCTTTCCTCTGGCCATTCCTCCTTTGCATCTTCTTCCTTCCCCCCTACCGCTCCTTCTGATGCTTCCTCCTTTGTATCCTCTCCTCCACCTCATTCTTTCCTCTGAACATTCCCTCCCTCCATATCCTTTTCTCATCTCCATTTTTCTCTCAATTGTTTTTTTTTTTTTCCAATTCCCTCATGTAGATTCCTTGATCAGAAAATATGACTGATTTCAACTTGGAAGAGTCAGTGATTGTGCAGATACTACACTCTGATCCCAGGTAGAAAAGCTTCATGGTTATGCATACAAACAAGTAGAATAATAGACTGGCTTGAGATTTTGGTTGTGTAATATATTGCATAACTTTTATCTGCTTTGCACTGTCAACACCAGGTGTCAGTGTCTTCATTATGACGCTGAACTAGAAAATGAAAGAACTTTGTCCTTACAAAGTACAATAATAATTATTAAAAAAAACAAAACTTTACAGACTCTCATATAAAAACCTGACAATGGTAAGGACTTAATAAGCAATCAATTTCACATAGGCTGTCCTTTTTACTAGTATGGGTAAGTGAGTAATAAGATCTTTCCTGTTAATCATATAAATAGACACTCAATCTTGGCTAACATCAATAAAACAATTGGCATTTGTATCTATAACTATTATTCTGTTTTACATTAAAATTCTTCATTCATATTAAACATGTATTTATTATTTGAAGAGTTTATAGAATTAAGGGTGGAGCAGTAAATTGTTCCATGCTGATAACCAAAAACTAAAATTCAGGCATACCTTTCTAATTTTTCTGTTTCATTGATAAAGGGCTGAGGAAAATGTATTTGATTTTACTATCAAGATGTCTTCCCTGTTGTTTGCATTTTTTTTTTTCTTCTTCAAATATTGGATTCACATTGTGATGTAGCCACGATTTCATTAACCACATAGGCGTAAGGCTAAAAAGCACCCCAAAGTAAAATCTCGAATTCTAGTCGAAAATTAGTTAGATATAAAAGAAAAATAAATAAATAAAAATAGATAAAACCAAATGCTTTCAGCTTGTGAGCAAATATGTTCTATGATCAGCCATACCCTCCTCTTCTCTTCACAAATTCTTTCCTCTTTACCTACTCTTCCACCCACAAGCCAAGGTCCAGTGAACTTTGAAGTGACCCGACACAAGAATGACCTGGTTCCAAAATTTTGCAGCTATCAGACCATAAGTGAATTCCAGGCACCATCAGGATCTCCTGTTGCGATTCACGTGATCAGACCATACTAAGCGTGGATTGAACTTTTGGCCATCACACAAAGACTGCGTGATTTGCGCCCCATCCTCCTGTGTACCCGGTCAAGGACAAAGGGAACCCACATGACTGTCTTTGGGGACAGCAAAAATCTAAAAAAAGGATTTTTAGTTTTCCTCTGACCAGCAGCAGTTGAGCGTTGCTGGACAACTCGTCCCTAATCCAAACAGACTGCCCACTAAGATGAAGAAGACAAGCAAAGCCTGTCGACTAGGGGTGAAAGGACTGCTATGAAACTGAATCAACCCAACGAAATGCCTGTACGAGATGCTGTGGACCCCTGAACACTTGCGAAAGAAAAGGAATCCAGGAAAATTGCCAGCCGACCAAAATATTGTTGTAGCATAAGAACTCTCGCTTCGGCGAATCAGAACTTTGTGTGAAAATATCAACTCGAATGAAAGATAAGTTGATTCTCTTGGTTTGATTTGTTTTTATATATGTATGTATTTGCTCGTGCCTTCTGTTCTTTAATGGTCCCCTTCCCCTTTGTTAAATGAATTTTCCTTTTTTTTTTTTTTTCTTTCTTTATCTGTTTATATATTTATAAATAAATGTTTTATTTTGAAATCCATCGTCTGTTTTTCATTGACTCCCTTGTGTCGCTTCCATTTCTGAGTGAAGATCGAGAAAGGATCCCATGTTTTCCTATTTTTTAAACCCATGGTTTATCTGTATGCTACAAGTTTGTAACATGTATTTTAAAAAGGTTTTGATCTTGTTTAATTCTATAGAAGCAGATACGTTTGCCTGTTGTCCTGTTTACACTCCTCTTTGGTCTTTTATTCCTTGTTTCTTGTTAGGATTAGGCTTCAAGTTCCTTCTAAAGTGTTTTTCATTCTCTTTATCACTCCCAGTGGCATCTTAGTGGTGTCCACCCACTTGCTTTGGTGGGGTGGGTATGATTTGATTTTAAAAATAAAAAAAAAATGTTCTTGTGGGACTCTCTTCCAACTGTCTTCTTTCCTGTCAACTACAATCTTCAAAAATTTAAATGCAATGTCAGTAAATCTAATCTTGTGTCTCCTTGAATCCTTTTTTTTTTTTTTTTTTTTTTTTTTTTAAATTGTCCTTTCTGTTTCTTTCACTCTAGGTAACCCCTTGCATCTTAGTGGCTTTTATTGCCTTGCTTGGGGGAAATGATTAAAAAAAAAAATTGATGTTAATTTAATTATCTTATATACTTGTCTTATGAAAGTAAAATATCTAAAGCAAGCTAAGATGAAATGAAGATAAAAAAAAAATTTTCCTCACTTTTTATTGAGGTATTCTGTTATGATAACATGAACATGTTTGCTTATCAGCATAGTGATGCCTAATTACCATAGCAGTGGAATATCTCATTACTATATTTTCTTGTGTATAATACAAGAAATTTTGAATGAAAATTAAAGGCAAAAAAGGTGAGGAGGGTCATATTATACATAAGTACATACTTTCAAAAACGTTTACTCAACTTATAATACCCTCTTATTTGAAACATCAAGATTGCAAATACAATAGATAACAAAACCCAAATATACAGGTCTTGATAACAATTGTTTACAAAAGGCATTTTTGTCTCGAAAACTGGAAATTCACTGAAATTGATTTTTAAAATATTAATAAAGAGAATGCACAAGATCAGTCATGTTTTGTTGATATTAATGTTACCACAAAACACCTTTCACTGAAAATAAGTTTTTAAATGGGAATTAGAAGAAAAAAGCAAGCTAAACATTTACTTCATCTCTATTCTTTAATGTCATAACAAATGTTTTAGTGAAATATACATATGACATTAAGATTTTAACAGACATTATGGTACAACTTTTAAAAAAAAATTTACATAAGGATGGCTTTACTGTAGGATCGTATTATACTCAAGGATGTAATTTATTCTGTTTTTAGGTTAAGAAACTGTTGTGGCCAGAAATAAAGACACAGAAGAATTGAGTTAAGAAATATATTAGCAGAAAAACAGTAACACAGTCATATACAAACGAGCAAGAATGTTAAGTCCAACTGTTGACTGCTGGAAACTACCTCTTTCTAAAAAGCAATACCTACTTTTATTTGTAACTTGGGAGAGTCCATCTCTGTATGGGTAATTTTACTATAACAGATGGGTTTTAGGACATGTGATGTGACAAGTCATTTATTTTCTGCTTGTATTATTTGTTGCATTGATTTTTAATATTGATTTAAAAGTTTTTGGTGTCCAGCCAACTTCTCAAAATCTAATCAAACCCAAATCTTGAATTTTTATTTTTTATTTTTTTTTATTCTTTCTTGCTCAGGCTGAGAACTTATCAGTGCTATTACACCCATTATGCCAATGCACTGTTGTTGTACTGAAACGTTTCATCAGCTTGGCTTGTTCTCAAATCCTGTTCTGTAGAAAATAGTCTTGTTTAGCTATGATTAATGGGAGATGGTTGAAGAAATTCTCTGGTGTCAAACTTTTTTAATTTTTATTGTCATTACAATTAATTTTCAGGATGTGGTATTTGAACAAGAGCAGATGGGAAGCTTATTTGATTGTGTTGACATGTATAAAATGGTGATAGCTGTGAACAGTGAATTGAAAATGGGACAAGGCAAGATGGCTTCCCAAGTGGCACATGCTTGTCTTGGAGTCTATAAGGAAATGGTGCAGACTATTGATAAATACAGCAAAATGCTTTTTGCTTGGCAGCAATATGGGTGAGTTTTTCATTTAATTTTTTTAAAAATTTCATCTTTGTCATGATGCCAGAAGTGTAGTCCACCCAGTGAGGATCACTCATTTTAATAATGATCTGTGAGACTAGGTTGTTTAGCAAGTTTGGACAAGCAAGCATAGCATTCTGACTTCAAAACAAGAACCGAGTCAGGTGAAATTGGCTAGGAAAAATCTTGGCATGCATTTGTGTGCTTCTGCCTATAAAAGGAGAGGCCGGGGAAGTGTTTTGCTGTCATTCCTAGTTGGATTGAAATCAACATTTTATTTTAGATTTAGGTTCTTAAGTACTATTGTGCCAGAAGTCATGGTATAGTTGCGTTGTATTGTACAGAACACCAGCCTACTTGGTATAGTGCAACAACTTGAGTAGTAGCTGGAATACCTCTGGAGAGATGTTGAGCCATACTGTCTCAATCACTGTCCACATGTCATTGATATTTGTGAGTTTAAGACTTTGTATTTTAATAGAACTCTCCACTACATCCCATAAATGCTTGACTGGGCTCATGTCGGGCAAATGTGGTGGCCACACCATTTGTCAGAAATCTCCAGAATGCGCTTCAAACCAGTTCTGTGTAACTTGGGTGTGATGACCTTATGCATTTTGGAATAAACATGGTGCAATGTAGCAGAGACTGGTCAATGAGGTGTTCAGGTGACCCAATCTATATTATATGAATACATCCCACACAACTATGTACACAGCTTGTACAGCACCTTGTTGATACTTGATGTCTATAGCCTTATGGGATCTGCATCATGCCCAAACCTTATGAACAATCTGAAAAAACTGTAACTCATTGGATGTCACATGTTGTCAGTCTCCCAGGATCCAGTTTGTAATGAGATGAGCCTAAGTGAAATGCTATGGTTGGTGTTTTCTTTGTAAAAAAAAGTAGCTCTTCTGCTCTGCTGGAAGCCAAAGAGCACTGAGCAGACTAGACTGATACATGCCTGGCACCATCTGCATTGTGTGTGGATGTGACTAGAGCCCATGCCACTTGTCTCTTACTGCAGACAATTACAGCCAGATGCCTCTGGTTGTGATCATTAACGACCCTGTGCTGCTTTCAGATGTCAGATGTTCCCAGAACACAGATGACACCGTAGTTTTATGGATGGAGATATATATATTATTATTATATTGAGCATTTCACCCCAAGCAAGGCGAGAAGCCACTAGGACGCAAGGGGTTACAGAAGATTTGGAGCAAGATCTGGAGCAAGATCAGATAGGAGTGATAGAGGAAAGGATGAGGAGAAGGATAGTGGATAGATAAAGGCAACTGGGGATGTCGATTGACATTACATTTGAATAGTTGGAGATTATAGCTCTCAGGGAAACTGGAATAGGAAAGGGAGTTCCACAGGCGAGAGGTGCAAGACATGAAGCTATTGGAGTAGAAGAGACGGCTACATTTAGGAGTTTCGACAGTGAAAGGGTGAGAGCGGGATGCCAGCCTCGTAGGGCGCTTGAACTCATGAAGTCTGGGAACCAGCGAATGCAGCTCCTCGGAGCAATTGCCATGAAAATATTTGTAAAAAAAACAATGACTGTAGACGAGATGCCAGAACAGGGCCAATTATATTGCATATCCGCCTCTGGAGCCTATCAAGAACTCAGAAGGGGCTCCAGACCATATATGGCAGCAATACTCCATGCAAAGGTGAATTGTTGATTTGTAGATCTGGAGGATCAATTCCGGGGAGAAAAGTTTCCTGGTGTGGCACAGGGAGCCAACTTTCCTTGCGGTGGAGGAAGCAATTGACTCAATGTATTTGTTCCATCTCGGGTCAGCAGTCAATGTGAGACTGAGCAGCCGCAGAGAGGTGCTCTTGAAAAGTTGAGCATCAGACATTCTAATGGAGGGCAGGGAAGGATCTCTGTGGTGATTAATAGAGAGCAGTTTTGTTTTTGAGGCATTAAAGTTGACCAGCCAAGTCCTGCCCCAGTTCACAACTGATTGGAGGTTCTTTTAGAGATACACGGCCAGGTTATTTTTGTCACTGACACTAGATTTGTTTTTGAGGCAGGAGTAAATTGTGGTGTCATCCGCGTAGATGCCAACTTGGGAATTTATGGTATCAGGAAGGTCATTTATGTAGATAAGGAATAGAGTGGGGCCTAGGATGGAGCCTTGAGGAACACCTGCGTTCGTGGGATAGGAACTGGAGGAGAATCCGTTGAGAACAACCTTCAATTCATGGTTTGACATGAATGATTGTATTAGGTCAATCAACCCGTAATGCCATAACCCTGGAGCTTGCAAAGAAGGCCAGCATGCCAAACCCTATCGAATGCTTTGGAGATGTCTATGGCCACAGCACGAGCTTCCCCGTTGTTTTGAAGAGCTTGGTAGACAGTTTCAGTGATGGCCATAAGCACATCAGCTGTAGATCGGGCAAAGCGGAAGCCATATGTAAAATGTTCTTGCAATTAATGGAATGAACCATGTTTGGCATCCAATATCATGCCCTGTTTAAACTGATAATACACATCACCTTAGCATGAGTAGCCTTGCTGGTGTTCATGTCTACTTCACAGATGTCAGAACACAACTGATATAGTCAAGGTAGAGTAGCACCACCTGCCATTTCCATTACATACTGCTCCCTCATGACTTGGTACATCAGTGTATAATAATTTTTATGTCCTGACACTCCTTAAGCATCCCCCCCAAAGAAAAAGTGAATACTGATAGCTTGTCTCTTGAGCAGGAAACCAAGACAGGACAATCTCAGCGAAACTGGGATATATGATTAGCTTATCTATACATAAAAAAAACTGTATATGCATGTAACAACACTTAATGGTGTGCACAGATACTATACTGAACCTAATTGGCAGAACTGCTGATCCATTTGTAAATAATCCTGTCATTTTCAGTGGCTAATATGTTTGTGTTTAAAATAATAAAGAATACTCCTCTTTAAAGCTAAACCTGAAGTTGCACTTAAGTTCTTATTCTAAATGTAACGTTTAAAGTTGCCTGAAAAAATTTATATGATCATGTCATATTAGATTTGCATGTTAAGATCATTTGTAACAATTTTTTTTTTTTTTTTTTTTACTTTTTTATTAGCTACATGCTACATTTTGTAAGACTAGAAAAAAAATCTTTGGGGAAATTTTAATATTTTTGTAATTTATTTGTATTTCCATCACTTTCACAAATCTGACAAATTGTCGAACGTAAAACGTGAGACAATACCCTTGTTCCTTTTAATAACTTCAGGCACCAGTTTAATCAGAAGTCAGTTATTCCTACTTTTGGCCAATTTCTGTTTTTCTCTCTTGATATTTCAGAGAAACAATTGTGGTGGTCAAAGTTGATAAAACAGTGAATTTGTTGGAACTTCGAGATCAAGCAGAGACATTAAGTTTACCACATTACCTCGTTCAAGATGCAGGCCTGACACAGGTAAATTACTGGCTTCATTTAATTCATACTTTTTCTTATGTTACAAAGATTTATGCTGAAAATATCTTTGCCTAACCAAGAACACTTTCAAAAAAAATAATCTGTTTACTTGGTTAGATTTTGGGAAGTGGACTGGTCTAAAATCTTTTCGGCATCCCTTTATAGTATAAAAGGAAAACAAAGTAATACATGACTTGATTTAATTTCTATTAGAAAGTATAATTTATAACTCCAACACTGTTCCTGTTTTGTTGATCTGTTATTCTCTGACCCTACTCTACCAAAAATTAAATGCCCTGTATATTTTTTTTCTAAGTGTTTAAAAAAAAAAAAAAAAATGATTCTATTTTTTTTTTTTTTTAATTTTCTTTTTGTTATTGAGGGAATTGTAATGATTTACTTATTAAAATTTAAAGAAATGACATTAATAAATAATATTAACGTCTAGTCTTTTTGAAAACATTTTTTCTATGCTTATTTATAAATCTTATGCTTTGAAATTTATTTAAAATAAATTACCATCATTATTTCCCAAAGTTACTTTAACATTTTTTCTCTAATATTATTGTTATTTATAAAGAACAAATGCATTCATAGAATTAATTTTTTTTTATTAGTTGTGATTTTCTTTAAAGTAAAATAAAGAAAACATTAATTAATGCTTAGTTTAATTTTTAAAATTTTCCATTAAAGTGTAATAGAATCAAATGTCCTTATTACAAAATTACTGAACACTCCAAAATTAATGAAAGTCATTTTAGAATGTTTTTATGTAAATTTAATGAATGTCATAATAAAATTTAATATATTTAATTTGATATTCTAAAAACATTGTGAATGAAATATTAACCATGCTGCTCAGTCATTTTTTTCAGGTTCTTCTTCTAAAAAAAAAAAAAAAAAAAAAAAAAAAACTTATTTATTTACTCAAGTTGATCATGAAACTAATTTTTGACACAAGGAAGCAGAGATTAAAATGCACTGGGGTGTATTGCCCCACCACAAAACATTTTCTCAAAAATAACCAAAGCCCTCTCTCCTCAGGCAAAACCCTAGTCCTCACTTTAAATTGAGGAGGTGATGTTGCTTTGAGGAGCAACACTCTGGGAGAGAACCAAGCAATAATTGATCTTATGTTGACAAGTGCCAGAAATTTAGATACTTAATTAACTTGATAATTAAATAAAAGATTATGTAATATTTTGCAAACCTTTGTTAACAATATACCAAAAAATAAATAAACTTAAAAAATTGATTCTCAACCCTCTAAAATTTCTGCTTTAAACTTATTAGTAGGGGGGGAGGTAAAAGTTGGGATTAGGAGTATAATTAATTTGGCTTGAAAAGTTACCCCTACATTGAAGCAGTAAAAGAAATAAGTATGCTTAAGAAGCTTAATCATTTCAGATATTATCTAGTTTCCAGCAAAATCCACCAAAGTGTTGTCATTGTTTGCAAAACAAATTACAGAAGCCAGCAAGACAAAACTGTAAGATGAATAAAATATCAGTTTCAAAAAGACAAAGATGAGAGAGAGCGATATAGAAAATCAGTTCCAAATGCTAATCTGAATGTTACAAACAATAGTTATTTATCAATTACATTGGCCTTCAAATTTTGATACCATAGAAATTAATGGAAAAATGTGTCCTCCAAAATCCACCATCCGTATAGCCAGGTGTGCCAAAGAATCAAATGCCAACACCCTCTATTGTTCAAAGGGATATTAAAAAAAAAACAAAAAAAAACCCTTCAGTACTGTTCAAAATCAAATTGATGAAATGAATTCTTTTTAGAATTAGATACGATTAATTATATGAATTTGAAAGAAAGTCTAATCAACAACAAAAAAGACTTTGTGTATCCACCTGCAGGATTTTTGGTTGAAAATATTTTAACTGTTCAGTCATTTATGGTGAGAATTTATAAAAATTTGCAATTTGAAACCTTTCATTATGGAATTAAGTGTTATATTAGTAGCCTGTCCAAAAACTGTATAAATACAGTTGATACTTGGTCAACATAGGAAGAAATTATCCAATACTTAAATTCTATGGCTTTTGATCACGAAAAGGATATCTTGAATCAGCACTTTTCAGCAATGGTCCCCAAAATGGTTGTAATGAAATACAGCTCAGATATATTAATATATGCTTTTGAGTACTATACAACATCACAATCATTGTATAATAAATCAAGACAGAATTTTCAATTACCATCATTAACATTAAGAAGGATGACACCAAAAATTTCAAAACTTAATGAAAAATCTTTTTTGCTATCTATATTTATTAATCTTAATGTCAATCAAAAAAGGTGTATAATTCTCTATGATGAAGTGTATATCAAGAAAATGTTACTATATCATGGCAAACAACTATTTGGTAAGTCAGTTGACAATTCATCTCTACTTGCTCAAGCAATGTTGATATGTCTTAATGGGTGTCCAAAATTTCTTACAAGATTGATTCCAATTTCAAAATTAACATCCGCCTTTTTATTTGAACAAACTGAGTTAACAGTTCAAGCCATCACCTCTGTACCAGCTGATGTAAAGGCTATTTATGTGATGGCAACCGAATAAATCAAGTTTTGATATCCCGCACTCTCTGAAAAACCTTGGTTAACTGAAGATAATAAACATTTGCTTTTTGATTATGTTCATCTGTTGAAAAATATTTGCAATTTGTGGCTCACAGGAAAGACAGGAGAACTAATCTTTAATGATAATGGAGTAAAACAATTTGCAAAATGGGCACATCTTAAACAGTTATATCATTTTGAATCTGAAAGACTAGTTAAACTTTCAGATTTAAATGAAATTTCCATTGCTCCAAAGCCCATAGAAAGACAACAGGTTCCTACTTGAGTAGAATGACTTGCTGTGTTATCAAGGTTTTGATGAGAAACATAATTGCGGTGCTCTGGTAAACACATATGAGCTGGTGCTGAAAAGTTCCCAAACTAACCAAGAAGTGATTTTCAAAAAAGAAAAAAAAATTCATGTGTGGTCAGTGGGTTTGTCATGAAAAAATTCTGTGCCCAAGTCAATCTAACTTTTCTCATCGACTCTCAAATAATAATAAAAAAAAATGTAAATTATTCAGTCTTTTTGCTTATGTAAAAATTAAAATTTATACCTGATTTTTTTTGGTTAGCACACCTTAATATTCAGAATTGCTGACTTTAATATGAATTTCAAAACCTCAGTTTTGTTTGACATGGTTTTCATTTTTTTTTTTTTCTTTTTTTAAATGCCACATCTTTTCAAAACAATCTTAGCTCTCTACAGATTCCTTTTCTTTATCACTGAATTGACATGCATTCTTGGCAAAGACAGGAGTGGTTTACTGTTAGATTCTGTTTTTTAATTAAGAGTTTTCATTCCAGTCTACCTTGCTATTTAACCCCTAGCTTGGGGTGTAGAAGAGACCTGTTTCTGTCTTTCCCAAGTGCAAAAGTAAATCTAACAGACTAACATAGAATTTGAATTTTAGATCATTGATTTCACTTTCATTGGATTTATTTATTTATTTAAAAATCAAAATGCTGTTTTTATTTTACAGGTTGCACCTGGTTCAGCAACTGTGTTGGGTATCTTTGGCAAAGTATCAGATGTGGACCAAGTTACTGGAGACCTCCAATTGATGTAACTTTTCTCTTTAATGTGGTTTCTCCTGCTGCTCCGCTCAGGCCTTGTGTGTACATGTGCACGCATGCCGCAAATTTCTCAGCAGTCCTCAAAACCCAACACTCAAACATATTTAGCCTTATTTAATTGTTCCTGGACAACAAGAGAACTGGTTACAGATATTTTACAAGTAACTTCTTTGCTAGTCACCAGATAAAGTGGAGGGAGGGGTGTCTGATTTCTAGCCTGATGTTTGTGGTACATTTGTCGCCAGCTACCAGCCTATTCATCCAAATTTTCAAATGCACCTCACATAAAGAACACTTCAAAGGCTTTACATTAATGACATTATTATCTGTCATATATATATATATATATATATATATATATATATATATAAATGCAGATTGTATGCAATGAGCACACCATACCTCAATTCTGGAATCTGATCAGGTTGTAAAGCAACTGTCATCATTAGCCAGTGTTTCTTAACTTTCTAGCCTGATGCTGCTGGCAGTAACCTGGATGTTATTGGCAAGATTACGTGCTTTCAAGTTTTGTCACTGGTGACTGTATTCTCTAATCTGTTGTCAATTTCTTAACAGACTCGGATTATGTTTCCTTCAATTGAGTTATCTTTTAAACCTCCACTTTAAATTTCTTTTAAACATTTCTTTGCTGATTTTGTCACTTTAGCTTGTAGAGAGAGAAAAAAAACAAACTAAGAAACGATTTTTTAATTATTTGATGAGCAAAAAGTTTTACTTTTCATCATCAAAAGATGAAAACCCTTTTATGTTTAATTTAGTCTAAGGATTTAATATATCAGTACTTTTGACTTGCATAAAAACCAGTACACAATTTGATATCTAGATTTATTTTTACAGAATTTTGGCGACCTAACATATCAAACTTTTGTAAGTTGGTCTTTGTCAGTACAAGAACATATGATACATTCACAAAAACTGTGCTCTCTGATTGCCTTCGTATGGTGAAGTTCATTTTCTTAACTTTTTTGCCTATTCATGATGAATGAAAAGCCAGTTTTTAAGCTGAAAAATAATTTAACTTTCAGTCACATTCTCCTATTTGTTATAAGTCAAAGTAAATATGAAAAGTCTTATACATCGAACTCCCAAATGTTTATAAATTAATTCGAGAGAGCAATTAGAAACTGTTTTTTTCTTTTTTTTTTTCTTTAAAAAAAAAAAAAAATCCATAGCAAGAGCAGATCTATAATAGATTTGTATTTGAAGGCTATCAAAAAGCACGCATTTGAAGTGATGTGACTTGAAAAAAATACCAATGTTCTCGTCTTTCTCATTAATATCTTAGTTTTTATTTTAATTTTTAAACCGAAGTGGCAAACAATAACAGCAAACAAATGCCAGCTAGTAGAACTGCATTGTAGAAAAGGTGTTGGAGGCAGTGGCTATTTATTTTTTTTTTTATTAATGTATAAAAAGAAAGTAATTTTTTTTTTTTTAATTTACATTATTCATTTCTTCACTTTATTTATTGAATCCTATAGCACTATGTGCTGAGAGATACAGTTTATTTTGTTTCAGCTTATAGAACTGTTAAAAAAAAAAAAAATATACATAACTATTTCATTAACAGAAATGAACTCGAACTCCAATATGTTGCTGAACTGTTTTTATAGTTACAAAATAACTTATTGAAGGCAGAAGTTCAATTTGAAAATCCAGTTTTTGACTGGAATGTCACCAGAATTGTAAAGGTGTTGAGTGGATGATATTGTGATTTTTTTTTTTTTTTTTTTTTTTAAATAGATTAAATCTTCCAGTAAAATTTGTTTAATCACACAAAAGAACCAGAAACATTTGTACATATCTTTGTTCTGCATATTAAAATGTTTTAATCTCCAGATGTGTTGGCAAGTCTTTTTTTTTTTTGTGTCTACTCTTTTAATCTTGTTGCCAAAATTAGTAACACTTTTTTTTGTTGTGCTTTTCACTCTATATTTAATATGGTTTCCTTATTTGGGCATTTTTATGAATTAAATAGACTTACAATTTTAGCTTAGAATTACAGTCACAAATAGTTGATATCTTGTTTCCAATATGTAATTAATTTTCTCCCTCCTCTCACACTTGAGTTTCAAGTTATCTGGGCTAGCATTCTCAGCCATGTTGGTTTTTACCTCCCAAAGAATGTCTCCAGTATACACCAAAACACTAGCAAGGCTCCATCTGTCAAAACCTTAGTGAATGAGGTGAAGACGTAGTTGAAAAATTACGCTAAAGAGGTTGAGTGGATAGTATGTAGAACCTTGGCAGTTGATTTTGTTTCAGTTAGCTAAAATCATTTATGCATAGTAATCAGGTGGTGCATTTTTTTTCTTTATACACTTAATGCTGCAGATCTGGAGCTGTGTTAATGGTGAAATCTCAGTATTTTCACAAATTTAATATTGCTTGGTTAGAGAGAGAGAGAGACACAGACAGACAGACAGACAAAGACAAGTAGTAACAGAAAATATTGTACTTTATTACAAAAATGATACCAATGATGTTTTTGAAGTGGGTGGTAGTATTAGTTTACATAGTATTGCTTATTTGTTCATAAATTGTTTCTATAAGGAAAGCAAAATTATCATCGGATTGCAAGTGGACAAGTTCTTCAGCAGCCAACAAGACATTTTTGTTGGGCAAGATTTCACTCATATCTGCATCTACAATAAAAGAAGAAAAACAATTAGTCTCACAAGGCCATTTTGATCAAAATACAGTTGGCGATATAAACAAGCAAATTTGTATCGCCTTCATTTTGGATTTAGTAAACTAAAAAAAACAAAACATTTGATTATTTTAAAAATAGTAGTCAGAAATTATTAACTGCTTCATTTTAAGAAATTTGAAAACTAATATATCTTAGACTATCAAACATGATTAGCAGTAGAGAACAAGTACAGCTATATGACTTAATTGACCGACTTGATGGTTTAGCCTTTGTGGTTTAATAAGATGCTGTTATACTATAATGTACATAAGAGATGTTAAGGGTTATTTCTTGAACTGTTTTGCTGCTTTAAACTCAGCTCAACAATGATTTAAACAAATCCTATATCAACTGATATTATAGTAAGAAGTCTTTTTAAAATATAAGAATGAAATATTGATAAGTTTAAAAAAATTTTTTAGTGGGTGGAGGGACTAAATTTGAGTCAAACTTGTGAAATGTAAAACATTAGCTAAATTATATTTTAATGTGTTCACAATTAAAATTTCTTTTTTGTTTGTTTAGTAAACTTGAACAATGCAATGATGTATGGAGTAGAGATGGGTACCTTGTGGATCTAACTGTAATACTTGATGTCTCGCATCTGTGGCATTGTACCCAGATGAAAGCTACATTTAGACAGACAAAGTAGCTGTAAAACTTGACAAAAGCCTTAATAAGGTGATTAATTAAAAATTGCAGAAAGTTTTCTTTTTGGTTGGGGAAGGAGGCCTATTTACAATATGGTGGCAGTCAAAAAAATCAAGTGAAAAAAAAAAAAGAAAAATTTGTCTGTAATAAACACTTACATTGGCTGTGAGCCAGAGTAATGATCTTGTAGAACAATTTAGGACTGTAGTCATCAACTGGATCATCAAATCTCTGGCTCCAACTAATAAAAAAAAAGACGATCACATCAAACAATGTCTGTTTACATAAGAATTTTCAGCAGCATTTGGCATATATATATATATATGTTTTAAACATGACTGAAGTAGCAAAGTGACCAAAAAATTGTTTGGAATGCCTTCTTGGTCTGGCAGGGAATTTTTCAGCATCCACCTCACTTTGTCTATTGTACAATTGCAAAAATGAGAGAAAATGCTACAAATTGACAAAATGAAAAATTCTGTACAATACAGGGGACACACAAGTTTCTTCACTCTAATATTATTATTATTATTAATGCAATCATATTTCAGTTATAAGTTGACAGCAATAGTGAAATATAAAATTAACAAGAATCTTTCAATTTAAAAAAAATTAAAACTAAAATGTATACAAAATCTGAAAAACCAGAATTGAAATATAACTGAGTTTGTAAAATAGAATTACACTCCCATAACATTTTCAAAGAAGCTTTTTTTTTTTTTTTTCCCTTTTCCCAGAAAGAGAAAACTTTGGGTAAAAGAATCTGACTAACTTGTTTCTTAAAACAGCTTTGCACCAAATGTGAAGGAAAAGAGCCTGTACATCAATTTCTGCTTCTTTCTGAAAAAGAAATTTAGTTTTATTAAATTTGGCACGTTTCAATGATTAGTTAGTAAAACATTTTACATATAAGTACAGAAAACCGATTGTCTTCTATAACTTTTGATAAACAGCATATGTTGTTTTTTTTTTTTTTTTTAGTAAAAAATATATTTATATTAGTAATGCCATCAGGCAAATGTTTCTGCTGTCTCAAAATAAACATTAGGATCATGTGTCGATTGCTATAATTGAATCCAATTTAAGAACAAAGCACTTAACTGTATCCAAATAGGTAACATTATTTGTACTCGGATTAGCATCTGTTTTTATTGTCCTTACAAAGCTAGAGAGTGAAATTGAGAACTCAGAAGTAAAAGCAAAACAGGTTAGAAGGTTCTGAATTAGAGTTTCTTGTGATGGTAAAAAAACAAAACTTGAATCTCTGCCTCTTGATTTAGGTGAACGGCCATACAACTATCATGAGAAATTAACAGATCAGTCAAAAGCATAAACACCGTTACATCAATATATCTGAATATACTTCATGGATTGAGGCAGAATCTATTTTTATCAAAACTGATGAGGACTATAAAAAATTTTTTATAGATAATTTAGAATTGGAAACCTGATGGAGTAATTGAGGATCCAGAGAACAGTTTGACTACATGGAAGTGCCCTTAGGGAAGGTATGAATTCATCTCTTTCCACCAGCTATGGATAAATAGCAGGGCAGACATCATCATATAACCCGGGGTGGCAAGCAGCCTAGGAGAAGGACAACTCTAAATTCAAAACTTGAGGAGGGGTGTTTGGGGACCTTGTGTCATGCTGTGTACCAGTTCTCTATATTTGGCCCTTCCAAAATGTGTGTTCTGCACAAGCCTTCACCACTAATAATCAAATCATATGTACAGGCAGCCTGGCTGTTTGGTTTTAAAAAGTGAGTTACTGAATACTCATACATTGAAAAACAATGGGAAAGTCCTCTCTTTAATGTGTGTAGCTATTTCAAGTTAGCCTTGTTTATTTAGATATATATTATTATAAACATTATATTTAGTGGCTACATATATTTGAGTAAACAACACTTATAGAAAAAGATGACAGTGTAATATCACCCACCTTCAAGCTAGGTGTGATTTACCATTAAGCTTTAGGATGCCATTACAGCAAAGGAAGGAGAATTTACCATTTTTAAGAAATACGAATCACTTGTTAGGACCTTTTGAAGTTTATATTTGCTTTATATTTGCTTTGTTTTTTTTTGTACCCTCAACAAAGTCATTTTTAATTTGAGATTATTTCTTATTACTAAAAATGTTACATTTAATACGTACAAATGTTTTTCTTTTAAACAGTAAAATTCATTTTTGTGTACCCCTTAAATGTAACATAGTAATAAACAATTTCAGATTTAAAAAATCTGTCAATTGCTTTATGTATATATAGTCATCCACCGACAGACTATTTCGCTGTATCACAGCTCCAGTGTGGCTAGGCATCCGATTGCTTTAAGCCTGGATTGAAATCTGACTGATTTGACATCAATAAGATCTCTTACCTCTAGGTTATTGCTGCACGGCAGAGAAGGAAGGGAATTTTAACGTTTTTCTCAATACAAAACACGTCAACAGTCCATAAAACTCAATTCAATTTTACTTGAATAGTAATGCTTAATAGTAGTAGGAGCCATTGTTTTTTAAACCACCTTTTTCCCTGGAGAGCTCATAAATAAATAATAAAAGTTTTTACAAATAAGGTTTACCCTTTCTGGGAAACAATGATATTTAAAAAGTGCTCAATACGCAATTCAAAAAAAGTGAAGACGTAGTTAAGATTTCAAATATTACAAACACTAACCTTTTCCCATACTGTGGTTTTTACCATTTATCACTCCATTTATAAACTTAAATGTATAAATTGATAGAAATACAATTGACCTTTTCACTGCCTGAGGAGGTCTTCATTGGTAGAAACTGCAGTAGCGGAAAAGGTTAGTGTTTGTAATATTTTAGATATTCATATATAATTACTGACCAAAATTTTGGGACCAATAATTTAAATCAAAATGAATATAAAATCATAATTTCAGTTAAAGCAAATTTGTTTTCTTTTCATCAAAGAATTCACCATGACCATTTATTACAGTAGAGCAAATTTTTGACATTGTTTTTAGTAACTTGTAAAAGTATGCTGGTAGAAGTGATTCTCAAGCAATGTGTAAACAACTCTTGTTTATTCTTAGACTGTTCACTTTGAACTTTACAATGAATTTCTTTCCAGACTAGTTCAATTAATGAAAGATCTGGGGACTGAAGCGGACAAGTTATGATTTGCAAAATTCCCTCATCTTCCTTTGATTTTAATTTACACAGTTTTGAGCTGTATTTTGATTCACTATCTTGAATTTTGTTCAGTTTGGCAGCCAGAAGAAATTGCATGACTGCATTATTGAATGATACTCTTTTGACATTAATCTGAACTAAGTCTCCAGCAATCTCATCTCCCAAACCATTAATGTCACTACCATGCTTAACAGTTGGCACAATGCAATTTTCACTCATTAGTTTAAAAAAAAAAAAAAAAAAAAAAAAAAAAAAAAAAGCTCAAATTTTGACCCATCAGCCCATAGTATCTTTTCCAATCTTCTAAAATCCAATCCTTGTACTGTTGTGCCCATTTTTAGTGATTTCAACTTATTTTCCTTTTTTAATTTTTAATTAGTGGATTACACATCCTTTAAGCCCAACAGAAAGAAGCTTTCTTTTTTAATAACAGTCATAGCAGATATTGGAAGTTGTGTAGAATTAAATTCAGCAGTTAGTTGGCGAGGTGTTTTTTTGTTTTGCTAGATCTGAACAAATGTCTATCCTCTACAATAAATGTTACTCTGGGCCTCCCAAATCTTTTTCTATCAACATTTGCACCAGTTTCTGCAGATAATAATGCCTCCTATTGTTTGATATATGTAAATTTCTCACAATCTGATGTTTGGAATACTCTTCTATAGAATTCTTATGGCTCTTTTTTTTTCAATACTAATCGGTTTAGTTCTTGGCATTGTAACAGTTTCTGAAAATTAATTTCAATCTCACATTAATCTAGATAGAATTGAAATATTTGTAATACAATTCAGAAAAGGTATCTGGTTGTAACAAAATTTCCACAGTTTATGTAAATAAATTTATAATGCTCGTAGAAAAATGTGTTTTAATTTTATGTAAGAGTTTGTGTATATACACAATAAGTGAATTTATTTATTCAAATATGAAAAATTAGCCTTTTTTATGAACTTAGAGAAACAATTCAGGGTGGAACCAAACTTTTGATGGTAGTGTATATATGAATGTTAGTAGGATGCAGAAAAATATCTGAATAAAAAGTGTGAATAATGATACAAAATGGAAAAGCTTGTTCAGAGAAAGAAATTTGCTAAATTATGGCAGGCATCTGCAGGTTGGAATGAGAAACAGACTGTCTATAAGGTAAGTGGTGGAATTTTTTCAGAAGATATAACTAACTTTATCAGAGGCTATTGTTCAGAAAGGTTTTTCTTTTTCTTCTTCTTTGTATTGAGGACCTTAATACCCAGTGGATTTGAAATTAGCCCACTCCAAATAGATATCTTTATTTTTCTTCTATTAGTTTATATACTACATTGTGCTACTATTGTTTTTGTGCTTATCAGTGATATTATGTACAAGTCCGGTCTGAGGTTGACAGTAGAGAATTGTGAGATCAGTGCACTTTCAATGCATTTTCTTCTTGGTGAATTTTTTTTCCATTTGAATCAGACTGGCATTTATTAGGTTGAAATTATAGTCAGATGTATTAAAAAAATAAAAAATTGCACATACAATTTTAGAATTGCAATGAAAAAAATAACATTTATTGGACATTTAACACTAATTGTAATATGATTTAAAATTAATAACCACCTTCAGGTTTTTCTCACTCCAAGGAAAACCTTCTATGTCCTTTGCTGCAGATGTCAGTGACATCTGAAGTTTTGATGAAAGTTCCATGCTTAGCCTACAAGTCAGGGACCCTCGCTTAACTGAGTATGTTCTTACAGTACCCTATAGTCAGATTATATTATTATTTATTCCTTATAGACTTGTTGTGGAGTATAAAAGCTGAAATTACATCAAGTGCTGCTGTAGTTTCAGTACCTTTTTTATCATATCTTAGTAATTTGCGGTAGAAAATTAATACCACTTCTGTCCCTTAATAGTTTAGTGTATGAAATGTACCAACTATTATGGGACGGCAGTATTAGAATTTTATGAAGAGAAAACTATTATTGTAAACATGTTGATTTATAATCAAGAGGTTAATAAAAATTATGAGATGGAAGGTCAGATTTTATAAATCAATGTTAGTACTTTTCTCTTTTGAAAAGCAATAGACACTTACCTTTGCTACAAATGGTAACAAATCTAAGGCCATCTTGAAGTGATATTCTGTTGCATGAATGTTTTCATCATGAATATAAAACTGTAAAATAGAAAAGAATACATCTGATACTATGGACACTCACATAGGAAAGGAAGATATGGTTTTATGTTTCTCAGGTGTTTGTTTTAAGGCTAGCAGGTGTTCTCTTTTTAAGTATAGTCTTCTAAGTGGCATCCACTTTGATCAAAGAGAAATGAGAAAGTAAAGAGGAGGATAGGGACTTTTGGAGTGACAACAAAACTGGAAATAGGGTCTACCCAGGTGCTGGTCTATATTAACAATCATGCTTGTGATCAGAGTCAGTTCTGGTTGGCCCTTGACAGGAAACAGACTAGGAGGAAGAGCTGATCTATGAGATCCACATAGAAGTTGTCCAAAGTGTCCCCTATGTACCTACTCACCCAAGTGAAGTCCTGAATATATCATCTATATATATTCTTTCACATGGCATTTGTCTTTCATCCTGTGAACATGTAGGAAATGCTTTCAAGATAAAGCATCAAAATGCAACATGGGATAATCATTGGCCAATTGGTGGAGGAAAGCTTGGATGAGGGTAGTGTTGTATGTTTACATATAAACAACAAAAAAAAATAATGCTTATAACAGATATTATAAAGGCACACTGACTTTAATATAATGCTTATATAATTGTCCAACAGCAGCAAATCAACTCACTTCAATCATTTCATGGGGAAGGAGAACTCGCATATTGTCAGGATCCATTCCCATGCTCTGAAGAAGAAAATAAATAAATAAATAAAACAAAGCTGAAAAATTAAATAAGGAAATATTTTATAAGTTATAAAAATTGGTAAGAACCTATCTGATTCAAATCACATATACAATCAAGATACAGTGAAGTACCTACCATTTTGTGCATTTTGTGGTGATTAACAAGCTTATCACATATCAATACACTATTACAATGGCTTCAATGCCCACTATTGTAACCTTGTGCCTGACTAAGCTAATCATTGATTGATTTTTTTTTTTTTAACAGCTTATCACCAAGCAGTCCCTGAATTTTCACCTATCATGATGGACAATTGTACTCTCAATGAACCTCTTTGCTTTGAACATCTGTTGGGGCTAAAGTTCACCCCAGACCTCAAGTAGAACTTATATTCAATTCAAATCTTTACAGCTAAGATCCTGCCATGCTATACACACTGGAACAAATCACCAATATTCCCTTTTCATTCTATTGGTAAGAAAGAAGTTCCATTTGGATAGCTTCTCAAGAACTGCTACTTTATGGAACAAAATCCTGAGAGGTAGCTTCTCAAATAACTACAATATTCATTTTTTTCAAATTCAAGATTAACCATTCTCTTTCCTATATATCCTTATAATCTGCATTCACCTCCTCCTCCTCTTACACTCATACAACAACCTCATTCTGTAATCTTCTACCTTGAGTGGTACTTAGGCCTTCTATTTGGTAAACAATTAAAAAAAAAAAAAAAAAAAAGAAGAGTAGTGAAGGTGAAAGCACAAGAAATTGTGCATAAGGCAGTGATTCCCAAACAGTGCAGCATGACTCACAGGTGAGACAAAATGATTGAAAGACAATCAAAGATTTAGAAACAGTTTCACATGCCAAAAATAAATATGATTCCAAAATTTAAAATATTACCATGGATTACTTGTAATTGCATGCATGAGTCCCAGTATAGATAGTTATAAATAATTGTTGACCGATTTTATCATTGTGATATTTTTGCATTATATCAAGTACTAAGAATATAGTAACTAGGGTCTGCAAATCGGAGGAGAGAGTTATCAATGATAATGTTCCACCTTCGAATCCGCAGTTATAACCCTCTCTATGACTTTGACTTTTAAATGTACATTTTATTACAAAATTTGGTGAGGTGAGAGCAAAATTTTATTGTGAAAATGTGGTCCAGAGAAAAAAGTTTGGGGGCCACCAGTGTAAGGCATTATTTTTTAAGTGTTGATTGACTTCTGATACCGAACAATGTGAAGATTTTGGAGTGAGCAAAGAAACTTTCCATGATGTCATTAAGGGGAAGTGATAACAACTAAAGACAGTGTGGTCCTTTATATGAAACAGTCCAAACTAAATAAATGACAACAATTTATTGTAATGGTTACAAAAATTTAAGAGAACAAAAATAGTGTTATTACAGCCCAACAATAGTACAGAGAAGACGCAAAAAAAAAAAAAAAAAAAAAAAAAAAAAAAAAAAAGAGGTAAAAGGATCAAGAAGAATTTGAGTATATATATATATATATATATATATATATATATATGTATGTATTAGATGGAGAGAGTCCGATGGGAAATTGTCACCATTTTATGTTTTTAATTTCGCACACACACACACGCTGTTCATTTTTGATTTTGTCAACTGCACAGTATAGTAAGGTCTGTTGGGGACTGTCTGTGAGAAAAAGAGCACCATGACACAATTAACTGCAAGAAATTTGCTAATGGCATGCTATATAGCTTGGCATTCATGCTGGAAGCTCCAATATGAAGATTTCAGAGTGTTTGGGTGTCAATCTGAGGAAAGAGTTGGATGAGGATTACGAAGGTGTTTGGACTGATCACTAGTGATGGCGACATTATGTCTCCATTCATCTTCCCACATGGCCTCAGACTCAACACTGAGACCTACATCAAGTGCCTTGAGGAGGTAGTACTTCCCAGAGTCAAGAGATGGCTGTTGGAAGAGTCTATGTTTGGCAACACGACTCTACACCATGTCACACAAGCAAGAGAACCCAGTCATAGTTGTCAGATGACCTGGAGGCAAGGATTATGGCAGCATTCACCAACTTAAACAAAGAGAACGTACAGAAGAATTGCAGGAGATTCTGAAGTCAATTGCGATTTTACTGAATACATTTACTCTTTAGTATTTCAAGATGTTTTTACGTAATTTTGATAAATATATCTGTTAAAATAAGATGTCAGTGTTATTTTCATTTTTGTGTAATTTAGACAATTTATCCATTATATATATATATATATATATATATATATATATATATATATATATATATATATATATATATATATATATATATATACACACACACACAGAAATTGTGAAAATTTTCACATACTTTCTCAATTGTATTATTATCATTATTATTATAGTGTGTGTAAATCTTTTTCAGGTAGCATGTATCTGTAAATGAATAAAAAGAGGAGAAAAAACTATTCTAGTCTGTGTTTCGTCCTCTGAGGAACTTTATCAAGGCAATCTAAAATTTATTTTGTTGCATATGTTTATATACACAAAAGCAAAGACATCACTGGTTTATCAAGGACTTTAAATTTAAGAACGTTCATGAATGTTCATCAGGTGACTGACAGGGCAATCAAAGAATGTGGATGATACAAAGTGTCATTTCAAATTCTGGCAAAAAGTAGGCAAAAAGTAAGCAAGTAATATTCAAGAATTTTTTTTTAAATGAATATTGTTCTAATCACAATTTAAACAATATTCATCTAAAAAAAAAAAAAAAAAAAAAAAAAAAAAAAATATCAATATTAATATGCTGAAAAAAACCCGGAATTCATTAAATCAAAGCTGGAACTGGTCACTTGTGATGGAATAAATAAATTATCTGAAAGGTAGTGTAAAGTCATTGAAAGCTGTTTATATTTGATGGTAAAATAGATGGATGTCAATTTATAGGAAAGATTTTGTCAAAAATTAATAATGGAAATGTAAAGGTTGTAACAATTACTTACATTCAATACTTCAGGAGGAATGAGTTCTTGATGTGTAATCAGTTCTTGTTCAGTGTTGATTGCTGGAATTCCAAGACAATGGAATAATTTTTCATTTATACATGTATTAGTGAATATGAAAAAGAATATTTTGATATTTTTTGATAATATTTATAAAAAAAAAAAAAAAAAAAAATTCTACACAAAGTAAAAATATGGTTGATTTCAAGACTAAGCAGGAATTGTCTATGATTCATATTGGTTCTAGTGCTTTTGACCATTCTCTGATGAGTCTCAGGAACTTAACATTTATTTATGGTTAGGGGAAAATAAAATGAGCTCAAAATGATGTTATATTTGAATTTCTGACCAGAGAGCCAAATATTGCTTTTCTATTGTATTCAATAACATGCGTGCATATCTTACAAATAAACATATAGTATAAACAGGCTTAATAAGTAGGATAATAAAATTTACATACCTGGAAGTAGATCATTGATGTCACGCCCAGTGGAAAGTAAGCAAAGTTTTGCCATGGCCAATACAGTCTGGGGGAAAAAAAAAAAAAAAAAAAAAAAAATCAATCTATTTGTGTATTGCTCAAAAGCATACATAAATATTGTCTGCAATTTTTGATCAAGTTATGGTGATGGGATCTTTACAGCTCCCATATGATAGCGAAACTGCTTCCTTGTTTTTAGCCTGTTAACATTTGATATAGAAAAGATATGAAAATCATATTTAGAAAAATCTGAAACTTGGGAACACTTGAGTAAAGACTGAATTATCAATGGTTTGTGAGATGAGCATGCTATTTGGTGTCAATTTTGATTTGGTTTGTTTTACGGCATATAAACTCCAATGGGTTATTTAAAGTCAACAATTTTACACTTTCATAGTATTTTGACCCCAGTTTTGGGGTTAACTATTTGCCTATAGTTGGGATCCTAACAGGTTCTACCACCCTGGGTCAGAGTGAACCTGGGAACACCAGCAATTAAGAAGTGGTTCCACACTCCTTAAAACCTCTTGATCAGAGGCCTTGCTGTTGGACATAGTTTATTGTCTTACCCAGGATGCAGATGTAGTTTGTCATACTCAGGACGGTGACAATTTCTTGTGCTGCCAAATAAACACAAAAAGTGTACTATCATGTGCACTTTGTATTTTAATTTTATGCACTGATGTCTATCTTTTGTCTTGAGCAAAAGACAAAGTAATTTACAAATTTACTTTTGCATCAAAAGAGAACAATTTATTAACATCTAAAAGGATCATGTATAGAGAAATCATTTCTTATTTTGTTCACAAAAGATTAAAATGATTGGGTGATGAAATATTTTCCATACAGATGAAATGTTGCAACCCACTTTGGTGATCTATCGCTATTTCTATGGCATGTGTTTTGATGCACTACATTCCTTAGTTCAACAACCTGACCATCACAACAGCGACCTACCCTGCTGTGAGCACAAAGCTGAAACATTTCCATTCTCTTTGTATTCTCATAGTAAGAAGGAAGTTCCACGTGGACAGTTTCTTTTCAAGAACTGTTGCTTTGTAGAACAGATCCCCATCAGGATGTTTTCACAATCACTAATATCTTGGCCTCTTTAAGTCTAGGGTCTTGTTTTTTTCTCATGCTCATGATTTGAGTGGCTCTTGACATTGTATGGAGTGAACATTAGTATTAAAAAAAATATTAGCAAACAGTCATTTTTGTCATGGATTTGCAGAAAAGAGTATTTTTTTCTTTTTTCCAATATTTCTACAAAAAGAAGAAAAAAAAAGAAGAAAAAAAAGAAGAGTAAAAAAGAAGAAGAAAAAAAAGAAGAAAAAAAAGAAGAAAAAAAAAAAAAAAAAAGAAAAAAAGAAAAAAAAAAGAAGAAGTAAAAAAAAAAGAAGTAAAAAAAAGAAAAAAACGAAGAAAAAAAAAAAAAAAAAACGAAGAAAAACGAAGAAGAAAAACGAAGAAAAAAAAAACGAAGAAAAAAAAAAAGAAGAAAAAAAGAAAAAAAAAAAAGAAAAAAAAACGAAGAAAAAAAAGAAGAAAAAAAAAGAAGAAAAAAAAAGAAGAAAAATAAAAAGAAAAAAAAAGAAAAATAAAAATAAATTTTTTTTTTTTTTTTAAATTCAACCTCTTAAAATATGTGATTACCTTTTTCCTTGATACAAATTTTTTTTCTTCAAGAGCCAAAGAAAATAATGTTTCATAAGCCTAAAAAGATGAAAATAGAACAATGCAGTCAGTTTAATGCCAGTTGTTTATGCATTGTATATTCTATAAAAATATCAACATTAATAGTCAGGTTGGGGTTGTAATATTAACAAAAATGATTTAGAAGTGTATCAAATTTTATTTTATTTTATTTTTTTTTTAAATAAAAAAGAAAAACAAACTGCTCAAATACTGTAATTCCTCAAGTACAATTCATCCATAATACGCACTCCGAAAATTGTGGGAAAATGCTTTTACTCACACATAATATACAACCCTTGTTTGGTAATCAAACCCTGTAAATTGTACCTCTCCAATTTCATTATGGTCAGCGTTTCCTACTCTTATTAAAAGAATGGTTTTAAACATAGAATAATATTATTCTAATTTAGTTTTATGATAATTCTCATTTTATTTGTAAGTATTGTTAGGTACATATGATTGTATTTGACATTCTTATGGAGTCACAATCACTGAATGATAGTGTCAAATTGTTGTCTGTTTGCAGTGATTAGTCATTTTGCAATTGAAATCGACCTATGAAATGGCAACTTATTTAAAATTTTTTTTTTGTAGCTGTACATAATACACACCCTTAATTTTGCTTATTTTTTAGAAAAAAATGCGTATTATACACAGGGAATTACGGTAATTGATTTTCTAAAGATTTAGAGATACAAGAGACTAAATACCACATATACTTATGTATAAGCCAACTTCATGTAGAGTGTGGCCCCTGAATTTTTTGGCATGAATTTTAATGTCTTCAAAAGAATTACCTGTGTTTAGTGTGACACACTATTTTTTGTGTAAAAAAACGGATCATAAAAATTCTTACTGGTAAGCTTTCAAATCATTAAGTCAGAAACTATTTTATTGTTAATGTACATTCCAAAAAGAAACAAGACAAAATATTAATATACAAGGATGGATCAATAAGTCCATAGCCTGACAATTATTAGCTGAATTTTAATTTGAAATTCTCATTGTATAATGTTGAAGTTAAGCAACCAATGAAGAAGCATTAGATGACAAGGAAGGATATCATGTAGAAAATATTTATAGATGTTTTATTTTTTTATCATAATTAGGCTGTGTACTTATTGACACATTATATATATATATATATATATATATATAAAGTATTCTTTATACTAACTGAAAAATAATCTTGGGATTCAATATCCATCAGCCAACTGAGGGATTTGCATTTGCTTAAGACAAGACTCAGTTCAACAGTCAGTGGCATGGTCAACAACTTGCCTCTTTTACCTGAAAGGAAAGAAATTGCAATGCTAAGAAGGAAAAAAGAGATAGCAATGCTTACAAAAGCTTAAAACTTCGCAAGACTAGAGAATACAGTAGCTGAAACTGTGTGTATGTATATATATATATATATATATATATATATATATATATATATATATTTTTGTGACATGATCCTCTTTATTTATATTAAAAATAATTAAGCTGAATTAAATCAATCATTTGAAGTATTTATATTTATTATAAATCACCATCCTAAAATTTAATAATTTGTCTTTAATTCTGTATTCTCTTTCTTAAAAACACGGCCTTGACCGCTTTTAAATTGGGCCAATAGTCGAATCGCCAATTTCATGTGAAGTGTTCAACGATTTTAATTTTATATGTGGTTATGTGGTGTTCAAGGGTAAGAAGCACACCTATACTAACTGATCAGAAAAATTGTCGGTGTTGTATCAAAAAGACGTAAAAAATGTTCATCTTTTCTCCATGGGCTAGCTACCACGTAAAATTGACTACTGGTATTCCAGAAACAGAAAATAAAAAGAAACTTTCTGGATTATCATGAATTCAAAAGCTATGATCAAATATCTTCTGTGAATGAAATGCAAAATGCTTTTAGGTTGATAAACCCAACAAGTTACACTAATTGACTGAAGCAATTCTACGTGTAAGGAAATATCTCAAGATCCTTCTACTATGAACTCTCTACTTGAATTAAAAAAAAAAAAAAAAAAGAAATAATAATCAGTAAAATAAAAATAGCCATTGATCAGCAAAATCATTGATGAGACAAGTGGCCATTGAACATTCTTCTAATAATAATCCTTATATTTTCTTTCTTTTCTCTTATTCTTTATTTGTTGTTTCCTTCTGATGAAGTTATAAAGGATGAAATGTTTTTTCCTCTCTGCAGCCTTGGCTCTTTTGATTGCAAAAGATTGGCAGAGATTTCTTTTTGCAAGGCATACTGCTGCAATATGTGACAGACAACTACAGAACTCAAAATTGATCATTGCATTTAAGTATTGCATTAATACTTAAGCTTACCTTTTAAAAGTTCAATGATATTTCTTCTGCCACCACTTAATTTAAAGACAATTTGATGTATGTATGTCCTTATTGTCCATACAAACAATTATTTTTATTTCATGAGTGACTTTCACAGGATTTTGCATTTAGTTTCAATTATTCTCAAATTTATTTCCAAGTTATGAAAATTGCTATCATACAAAAAAAACATGTTGCAAAAAATCACATTTAAGAAAATAAAAATCCCATAAACAATTACAGTAATGAAAACTTGGGTATCCAAATTTTCAGGATTGCAGGTTAAGATCCAGCCCAGAATGATTTTGATTTGCCCAGGGAGTCAGCCTTATTCCAAAATAGTATGTAGATATGTTGAGCTACAGCCTCTAGGAGTAAAGTGTGACACACTGACATTTACACACACAAATTATATATTTAGAAAAAATCACAAATTAGGAAAAGCTTTTGTGACATGTTTTATCCATTAGGATTTCATCGGACTAGGCTTTGTTGACATTGTCATGTCTACACATGCAACATCAACAAAGCCCAGTCTGATGAAATCATAACAGATGAAATAAGTCACAAAAACTTTTCCCCAAATTGTCATACTATTTTTCTAAATACTATTTGCTTAGATTATATACACACACACACACATTATATACACACACACACACACACACGTACAGAGGTGTACCTGGTAATTGTGAAAATCAGACCTGAGAATGGCCTTGGAGGCAACTGCATGTTTGGATCAAGCAGCTCTCATTTAAGTTAGCCGTCATATCTATATTAGGACGGCCTTAAAAAAGTCCTTGTTATTCATGGGATGCTGGTTAGTTTCATTGAGACCCCCAAACATAGCCAGGAGATTTCAAATTAGGAGAGCTAAGAGGCCACATGTTGGATGAGGGTGACATAATTCTCGGCCAGCAACTTGATGTAAATGGACACACTGACCTCAACGCTATACATGCTGAAGTGGGTTGGCATGTCATGGCCCTTATCATTAAGTTCCAAAGACTATCAGAGATGGCATAAACATCCCTTAATGCAAGAGAAAAACCATAATATACTGGGATCCTTATGTTTGTTCATACATTTCAATTGAATCCCATAGTTCTCCCTGGTCTTGCTAGACAAGAACTGTCCTTTCTACTTGCACCTAATGTCTTCATTGTGCTTCACATATCTGGTAGTGAACTTTGCCACCTTCAAATGCTTGGAGATGGCCCTTGTCAACTTGCTGAGAGTCATAGATGATAATATCTTGGATCTGGTGGATGAATTTGGTTGTCTTTATCACGTCTAAGACTGTTTAGAATGACATATCCCTGCAAAAGGCTCCACCTTGTTCCTGACCCTTGAACATCAAGGACTGAACTACATTCAAGAAACTAGCTAGCTTACAGTTGATGTGGTTAGCAGCTAGTGCCATGAGCATGAAAAACTTTCTTTTAATTTCCTATGCTATATTAGAAATTACCATGTTAATGCTTACGATGTATGTTTAAGAAAAATGGGAATATTAAAATTTAGTACAGGCTGCATAACATTATGTTAGATCATCTCTCATTTATGGCCTGTTAAAGTTCTGTTCTCAAATACCTGTGTGTGTGTGTGTGTGTGTGTGTGTGTGTGTGTGTGTGTAAATAAAATAAAACAAGAAATATGAGAAAATTAGTTCAAGGATTACAACATCTGGTCTTGAAAATTTAAAACCAAAAAATGCTTAAAAAAATGAGATCAAATTTTCTATTTCATAAGTAATTCAATATGGTACATGTTTTCTTGATAATGTTGACACAAACAGAATTTGTGCTTCAGTGTTAATATTGTACAGGACAAAGTTTAAATTCTATTGGTTATTCAAAAAAGTAAAATTTTTAAATTATTAAATATTTTGACTTAATTGTAAAGACTTTATACCATATAACAAGAGGCAGAAAAAATATTAAAAACACAACAAAGAAAAAAAAAAAAAAAAAAAATAACTTACCAGTTCTCAAGTAATAATGGTACATACTCTCACGGAAACCCTTGAGGGGAAGAAAAAAAAATCAGTATTCTTAAAAGTCTTGTAATTTAAAATATGTACCAATACACTACAGGAGTGTTGCCCTCAAAGTAATACCTCCAACTTTACCATGTGGGCACAAAAGGTCAGAGGTTGGGATATAGTGGTAGAGGTTGAACCTTTCCTTTAATAACCTTATAACTGTTTAACCACATCATAGATGGCAGTCTGACATAAAAGTGCAAATGAATCAGTGGCACCTCAATTTCAGCATACAAAAAAAAAAAAAAGTGAGGGGGAAAAAAAAAAAAAGAAAAATATGCCCCCATTGACATTTATCAACTCTTTATAGAGACCAAATGGTGGATGTGAGCACAGTTAGGCAGTGGGTAATGCATTGCAGCAGTGGAGATATTTTCAGTGCCTTGGTGAAAATGCATAGCAAATGGTAGTGACTAAGTGAAAAAAATAGGGATTTGTATCCGAGACCTTGCTCTAAACAAGTGTTATTGGATTCCCTGCATCTGTGACAGTTTCCATGGAAATAAGTAGGAGGCATTACTTTCAGAGCATCCTTCACATATTAGTGGCAACAAAACACAAAAGCTGTTAAAAAAAAAAAAAAAAAAATATTAAGTAAACATACTTTATGTGCAAAAATATTGCAGTATCTCTGTAGTCTGTCTTCATCCTCTGTAATATCACACACTTTGGCTAATGTAGTGAAATCATAATATTTTTCTGCTAAGGATGCAGCTTTCTCATATTCTTTATGTTCCACTGTTAAAATAAAAGTGATTTAAAGAAATTATTATGAATAATACAATAGAAACAACTGTGTACAGAAACACTTCAAATTCTAATATAGATGCACGTGGGACAGAATTTTACATACAAATATAGATATATGGATTAATAGTCCCCTACCTCACCAATGCTAGTAAGTTTCACTCGTCTGGTGCCTGACTATTTAACTCTTTACTTAACTTAGGTACCTCCACGAAATCGCTAAAAAAAGAGCATAGCTTGATGAAAAAGACGCCAACGTTGCCGAAAACTAAATTTTATCGTCTAAATGCTTATGTTATTATTAAGAGGAAAGACCAAAGTGTTTTTTAATTATTTTAAAAAATTTTTCCTTCTTTTTAGAACATTCTAAATTTTGATTAAAAAAAAAAAACTTGTTTCTCTTTGTATCAGCGGAACTAGTAAATAACAGACAATTTTTAGCACGTTTTTTTTTGGTATGACACACATTAATTTGGTAAATCTCGCAAAAATATAAATAATTGTCGGATGTTAATGAAACTTTCAGGAACTATTCACAGATGATCAAAATTAATGTTTTTTTTATTAAAGTCATGGCAGAAATATTTTTTTTAAATATTTATTACCCCTGCCCATAACTAATTTTATGAAAACAGTAGAAATTCGATCGCATCGAGTTTAGTGATTACAATAGTTAAAAGCACGAGGCTTCGAGGAATGCAAATCATGTTTTTTTGTTTTTAATTGGACCCCCCCACCTACCTGAAAATCAGCTCTGAATTGTAAAATACAAAACTCAATAAAACAAAGATATTATTTAATTTCAAATACTTTTACTTGCTTTAATTGTTTTTATGAATATGGACAATATTTTCTGAAAGCAAAAAATTTTTTCGATGAAAAATGAATTTTTAATACAATTATTTATTTCTTAATTATAATAGGTTTTTAAATTTAAGTTGTTAAAATATTATAAAATTAGTTAAAAGTCGCATCGGGTTTCCTAAGTCTCCTTATGAGATAGATCTTTTTTTTTTTTAGCGCATTGTAAATTGTATCATTTTGACTAATCAGAAGATCTGCAGTAATTAAAAAATATGATTTTGTGTTTATAATCGGGCTGTAATTATAAAGTACGGAAGATCAACCAGAATACAATTAAGTTGTATTATTTGAGTTAAGCATTGTTCTCCGCTGTTAAGGCCTTTACTTTTGCGAAACACGCGTGGAGAAGTTAATTTGATTTTTCAATTTCAACTGAGAAGGGTACCTACAAGTATCAGTATCATCTTATGAAATTTATATGATCTTATTTTTATATTAATCTCAGTTATGACATTTTTCCATAAATGAAATATCAAAATTAATAATAAAATGAATGGAAATACAAATAACACAGTAAAATGTAATAAATGTACATAAAATTATAGTATTTTATGTATACTTCTGACAGAATTTCATAAGAAAGGTACCTATAAATTAATTAGATACCTTTCTTAAGAAATATGAAATTTAATGTCACTCTTAACAGTCTTATTTTAATTTCATTAGAATATATTTTCCATAATGCATCGTAAATGTAAAGGTGAAAGCTAAGTACAAAAAAAAAAAAAAAAAATTAGAGAGCTGAAAGTTTTCCTTAAAAATAACACGGTAAATAATTTGTTCACTTAAATGTAAATTATTTCACTTTTCTCCTTCCATAGAACAAATTAGCCTCACAGAATCCATCAATATATCATTCATCACCTGTCAAGTGACGCGAAAGTTTATGACCTGCTTTGTTTCATTTTCAAATTACATCTTTTCGGCGCAAAAGCTAAGTTAAGCTTGGTTAAAAATATTTTAAATAAACATTATAATTTCTGATTTTCTTAAAATAAATTTTGAAAAAATGATAATTGATATTTAAAAGAATTTCAAAGTGAGATTCCCAGCTTTTTTTATAAAATGGAAAAAAAGGTCAATTTTGCTGACTCAAAAAAATGAAAAAAAAAAGAAAAAAAAAAAGATTTTTAATGAAAATTTCGGACGTGCTAGGAACGATTAAAAAATGGAAAAAAATACCCCAAAAATACCTTTATCTTTCCTCTTAATAATAACAAACATTTAGATGATAAAATTTTGTTTTCGTCAAGTTTGGCGTCTTTTTCATGATGCTATACTCTTTTTTAGCGATCTCGTGGAGGTAACTAACTTAACTAAATTGGTCTTAGTAAGTTAACTAGTTACTTTTATTTCCTACCAGACAAAAAAAAAAAATCACCCTATACATGATATGCAGATGGCTGGCTTACTAGTACAAGAATAATACTTAAATACCTATTTGACATACAAGTCCCTTGATGACAGTACAAGTACACTACATATGATTATTAAATTAGGATTATAAATTTAGTGTGTTTATATTTACTCTGTTACGTTAATAATATAACATAATAAATCAAATCAAATATAATTTAATTAATAATACAAATTAACAAATATTATAATTTAATTAATAATACAACATAATAACTTCAATATAAACCATAAAAAAATTTAATTTAAAAAAAAAAAAAAAAAAATGAAGACTAATATTTTTGTTGATTTTTATGAAAGCCTTTTATTAAAAAATATTGTAAGCCTATATGTATCTACGTTATGTTGATGATACTTTCTATTTTCAATTCCAAGCTAAGGCTTTTTATACACAAATTAATTCCTTTCATCCATCCCTTCAATTTACTGTGTAATTGGAAAACAGTTATATATTTTGTTTTTTTTTTGTTTTTTTTTTAGACATACTGGTTGAACGAAAAGGTGGTTTGTTCATTATTAGTGTTTATCGGAAGCTTATGTTCACAGGTCTATACACCAACTGGAATTCTTTTGTCCTTAAGTCTCATAAGATAAAACTTATCTCTACTTATCTCATTGTGTGTTGATGATTTGTTGTCTTTGTAGACTCAATCAAGAATTGGGGAACATTCATTGTTTTCTTTGTGACAATGGTTATCCTGTTAATGTCATTAAATGTGTTACTGAGTGTAGGATTAAACACTTTAAAGAACCAATAGTGTTTGGTCAGAGCCTATGTCCTGTTTATTTAAAATTACATGGGAGGTCAAACGCTGGTTGACAGAGTGTTGGCTTGCGTTACATCAGGTTTTTCTACTGCCAGGTTGCGTGTTATTTTTGGGACTAGTTCAGTGTTTCCATCATTTGTCATAGATGATTTGTCTTATTTTCAAAGAAGTTCTATTGTATATAAATTCAAATGTCAGTGTGAAGCTGAACACGTAGGATGAACCAATCAGCAACTTGAAACCCAAATTAGTAAGCACATTCCTGCCAGTAGAAGACTGAGTAGCTCGAGTCTCTCTTCTAGAGAGACTCAGTCTGTGCATGATTTGGCCATTGGCCAACACTTGCTTGACTGTGCCAACAAATATCTGAATAATTCTTTTATTTTGCACAGAGCTCAGTCCGCTCATAATTTATGCCCTCTTGAAGCAGTTCACATTAAGTTACATAAACCAACTCTGCAGAGAGAAGAAGCATTTCATTCACCCTGTCAATCGTTTAGAAGGTTTGTGAGTAATTTTTTTTTCCATTTTATACTCATTTGGAACTATTTATTTTTATTCATAAATTATTTTTCAATAAATATATTTTAATCGTTTTCCAATAATTTTACCTCCTTGCCCTGCCTTTTTCTGCTGTGTGAATTTTCCAAATCTTTGTTTTCATCATTAACTTTGCTAACATTTTCCTTCTGATGAATGTTGGCTGAAATGATAGCTTAAGGTATGCCCTCATGTATTTTCAAAACTATCTCTCTCTCTCTCTCTATATATATATATATATATATATATATATATATATATAATATTAGTGGTAAATATACATACATCCATCTCTCTCCCCCACCTCTTACTCTGACATTAGGTTGTCTATGGTGTGTGTATGTCACCACGAAATGTATCTTTATGCATTAGACATCTGACAACATTCATTTTTCTCTTACTTAAACCCCTTCCACCCACCTCTCCTAAAATTCTCTCTGTTAAGGTTTAATCTCCATCCTCCTCATACTTACACTCTCTCTAAATTCTGTTTTTATTTCCGGAGTTGTTTTTTCCGTTTTCTTTTTGAATTTGTAGGTCTGATGAATTGGATCATATTTACGATTCCAATGGAATAAATTATGACCATGGAATATTAGTGTTTAAGCCTTTTTATTATATATATATATATATATATATATATGTATGTGTGTGTGTGTGTGTGTGTGTATGTAAAACACACATTGAATATTGCTGTCACATCAGGTTTGCTATGTATTTAGAGATCCTTGATAAAATCTAAAGAATCTGCAATGTTATTAGTCTTTACCAAGCATTTCAGTTTCAGTCAATTTCCCATTGCCATGATGTAACTTTCTGTTCCTTTCATGGTAATTGTTTTGATGAGCTTTCCTTCTTGGTACTTTGAGTTTACAAATTTAAGCACAATACTAGATTAGTGGCAAGGTCACATCATTTTACAGTTGAAATGGCTAAATTCAACTGTAAGTTCTATGCTAGCAGTTTCTTCTCTTGCACTTCTTGCTTGTGGGACACTCTTTCAGCCTCTTGCTATCCAGTCAATTTTGATCTTTGAATTTAAGTGCAATATCAATCATTATCTTCTTCATTCCTGTTTTATTGTTTTCTCTTCTTAATGTTTTTCTTTGTCACACTCAGTAACCCCCTTGTACCTTAGTGGCTTTATTGTCTAGCTTGGGGGTGAAACGTTTAAAAGAAAAAAAGAAGATATATACTGTTGTTTAATTCATGGTGTGTCTGTTAAAATCTGGGTCTCAAATGCAGAGTTTAAAGGGAAATGGTCCTTCTCTTGGAAGACTGAAGTAACACAATCTTCCTATCTCCACTTGCTCTTTTTTTTTTTTTTTTATAATGATGTTCACCCTGTACAAGGCCTGGGAGCCACTTGAGGTAGAAGGCTACAGAGTAAAAGACAGTTTATGCAGATATGTGGGGAATATAATGATTAACCTTAGACTTGAACAGGTTAATATGATAGTGATTAGGGACGCACCCTCTTGGCAGTCGGTTCCACAAAGCAGCAATTTGTAGGAAGCTGCTGCTTGAGTGGAACTTACATCTCACCAATGGAATACAAAAGGAATGAGGATGGTTTTCTACAATGTGCATAGCATGGGGGGGGGGGTCTTAGTTGTGAATGTTACAATTGGTGGAACTGAGGAATGTAGTTTGTCTGAACACGTTCCATAGAAATAGTGAAAGAGTAGCAAGAGACCTGTAATGTTTAGCCCTGTGACAAAGGAACTGTAAGGTTGAAAATAATTTGCTACCTAAAAGGATGTAGAGATGCTTTTGTACTATCAAGACTGGAAAGCTCCTGCCCATATATGGCAATCGTACCCCATTTTTGCAGAGGATAGCAGGAGGGATCAGGTACTTACTGGAAGGGTACAGAGCAATGGATCATATGTACACGTTCCACTTGAGGTCTGGGTTGAGCTTAAATCCAAATAGGTGCTCAAGGCATGGGGCCTCCTTGAGGGAACCTGTGTTTACCATGACTGGTGATAGTTCAGGGTTTGATTGTGGATACAAATTTAGTAAATACTAATAACTCATAACAAAAGATCCCCTCCCCAATATAAATTTTGACAATGGCTGTTAATGTAAGAGCTTAATGTAAGAGCTTAAAATAAAATTAAAAAAAAAAAAAAAGAAAAAACCCTTACTTAACATTGAGATAAGTGTAGCCCTGTCCTCGTCATACATTTTACACAGCTGATTATATCGAGAACTTTTGTTATCATAGACTTCCAAAGAGGTCAGCTGAGCACTGTAGCCATCAAGGAGAATGTCAGCCAAGTCGGTCAGCTGATTGAAGAGTGTTGCTTGATAATTGTGATCCTGAGCATTGATGATACCCTGTTCAAGTGTCATGGAACACTGAAAGGCAAAGAAAAAGCTTGTACGTGTCTACTACAGAGAGAGAAAAGAAAATGGATAAAATTTCATAAAAAACTAGGCAAAAATGTTTAACCTTCATGCTTGAAGAAAAAAAGAAAAAAGAAGTTTATCAAAAGGATGGTCATTCCCTTGACACTCATTACTGTATACATTTTTGACTCCCTCAGCAATGTTTATTTACAAGATTATAAAAATACATTAACCAAGTGCAATTGCAATATTTATTATTTATCTTTTATAAAGATTTATTTACCATTTTATAAAGAAATGAATTTGAAAAGACATCTTTTTAGTCATAAATTTATAAAAAAATTACATAATTATTAAAATATGTAAACCAACTACAATGCAATGTTTATTATTTACAATTTTATAAATAACTATACAACAAAATTTTTTTTAATAAACATGTGACAAACAAAAGCTAGTTGTAACAATATTCTATGCTAATAGCTTTTTCTCACTTGTGGAACTGTCAGCTTCTTGATTTCCAGTCAAATTTGATCTTCAAAATTTAAACGTAATGTCAATTTTCATCTTCCGTCTTAATTCCTGTAATTTTATTGGCTTCTCTCAATTTTTTTCTCCTTCAGATTCTTTCACTCCGTAACCCTTTGTGTTTTAGTGACTTTATCACCTTGCTTGGAATGAAATGAGTAAAAAAAATACAAAACTGTATCAACAATTACTATTACCATCCTTCAGCTTTGAGAAGGAGAGTTTTTCTTTGGGTGAACAGATGTGGTAGCCTCAGTTAACATCTTCCAGAGTTGCTCAATACACAAGAATATAAATGTCCTCACAGGAATTTTATTTTAGTGTAGCTAGTTTCTTTTGTTTGTTTAACAGTATATCAACTCCTTATGGGTCATTTAATGCCAAAACTTATTTTTCTTGGGAAATTTAGTAATTTCTTTTATGAAAATGTATTGCTGGTATTTATTGACACCCCCCCCCTTTACAAAAATGTATTACTGGTAATTTCTTTACTATGAAAATGCATTTCTCTACTACAAAAATGTATTTTTATACTTTCATAGTTTTTGAGCCCAGTTTGGGGTTAGCTATTTCCCCATAGCTGGGGCCCTAACAGGTGCTACCACCCTAGGTCAGAGTGGACCTGGGAACAACTGAAATTAAGAGGTGGTTTCATGCTCCTTAAAACCTACAATCTCTCGATCAGAGGCCTTGCTGCCGGATGTAGTTTATCATTATACCCAGGACAGAGTATAGCTAGTGAAATGACAGATATCATGAGATATAAAATGGATCAAAGATATGCTACAGGCAGCAAACAGAATAGTCTTCCTTTTAGGACAAATAGGCAATCATATGGTCAGATATTGTACCAAACTTGATTATGAGGAATGAGAATAAGAAGAATTTCTCTTGGAGTGAACTAAACAGCTAGTGACCACGAAAATGGTACTTAACTAGCATCTCTCTCTAACGAGTAATTAAAAGATTATGCATTTATTTTTAAAAGTCAATAAACATGTTTTTATATGAGGGACTAAAAATGAAATTTTATGAGAAAACTGCAGAAGAACATACAAAAATAAACAAAGGTTATTAAAACACATGATATAAATATTACCTGTTTCTTTAGTAAAGCTCTCATGCCCATTCGTCCAATAGAACAGGTCCAAGGGATGTACTCCGTCTGAATGAACGTCTCAGAGAAGCGGGCATAATAATTGCGTTTATTTAAACGGTATTGCAAAGCTTGTCGCAAAACATACTGTCAATAGCAAAATTATATAAATTAATAAATCTTAATTTTCATTTTAACTGTAAAAATAAATTTTAAAGCAAACAAGTTTTTTTATATTGTTAGTTACATATAGATTTATGGCATAATTATAAGGAAATTTTTCTAGAATTTGAGAAACTAATTATGACACTTTTTCCCTTATACAGCATATTAGAATATTGTATATTTGGGTAGCAACCCTTCTTTTATACAAGTTTTATTGAATGTGACAGTGAATTTGTTTTTTTTTATTCAGTTTTTATTTTATAAGAACTAAGAGTGTAAAAACTACTCTACACATTTTTAGTTTTCATAAAAGAAAAACAAAGAGCACTGAAAAACGGAATAAAAAAAAAATTTTCTTTGTTCCTCACATTCAATGATTTCCTCCTCTTTTTTTTTTTAGCTTCACCCTTTGTGGGTTATTTAAAGCTAAAAAACACATTTTGAATTGTAAGAATTTTTCCATATACAAGTCCTACTATTTAACCCATAGTTGGGAGAAGATGGATTCATACCTTTCCTAAGTGCATAAGTGAATGTTCATTCAATGAATCCTGTATATTGCAATATTAAAAATATCACCAAATATACATTTTTTTTATTTTAGCTTTATTTTGTTCAAGTTTTTTTTTTTTTTTTTTTTTTAAATGCCATTACCTTTTTATACACATTTACAAAAATTGTATTTTTCTTTATCCTGTGTTTGGCATGTCATCTGTAATTCATAAATTTATATTTCAAAACAGAAAGATATGTTCAGCTAAATTTCAGTTGTTCTGTAAAACCAATGAATTGTTCTGGTCAGTTTGTGCATAAAAAGTACATCTAAAGTCAAAAAGAACGTAAAGAAAAGAATCCAAGTCTTGAAGTGGACAGAAACTCACCAGGATGAGGTCATTCATTGTAACAATAAGGTTTACAATATGTTTGGGATTCATATCAGCAGTGAGGTTGTCGTTCTCATACTCTAAACACTCAGTGAAGATATCTTGAACACCAGACACCTTAGAAGAAGCAAAAGTTTATATTAGAAACAAACAACAATGTGGTACCCTAGTTCCCAAGTTCACATCTGATTCCACATTCAAACAAAGCTAATTTTATCTACATTATTTGGACTATTGTCCTCATCTTTGTCACCATATTTCAACCACCTGAAGAAGGCCAGAGCGTACAATGGCTGAAACGTAATAAATATGGCGACAAAGATGAGGACATTAGTTCGAATAATGTAAATAATGTACATAATACCTCATCTCAGAAATATAGACAGATACTAAAGCTAACTTTCTAGTTTGTTTTACATACCATTTTTTTGCTTATAAAAGTGAATCCAATCAACTTTGAAGAATAAAAATCATTTTTTATTACTATAAATATTTTTAGTGGGTGTATACATATTTGACTTGACAATCTTGCTTTTTTTTTTAATTTTCAGTGAAAGTAATATCAATATTTGATTGAACATTTTTTTTTTTTTTACAGTTTATCAACTTTTGCAGGTTATTTAAAGCCAGAAAATATTTTTTAGATTGTAACTTATAAAATTTTTGTTGTTCATCATATTCAATGATTGATTGTTTATGGCTTTATCAACTCTTTGTGGGTTATTTAAAGCCAAAACATATTTTGAATTGTTAGAAAAATATTGCATTAATACTTTTTGGAGATAATGATTTACCAATACAAATCCTATTAACTAACCCAGTGGTTCCCAAAAGGTGGGGCACACCTCAGAGATGCAGTGGAAGAGGATAGTAGGTCAGATGGAATGATTGAAAGACAAAGATTTAGAAACAGTTTCAAAAAATTCACATGCCAAAAATAAATATTTCAAAATTATTATGGATTACTTGTAATTGCATGCATAAGTCCCAGTATAAATAATTATTGACTGATTTTATCTTTGTGATATTTTTGCATTATATCAAGTATTAAGAATGTAGTAACTAGGGTCCACAAAATGGAAGAGAGAGTCATCAATGATAATGTTTTTACTTTGAATCTGCAGTTATCCCTCTTTAACCCTTTCGTTTTTTTTTTGCTTTTTTTTTTTAATTTTTAAATGTATTTTATATCACATAAAATTAGATGTGGCGCAAGCAAATTTTCATTCAAAAATGTGACCCAAAGAAAAAGTTTGGGAACCACTGAACTAACACATAGCTTGGGGGGGGGCAATGTGGATTCATACCTTTCCCAAGAGTATTTGCATGCAAGTGAATATTATGAACTAGACTGGAATTTGAACTCCACTCAGATTTCCAATTCCAAGCTGTTACCCATTACACCAAACTCACATCCAAGCTTACAGTACCTGTTAATCCCAAGCAGTCACCCATCTAGGTACTGACCAGGCTCAACATTGTTTAACTTTGGTGATTGTATGAAAACTGCTGTTTTAATGTGATTTGGCTGTAAACCCACTGCCTAGATTAAGAAGTCGTATTAAAGAAAAATGTACCTCCCAATACTATGTGGCACTCATGAAAACATCAATCTAGGCCAGTTGATATTAATATTGTATAAGAAAATAAAAAAATATTAACTCAAAGTGTACTCACTAAAAATAACTTTTATAGTAATAGGAAATAATGTTGGATTAAAAAATCCACTAAAATTTTAGGGAAATTTTCATTAAAGATACCACAGTTATTTCCCTAACAAAAGACCATGCACATCAGCACCTGCCTTAAAAAATAGTGAAGAGATGATTTTTTTGTTTGGAGAAAAGATTCCTTCTATAATAATAATAATAAAAAAAAACCTTGAAGTATTGGTAAAATATCAGTGATGAGAGAGCGATTAATACATACTGCTGCATGCGATTTTTTTTCTGATTTCTTCATTTGAGCATACAAATATATTTGTAGAAGTATATTTATTCTGTAGATAAAAATAATTATCACTGACATTTCTGAAGCAAAAGATGTTTACACAAATGATCTTCCTTAGTAGAAATCGTCAATGGTTTAAAATGATGAAAATGCTACCTTCAAGGAAAAGTAATAAAAGTCAAGAAACATTGTACAGGTATGAACAAGTGAGAAGGAAAGGAAACAAACAACGTTTTAATAAAATTATTTTTCTCATGCCATTCAGAAAGCCAAGTTGGGTTGCATATAGCCTGTGAGCCACTGTTTGCTCATGACTGATCTACAGTGTCAAGCCTATTATAAATACCAACAGGAAGTCATCTCCTAAGAGGGGGAGTTAGAAATTATTATGGATAGAAAAATATTTTGAAATCAAGCATAAGTGTACTACTTTTATCACATGATAAAATCAAAGACAGAAACATCACAGCTGATGCCATTTCAATAGAGGGGTGTAAAGAATACAGTACATTCTCAATTATCCAGACACCTTATAACATGGGTGTAAAAAAAAATAAAAAAAAAAAATTGTAGAATTCAGAATAAATGAATATTTAAATTATGAAAAAAATAAATAAAAGTCATTTTATGAAAGAAATTTAACATTTACATATGTTTTCAGATGCTTTGTTCAAGGTTTTGTCCAGTTTATTTCTTATGAAAAGATGCATTAATTCTTGTCTGTTTGTGGCTAGTCTCTTGTTTTTCTGCTGCTAACTTCCAAAACTGGATTAAAGTAGATCCATTTGTAAGCATAGCTTCTGATTGAAAGCACAACAAACTTTTGTCAAACAATTCTTACTTTGGTATTTGAAATTGAAATTTTGAATGTTGAATATGGTTCTCTAAATTTTCAAAACCCTTGTCGGAGAGATGAAATAGTAGTCCAAGAGCAAATAGAAAAAGAATAGCAAAAACAATTTCTTGTTCAAAGTGACAAAGCTTCACCAGGCACTGGATACAAAACTGACAAAAGTGAAATTGGTAGAGCTTAAATACAGCTCCACTTTTAACCAGCAGAGGTGCCATGCCTCCTGCTGCTGCTGATTTAAATACAATTAGCTTCTGTGTAGATTTAACAATTAGAATGGATTTAGTTTTGATGATTTAAATTTTTGTCTTCATTTCACATCAGGATAATCAAGGAATAATTTTATATAAGAATAAACCTGAAGGAATTTGCTCTTCTCTAGTTCTCTCATTTCCTTCTTAATATTTCAGTAGATCCATTCTGAGGTCTTATTCCACTTGCAATGAAGTCTGACTACTTTTTGCTGACTCATTTATTTCTAGTGAATATTCCTCCTTTAAGTGTTAGCATAGTTATCAATTGCCATAACAAAGCTCAACAGAAGTGGCACCTTGTAAATGAGACCTAGATTTCACTGAGAGGGACAAAAGCAACTCCAAGAAGATGTAACCTATCAAGTAAATGCTTATAGGATCAAATATAAAAAAAACAATATTTACCTATCACTGAACAAAGTAAATGCTTCTTGACTCAAATATTATAATAGTTAATAGCATGATTTAAGAAAAGATGAAGAAAAGAAAAATCAGTGTTTGACAACATTAAACAATATTTCAACAGAATGCTTGTCTGTCTTCAGGTTATATTTAAACAATTTTTTTTCAAGTATAAAAATATATGAATCTATAAAAAAAATTGTGTCTTTTTACAAATGTTGCTTGTTATGTAATGAAAAAACTGCTTTACTGGTAATGAACACATCAAAACAAATGAAACATCCCAAGTGTGAAGGCATGCAACTGAAATGTGCTTAATATGGTGATCTTGTTCATCTTGAACTTTTCCATTAGTTGATTAGTTACTAAGAGGAATTAATCAAACAGCTTAGTATAAATCTTATGGAACTCTATCATTCTGTTCATTCCCCTAGGGTGGGAAGTTAGTAAGTTGCTTATGTAACCATCCTCATGTGTTTTAAGAGGTGACAGATCAGTAGATTCTGAATATTTTTTCAGAATGTGTACCTTAAAATGTTTGTCAAATTACAGTCGTTTGTAATAAAAATGTTCTGCAAGCTCCGTTGATGTCACATTATTGTGTCTGACATCATACCTGTGTTCATGGAATCATTTATTTAATTTTTCTGTTGTACAACCCACATAAATCAAGATGTTTGGTACACTGGGTGGCTTATATTAAATAGGAATCAGTACAATTACCTCCCTCTGAAGAAATCATGAGGTTTTTCTTTGAATTTGTGATAGAATTAACTTGACTCATGTTGTTGCACAATGCACAGGGTTTTCCTCTACTAGGAATGTTTTTGGGAGTATAACTATCTGAATGTTGTTTTGAGTGTGGACACTTACATTTGTTAAAATTTGTCTTTTTTTTTTTTAAATTTCTTTTGAAAGAAACTATAGGTGGGTTGAGAAAAATCTCTTTAAAACACTGATATTTTAGTTCTGGTTCATGGCTGTAGTGTACTATTTTCAAAATTCCAGTAAAATTTTGGTGCCAAATGATAAATGGGATTCTGTCAGAATTTTTGTGTTTTTTGGTGTTTTGACCTGGTATAATATTATGGTATCTTCATTTTTAGCCATTTCATTCATAATTTGTTTCAGTTGCGATTCTTGATAGTAACATTGAAAATAATCCCAAATTAAATTATTAGCATGCTTCCAATAATCCTGTCTCCATGCAAATTCGCCTTATGTGTAAAAATTGGCACTTCAAGTTTGATTTTATCATGTGATAAGGATGATCAGAATGTCAGTTTAGGTAAATGTGCGATGACGTAGGTTTGCAAAATAATTCAGTCATCAAACGATTCCTTGAGAACTTTGCTCTAGTGTCTAAAAATTCAACACTAGCTTTGGAAAAACTAGACATAAATTTTATTTGTGATCGAAAATTATTCTTTTGTGCAAAAGTATCCCAAAACTGTAGAAATTTTAAACGTTCCTGTGTACCTTCTCAGATGAAGAAAATATCAATAAATCACAGTAAAAGTTCTAGCCATGTTGTGATTTGAAAGCTTCAAGTAGTTTTGCTTCAAAATTTGTCAAAGATATTTGCAAACGGCCATAGGGGTACCCATTGCACAGCCTTTGATTTGGTGGAAAACTTTTTACCAAACTTTGTGTTGCTTTCCATGATGAAACACATAAGTCTACAGAGAAAGTTTGATGGAATGGTTTTGTGCTTCTCAAAAGCTTTGTTGCATGCCTCAAGCCCTTCATCGTGATCCACATTAGGATAAAGAGACGAGACATCCATGGTGACCAAAAGACAAACATGAAAATCATTTTTTTGTCTTGAAAATTTATTTTAGAAATAAAATCAAATGTGTCCTGGACATAAGATGATATAAGTTTTGCTATAGGAGATTAAAAAAAACATTTACCTACTAAGAGATTTTTGCCATACAACATTCGTATCCACTACAAATCAAGCATACTGAAGGAAGTTTATCAAATTTTTTTATGTATTTTTGAAAGGCTGTAAAACATTGGTGTTCTTTGCTCTGAATGTAAAATGTTAAATTTTGCTTCATTGATATAACTATTTCTTTCATTTCCGAAATTACATTGTCTAGCTTTTTTTTGTATTAAGGGTTTGGGTCTATTTTTATTTCTTCATAAAAACTTTTGTCCCTTAAAACTTCTGAAATATAGTTTTCCTTTATTCATAATAACAATTACACCTTTGTCTGCCATTTTTATGGCAATCAAATTTTCATTGGCAAGACATCAAAGAGTGTTACATTGTGAAGTAGTAAGGTTGTTGTTCCAGGTTTTGTTATGGTTTGATTTTATGTTTTGATTCATGCAAGCCTGACAGATTTTCAAAGATTCTAGTAACGACTGACTACCTCTGGATACCAGGATGGATTTTTCTTAATCCAATTATGTCAGATTTGATCGCTAATTGTAATTGTTGTAGAATTCTTACCACTTTTTTTTCGAAAAAATATTCCTTCAGCTTGTGATGACGGACAAATTGGAATACACCCTAAGCTAATTTATTTTTGTCAAAAGTTCTAGTACTTGGGCAAAATTCAATTCAAGTTGTAAAATAGAAACCTCATCTGGAGAAAACTTTACATTTCATAAATTTATTGCAGCTTTATTTTCCAGTGTGTTTGAAATTTTTAAGTATTGCTATTGGAATTTTATTTTTTTTTTAAAAGATGTTGGTATGTGTTGAACTTCAGGGACTTTTGATATTCTTCACTGAGCACATGGAACTTGTTTTGTGTCAGAATTTGCTGTAGTAGTTTCTGAATTTTCTATGACTAATTTGAAAGCATATCCTAGGGCAAAATGTCCACAATCAAATGGGCTGATTTGAGAATTGGATATGAGAAACTGTTTTATAGTAGGAGTTATGTCAGCTTGTGATGAGTAGAGTGATGTTATTTGCATAGTGAGTTTGTGAGATAAAGGTATGTTAAAACTATCATAAATATGTACATCTCCAAACAGGTTAATTGACAAAGTGTTGTTTTTTTTTTTTTGTGTGGTGTATAAAAATTGTGTGGTGTGAACAATATGTGAGGAAATCAGTATGGGAAAAGATAGTAGGTTGTATAAGAATTTCCGGAAATTTGTTAAAAATCAGTATCAAGCCAGCATCTGCAAGTTGGTCACATAACATTTGTCCAGAAACTAATTAAGTTTTCTGTGTTTTACAAATTGAAAGATTGCAGCCAAATTCAATGTTTTATGGACTTCCAAAATAGTAATAATAATGGAAAAAAAAAAAGAAAAGAAGGTTTCAATATTAAATAACCCTACAAGGGTTGATAGGTTATAAAATCAACCCCACCCAACAGGAGTGAGTGAGTCAACAATAAAAATACAATGAAAATAGCAGTCCAGAGACAGGATTACAGGCAGAAAGGGACCATCAACAAAATTGATTTATCTAAAGAAGGTCGGAGAATGGACCAATTTAAAAAAAAAAATGATACAGGGAATATCAAATAACAGAACAAAGTAACAAGATAGCAATTCTAACTACAAAAATAGGAAGATTACCTCTCGGTAAAACAAGTCCAAATGTGTGAGGTTCATGGAGTGATTGGCTTCTCCACGTTTGTCAACAATTCGCTTGATTATCGTTGGCAATAGAGACCTGAATTAATAAAATGGAACAAACAATAATTGTTAGACAGTATCATTTCAAGATTTTATTTTTATTTAATCATTTGACAGATGATATACATTATGAATTTTAGAATATTAAAATGTTTAACCAACCTCAAGGTTCTGGTGTCTAATTATTGTAGTAACAGTAAATGGCATGTACCTCAGTCCATAAAATATTCAGTTTAATATCATTCTATACACTTAGGAATAGGGTAAATCTAATGGTTGCAATGTATTCAACTTATTTTCATTAAATATAATATTAAGAAACACTTACAAAAATGAAAGGTTTATACTGAATATTTATTTCTATACTGTTTAGTTTTTTTTTTGTTTCTTTTTTTATACTTCGGTACAATCATTGTAGAGTCTGTGTAGGTAAATATTGATGTAGAAGTGTTGTTACAAATTTAGTCTAATGAAGTCCAAAAGGCATCTTACACAAATTTTTTTCCCACTTTGCCATACATTCCCCACCCCAAAATATTCTTGATTTATAGATATTTATATATATATATATATATATATATATATATATATATATAAAAAAAAAAAAGAGTATTTGAAAATATTACAGGACCACTTACATCTCTTCCAAAAATTTGTAATCTTGCTCACTACTTCGAAGAGCAATCATGGCAGCAACCTTTTCAGCATTTTCACACATGAACATAGCTGTATCCATAACAACATCACGAACAGGAATAGAATTCAACTGCAAAGAACGAATCAGCCAAGGTAAAATAAAATTAAAAAATGAATCCTTGTTACTTTGTTTTTGTTAGATTCACATTTTCAACAGTATTAAATACATATTTGCAAAATAAAAACAAAAAAGAAATTTGAGACAGCAGTAAAGAAAGGCAAAAAAGAATATCAGTCTGAAAAAAATCTGCCTTTGAACAAATAACAAAACTTTCTATAATTTTGTCTGCCATGTTTTACTTCTTCCAAATATTGTTAACCTTATCACATCATTGTTAATGATGATCATATTTATTTAAAATGTACTTTTCTTAATGTTAAAATATTTGTTTCATTTCAATTTTTGGGGTGGACAATACTAAACAATGATTTTTTTTTTCATACTTATTTTTATAGTATCTTTTTTTTTCAGCAATAATGTTCACTTTGTAAAGGGCCCAAGAGCCACTCGATGTAGAGGGTTACAAAATAAGAGGCACAGGTTATGTGAGGAAGATAACTGTTAACCCTATACTTGAACCAGTTAAGATTGTAGTGATTGGGGTAGCTCCCTCTTGAGTGTTGGTTCCACAAAGTGGCAGTTTCTGGGAAGAAATGAAATCCATTTTTCTAATGATGCTGTTTTATTAGCAAAACATGTTAAAAACATTTTCAAAATTGTTGTACTATTCTACTGGATTGTCATCAAAACTTATATCACAATAGACAATATATAATATAATATACAATATATAATATAATATATAATATAATGTACAATATAAAATTAATAGAAAAAAAAAAAAAAAAAGAACATGATTAAGATTGTTTTACTTTTTATTATACCGATTTTCTTTGGACTAGTATTCTAATGTTGGTTGTAATTGTCAACAATTACCAAGATGAGGACACTAGACTGGCAGGCCTGTGTATAATTCATTCATTCAAAAATGCAGACAAAGACATTTTAATTTTTATAGAGACTGAGATAATTTTTTTTTTTTTTTTAATGTTTAACTGCATTGAAATTTTTTTTTTTTTTTTTATCAACCATAGGGGTGATTAGGCATGAGATTTTTATATCTTAATGAACATGCAGGAATTCAGCACATAGACGGATATTTTGGGATTCAACCCAATCTCAGATTTGTTATAACATCAGTGCAACCAGAAATGATTTATATTGGGATTCACTAAGTGTGCATTGAACATAAAAATAAATTCATTTCGTGATTAAATAAGTTTAATATTGGCTTATCACCAGCCTGGATTTACATATATGGGATAGTATTTCATATTTTACACCAAGAAAGCATCATCTAAAATTTTTTCAAATAGACAAAGGATTGTGAACATACATAATGAAATAATTTGATTAGTCCAGGGGCTTCTTAAGGCCTAAATCCGACCCTGCTTGTCACCAATTCTTATCTCTGTACATAGAAGGCAGAAGGTGGAATAGACAACAGTGTATATGATATACTATTAAATGAAATAAATCTTTCTGTGTTGTGGATTAGCTTCCTGGGGAAGTGAAGGTGGATAGTTATTAAAAACATTTAATAATAGTAGCAAAAGTAAATTAATTAATATTTTCCTTACCTTATCAGTTAGGTTGAAATATCTTAAAAATTTATTGAACATCTCATGCAAATTCAGTTTCTTCTCTAACTGCTTCAAAATTAAATTTGAGCTTTTGTACCCCAGATCTGGTGCTAAAGAAAAAACAAAAAAATTAACCAATTTTGGGTTATAAATACACATTATGAAAATATAAAATGTTATTTTGCTTTACTTAAATGTGTTAATAAACAAAAAAAAAAAAAAAAAAAATCATCGAACTTGGTCTTTTTTTTTTCAATCTATCTTTTACCATTGATCATTTCTCAGCAGAGTGCAAGCTCTTCAATAAAGATGTATCCTGCATTGGTCTGCCTCCTGGAAGAAATCAGTGTTTGAACCCAGCATTTTGAATACTGATTTTCAAGGCAAGCAGATTATTCTCATGTGGAAGATTAGCACATTATAATCTTTGTATCTTTTACCAATCATTTGGCCTTGTGTCATAATAAATTCAGTAAATGCCAAATCTGTGCATTTGTTGAGAATTGCGATTTATGAAACAAACACACACACACACACACTTCCTTGAATTATCAGATGATGCCATAGTGGATTCTTTTCTTTCCTAATTAAAGTTACCTGAATGAAATTCAGCTAATTAAAGAGAAATAATACAATAGATCCTCTAACCTGGACAAAAGAATGCGAACAATCAACTGACAGACTGAATAAAACATTTGGTTTGTAATTCCAGAGTTACCAAATAGAACAACAAGTAAATGAAAAGAGTCAGAGAGTACAACAACTGAAACAGTGTGACTATAACAACCAAGATGGGGACACCAAGATGAATAAATCAGTGTATCAAAGGGAGGTGACAAAAAAAAAAACTTACTGGCATTTTTTGATTCTGCCCACCGTGGGTCTGCTGAGGGATAATCATCAATAATAGACAGGCTGGTCTGAGCTACGATTTGGTCAAGCTCTGTTGATTGAGCAGGTAGAGTTTTAGCAGTTTCTGTATTTATTCCAAAATCTTGATTCATTTGTGTTGGAAATATTTTTATTAGTAACTCCTCAGCTCTTTTCTAGAAAAAAAAAAAAAAAAAAAGAAAAAAAAGAAAAAAAAAGAAGTTTTTGTAAAAAACATTTTAAAGTGTTTCAATACAAAGTTGCAGTAATATTAATTAATATTAAGTTTACATACACCATCAAGAAAACTATGGCAATATGTAATTTAACAGCGCTTTTTGTTGCTCTGTATGTTCTTAAATTTGTTCCATATTTCTGAATATTAAAAACAATAAAATTATTTACAACTTCTTTGTCCCCATGCTATAAAAGAATAAATGGATATATTCAAACATTTTTTTTAATCATTTCACTCCAAGCAAAGCAATAAAGCTGCTAAGACACAAGGAGTTACTTAGTGCAAAATAATAATAGAAAAAGAAAAACATTATTGAAAGAGAACAAAAGAACAGGAATTAAAGAAGAGAAAATATCCCCCTTTTAAAAATTTATCTACAGAGACAATCACAATTTAAGAGTTTCTTTACAAATATTTTTAGTATAAATATGTGGCATTTCTATTACATGACCAAAAGAAGTCAATTTATACATTGCTATGTAGTAGGGTCTTCTTGTGATACAGAACAGTGTCACACACACACACATGCTCTCTCACACAAATATATGAATTGCACATAAAGTGCTGGTGTTATTGAAATAGTACTTGATGTTATATAAAAGCTATAAAGTATACATATATTAATAAATATACATATTATCCATTATACACTCAGCAACTGAAGATTGTATTTGGCATGAAACTCCTAGTCATGCGTATGATGTGGAATAATATGTGTGTGTGTGTGTATATAGATAAATATTCTATCTCTATAGATGGATTATTGGATTATCTTTGCTCAGTATTTGACATTGCTTCAGTCCTTGCATGGGACTTTTTTTTTTTTTTTTTTTTTTTTTTAAACAAATGATCACCTAATCCAAATCCCAAGAGTCACTCAAAGTAGAGAGTTACTGTGCAGACTTATAATAGTATAGGAAAGAACAAGTGTTAAGTGTATAAAGCTGAAGCAGACTTCAGAAGGAACTTGAAAACCAATCTTAAACAGGAAACAAGGGATAAACCTCTACTCCTGTTCAAGAGATTGGGGTGTGAACAGGACAATAGGCAAACCTATCCACTCCTATTTGCATTTTCTATATGAACAGAATGAAGATTGGCAATTACTGCTCAACAAAGGTGAATGTAAATGCCTACACTTTGGAACTAATAATTCTGAATACAATTATTTTATTGGAGATGTTTTATGTGAGTCAATATCTCTATAAAAAAAAAAAAAAAATCTTGGAGTTTGGATTCTAGCAAAAGTTTGTTGTAACAAATGCAAACAGGATTCTAGATATAATTAACAAAACCTATTCCAACAAATCAAATGGAAATTCTTCTGATGCTGTAGAGGTCACTTCTGACACTTATCATTGATAAGCTGGGGGTGGGTGCCAAGGATATTAAAAAAAAAAAAAAAAAAGTAGCAGTTCAGAAGCAAGCTAATAAAATGGTACATGATTTTGATAAGTATACTTGCCATCAGAGACTAAATTTGTTTAACAATTTTTCCTTGGACAATAAAAGAAATCGATGTGATTTGATTGAAACATTCAAAATTTTGAATGGATTTACAGATTTACATAGTTTGGACTATTGTCCTCATCTTAACATTTCAGTTGTTGTACGCTCTGGTCTTCTTCAGGTGATATTTGATGAAAATTCAAATCAAACCCTTTTAGTCCACCGGGGTAGATTGTTCAAATTCCACATACTATGCCTTATATCTCAGTCATTTAATTCACCTTGATAACTCTTCAAGAAAAAAATACTAGTTTCATAAGTCCTAAAAATTCATTTGTTAGGTTAAAAAAAAGTAATTACCGATTTTTTATGGCAAAAAGCTACAAATGCTGAAGTGAAGATGCTCTGAGTAGAATCACTGTCACCAACTGTCTCCTGAAAAAAAAAAGTATTTTTTTTTTAAATTTTAATTTATTAAATCTTGGAGTAAATATTAAAATGTAATAAATTAAAATAAATTCACTTGCTAATAATTCAAGATTATACACAGTGTAACCTGGATATAAGAGAGATTTTCTCTGATCCCAAAGTGTTCCCATACTTACCTAAACAAAATAGACCAAACCCGGATATAAGAGACTTCTTCTCCGGTCCCGACAACTCTCTTATATCCGGGTTACACTGTACATGAAAAAATGTTTGTAGCACTGCTTAACTGCCCACTCATAAAAAAAAAATATGGAAAAGGTTTTTGATAATAATTTGTGTAAATTAAAATTCATCAGAACTTCTGAAAAGGTACCACGTTTATCAGAATGGAAAAATAGAATTGTTTTAATTTTAAACATTTTAGAAGTAGGGCTCTATTCATAATATCAATAAAATAAAATTGGTCTAACTTTTTACAGTTATCTGGATTAGCTATTCTTTATACAAAAACAAACTTTCTTGTTACAAAAAGATTTTTTTAAATAAAGAACAAATAGATATATACATTTTTATGGATCGATTTGTCTTTTATGGCTTATCAACCTTTTGCAGGTTATTTAAAGTCAGAAAATATTCTTAGATTGTAATAATTTTTTTTACATAATTTACTGATACAATTCCTACTAATTAGCCCATAGCTGTGGAGAGAAGAGGTGAATTCATAACTTTCCTAGGGGTATTTGCATGTCTGTGAATATAATGAACCCTACTGGAACTTGGCTCTTTGATTTCCAATCTGTGATCAATTACACCACCTGCACATCTGAGCTTAGTCACACATCTTGGTACTGACCAAGCTCATATATATTTTTGATTAAAGAACAAAAATTTACATAAATTAACAAAAATATATACCTGTTTATTATCCACCAATGTTGATACACAACAAATTATCACATTTTAGAGCTATTAGTTAATATTTGTGGTTATTATTAATTAGATTTTCAATAGTTTAGTACAATTTCCTAACTATTCACATCAGAAACAACTCGTACTTATTGCTATGGGGCATCTTAACACAAGGCATGTCTACATCTAACTCCCACCATAAACAAACATGGCAGATAGTAAGTACTGGAATTGACAGTACATCTGGAATTAATAGTAGGCCTACTGAGCTAACTGGTTTGTTTCAATATTACACAAAATGTGGTAATAAGGCTGGTATACTTGGTGCACATATAAAATATAAGTCAGTCTATTAGTTGGAGTTTGCTGAGATGAATGAATGACTTACAGTACCAGTAGGAAACTGCTTACTGGTTATCATCAATACTTATTATATATATGGTATAATCAATTGATTGTGAATCCCATGACCCTGATGGGTCATAGGAGTACCACATGTACTGCAGCTGCAGTAGAGTGGTGTTTCTTGGGTAAGATAGCCTGATGGAGCCCAAACCTCTCCAGGCTGGTTTTGAATTCAGAGTCACCTTCTCCTAGACCAGTTGCCAACCAAGGTTATAGAACCCAATCTGTCCTGCTATTTATCTAGAGATGGAGGGGGGGGGAGAGAAGAGGATTCATACCTTTCCCACATAAGTGAATGTAATGGATCTGACTGGAATTCAAACTTGGCTCTCAGATTCCTCAATCTGAGCCACTATCCATTACTCCATGCCTATGGTATGATACTAGTGGGATATATGGTATTTATTATGAATGAATAATATAGGCATATATTATATGCTTGTCGTCCAAGATTGCTTGTATCGCGTGATTATGGTTCCTGAGGGTGGAAACCTCCTCTCTACAACTTGACCTTTCAGTACTTAGATGCAGGATGATTTTTTAGGGCATTTTCAGGAAAAAATGCAGAAGTATACTGGAAATATGGTACATCTCATGAATGGTTACCTGGTTTATACAGATGTCAGATAGTTTTCATAGCAGAAACCATCATCTTTGCCCCCCTCTTAAATGGCCAAAGATACACAAGTCTTGGATTTTTATTGGCTGCTCAAATCTGAAACAATATATTGCACAAATTGAAAATTAATTATTTCAAATCTTCCATAAAGTGGAGATTGCGTTAGACATGAAAATATAACCATATATTTTATGTGGCTGCCCTATCCACAAGATTACATTGTCCCCACAAAACAAGTGATATATACATTATTTACAATTGGACTAATGTCCTCATCTGTTATTATCATGTTTCAACTGTTATGTCTTCTTGCCTTCATCAGGTTCTTATCACCTCAGGTAACCTTCTGGGAATTTTGAACTGAATCCTTTATTTAATCTATTCAGGTAGATTGTGCTCATTCTGCTGTCCACAATCTGAGAACAAACACTCTGATAATAATGATGAGGACATTAATCCGAATGTAAATGATGATAACCCTTCAACACAGAAATTCCAACAGAAATGATTCTGACAAATGTACATAGAACAGTTGTAATTGATGTTTTTGTCAGATGATCTACTATTTTGGAATGTTGAAAAAATAATGAAGCGGCATAGTAGACCCCCACCCCCGCAAAAAAAACACACACATATGACTGGCTGAACACATGATGTCAGGTGGGCTGCAAATTATGTTATCAGAGCCTGAAGTAACAGGTGTTGTTTTTTTTTTGTTTTTTTTAAGGGCCAGAAGATAAAGTCTTTGAAGTTTGGTGTTCAAATTGGTCACTCAAAAGAGAATAAAATAATAAGTAAAAATTTGTGAGATCAAGTGACACCTGGCTGGCAGTCAGAAGTTTCTGTCTGTAGCCTTAAAATTAGCAATGCACACTTGCAACCGAAAATGTCAGAATTACAATTTTGAGGCATATTCTCTGCAGTAAAATCATTGTTTGTAGCCAACCATAGGATTACAGTCAAACCTATATCATTTAATAGCATAAAAATAGATCTTTAATATAGTACCAACAAAAAAAAAAAAACAAAAAACTCTAGTTATTATTTAGTAATGAAATAAAAAACTGCTATATATTAGCGTGTTTTGATGTATTTCGGTTTTTTGATGCTGTCCATAGTAACACCCTAATTTCAAAATAATATTCTGACAAAGCTTCTTTGAATATTTTTGTAAAATTTTCTGACAAAACTTCAATAAAAATTACCTTTATAAAAATTAAAACTTTCTAATTGAGTAGATATTTCTTGTTTATTTTTTTTTAAGAAAATCTTTGAAATAAATCCATGGTTGGAAAAAGAATAAGATAAATGTTATGTGTACTAATGTTATGTGTACTAAATGTTATGTGTCCAGTAATAATTTACTGGACACAGCAGCAAAAGTTACTTGACCGATTTTTCCTTGAAGAAAAAAAAATGTGAGTTTTTAAGAACTTTCAAATTTTTTTTTTTTTATTTATTTAATTTGGTGGTTTCTATTTATTATTTATTTAATTTATTTTTTATTTTTAATATTTTTTGAACAAGTGTAAGTCAAGTGTCTTTCATAAGAGTTGAAGGAGCCTGAATTGAATATTTATTAATGAGCTAAGTAAGTTTCAAAATGTTTTTAACAAATTCCACAAAACTTGCTATTGATAATATTGTTCAATATTTGTCCAAATTTCTAAGTTACCAACAAAATATGTCATGGAACATTTTATTTGATTTGATAGTGATGATGATGTGACAGCGGATTGCCTTCATCCTGGAATATACAAAAGAATCAGAAATATGAAAAAAAAATGTCTGTTGTAAGAGCTTCTCCAAATTATCTTGTAACAGTCCACTCCTATAAACTAAAGCAAAATATTTCTGAGGTAAGATTAAAGTTTCTGCAAATGTACATAGCTCAGATTTTGATATTTTTTTTTTTAAAAATGGAAACAATAAGCAATAAAATTATTATAGGTCTAAATTGAGGTAATTAGGTTTATGAGATTTCAATGGTTTATTTGCTTTTTCTGTTAGTCTTATGCAAACTGTCAGTACTGGAAGATCTGTTTTTAGAATATTTTTCATTTCAAGTTGATTCAAGTAAGTTATTGCAATCCTTATGTTGACTTACTCATTCAGAGTTTTTATCTGATATATAACTTGACTATGTTTTTCAAATGTCAAAATTTTTATAATTAAAAATAGTCACTTAATTAAAAATGGCCACCATTAATATTAGTTATCTATTGATGTTAGTGGCCTCTATGGATTAAAATATATCTAATTGTTAATTGCTGACAATAATTGACCAAAAAAAAAAAAAAAAAAAAAAAAATGCTCTTTTTCTGATCCTACAGTAACAAAATCTGAATTTTGGGGCTGCCATCTTGGATATATGGCAGCCATATTGGATGACTATAAAAATTATGTGGTCGGGAATAGTACCATATAATTCTCTATATTTGGGCAGCTCAAGGTGGTGTAATGGTTAGCAAGCTTGTCTCGCAAGAACAATTACGACTGATTAGAGAGTTCTATCCTCACTGGGAGCCCCTACTTTCGACCTTGTGCCACATCTAAGTTAAGCTTGGAAAAATCACTATGGCCACCTTGAGGTGGTGTAATGGTTAGCAAGTGTGTCTCACTAGAAGAATTATGACTGAGTAGTGAGTTTGATCTTCACTGGGTGCCCCTACTTTCGGCCTTGTACCACGTCTAAGCTACGCTTGGAAAATCACTACAATTCCCTATACTGAAAACTACTACTATGTGAATTTTCATGAATTTGTATTTAGTGATAGTGGAGAAAATTGATTTTATCTATGAAAGTGGGGTTTTTTTGTGTCTGAAATCCTGATTTTGGCTTTTTATAGTTTTATCTAGTACAGCAATTCCTAATTTGGTCTGAGTGAAAAATCCAAATAACTCAGCAACAGTTCAATGAATGTAAAAAATTAATTGAATGGTTTTCTTCTTTCAATGAGTTCTATTGAAAAAAACTAACTTTTATATATATTACATCAAATTAAAAAAAAAAAAATAATAAAAATTTGAGTGTGCATTGCTACTTATAAGTATAGTCCCAGTTAGGGTGAGGCAGAAAGAAAGCTGTCTGTCTGACCAGTTGTTTGGTGGAAGTAAGGAAAGAAAAAGGGCCTATGTACCACCTACCAACGATTAAAGAGAATACTAGTTCTGACTTGAAACCTCAGTGAATAAAATACCAAATCATTGTTTTTTTTTTCATTTCTTGTCATGGCATTATTTTATCCGTTGTGAATGTTCAGTCTTTGTACACACTAATGTGAATGGGAAGTGAAACAGCATGGAGAATGATTTGCTTGGTCAGTGAAAGACAGAGAGGGAGTCCCATTGTATAAAGAGAAGGAAAAAATAGGTTATGTCAAAAGTTGATTTAAAAAAACTACAATGAGGATAAAAAAAAAAAAAGAAGATTCTGGATGTTACCAATTAACTGGATTGTTTGTATATAGAAAATAATTTTACCTCCATATCAAGAATTCCTTCTGTGTCACCAACACTGAAAATGATTGAAGAAAAAAGAAAATCATGAAAAATGCTTTTTCTTGATAGATGAGAAAATAAAAATAAACACAATTGTCCTATTAACATTTAGCACTCTGCATCATTTATAAATATTACTTTCCCTTCTACTGTATATGGAATCCCTTCAAAATATAGTGTTTTTATATATATATATATATATATATATATATATATATTTGAAATTGCAATAGCCTGGCTCTCAATTCCAGTCAAGATTGTCATAAAAGAATACTAGCAGTATAACCCGTCTTTGGCCAGGTCTTTCATTACTGGGAATTTTTGCCGTTCAGTTGGAGCAGTTTAAGTTTAAAGTCAGCCCACCCAAAAATCAATATTAGTAACAACATTTGGGTGCAACTGAGGCACATCCCCAAATGGGGATTAACAATTTGAAGGGGGGGGGCTGAAAAGGGAACTGTATAACAATAAATAATATTATTGTAATAATTTAAACTATTTATTTTTATTAAAGTTTTTATGAAAGATATATATCCAAGAACAGATAGTAAATAGTAAAATGTTGCTGAGAGTTATAATGGACAGGAAGTAGCGGAGAGCCATTGTCGCCAACAATTTGGACTCCAAAATCAGCACTGAAGAAATATCTATCAAACAAAAAAATTTCATCGAAATCAAATGAAAACTGTGGAAATGCATAAATAACATCTGATCACACACACATACATACACAGACACATTTTGAGAATTATAGATGACAACATAACCAAGAAATTCAAATTCAATTCACATTGTCAAGACTAACATTTTTTTCTTGGTGAAAATAATCACCTACAGAGTGCTAAAGGTTAAGAGAAATAATAGAAGGTAATTGAATAATAAAATTGGGAGAGAGAAAGAAAAAAAATCTCCAAATTAATACATTTTTCTCCCAGAACTTTTAAGGTAAATGGAAACAAAAAAAAGACACTATTTACACCATTTACTTTGTTTGAGCTGTTGCCTTCAACTTTACTGTCACATTTACGTTTAGGTCATTGTAGACTCTGGCTCTCTTCAGATGATATTTGTTGGAATTTCAAAACAAACCCTCCAGACATTTGATTAAAGAAAAAAGATGCCTGTGCCGACCTTGTATGAAAAAAATAGTAACAATAATTTCCAATAAGTAAATGAAAGAAAATCAGTACCTACCTCAGTTTCTGTTGATTAGAAACATGTGAGACAAGCAGGATTCCTCTATGGGCAGAAAACAGTAGTGGATTTGAAATGAATTTACCTGTCAACAAATAATTTTATTTTGTTATACATCATTAACCCAAAGTAGTTCTTGAAATTATAAGACATTAATCTATTCAAACAAGTGTTACCTTATTTTCACTGCTATAATTACAATATTTTAGCCATTGCACTTTATCCTTCTCCAAGTTTGTAGAATCTGGTAATATTTTGAGAATTTCAAAATTGCCTGTACGTATATTTTGTGAATGAATGAGTTTTTTGTTTTTTTACACTTACCTAAAATTTCAGCACTTGATGTGCATTAACAATGAGGAAAAAGATTATCAGGTCAAGAATTAATGTATTTGTTACTTACAGAATGGTGTTATATGTATACAAAACTATATCGGAAAGTTTCTCGACTGTATTTGCTGTGATTTCAATAGAAATGCAGCAAACATACATTGGTATCCAACCTACTAAATGTCTTCATGCGATTATATTCAGTTCTTATGCAAAGTTTTGTAGTATTATGTTGGAACAGCTCTGCAATCCTTACAAAAGCTGACAAAATTTGAACAAGTTTTGTGTGAGACCTTTGAAATATTGTCAGGTTTTTGGCAAATATTCCTTAGGTAGGTACCTCCACGAAATCGCTAAAAAAAGAGCATAGCTTGATGAAAAAGACGCCAACCTTGCCGAAAACTAAATTTTATTGTCTAAATGCTTATGTTATTATTAAGAGGAAAGACCAAAGTTTTTTTTTAATTATTTTTAAAAATTTTCCTTCTTTTTTAGAACATTCTAAATTTTGATTAAAAAACCTTCTTTCTATGTGTATCAGCGAACTAGTAAATAACATAGACAATTTTAGTATGTTTTTTTGGTATGACACACATTAATTTGAAAAATCGTGCAAAAATAGAAATAATTATCGGATGTTAATGAAACTTTCAGGAACTATTCACAGATGATCGAAATTATTATAAATGTTTTTTTTTATGAAAGTCATGGTAGAAATATTTTTTAAAATATTTATTACCCCCATAACTAATTTTATGAAAACGCTAGAAATTGATTGCATCGGTTTTAGTGATTACAATAATTAAAAGCACAGGGCTTTGAGGAGTGCAAATCATGTTTTTTGTTTTTAATTGGATACGCAGTACCTGAAAATCAGCTCTGAATTGTAACATACAAAACTCAATAAAACAAAGATATTATTTAATTTCAAATGCTTTTATTTGCTTTTAGTTGTTTTTATGAATATGGACAATATTTTCTGAAAGCAAAAATTTTTTCAATGAAAATGAATTTTTAATACAATTATTTGTTATTTCATTAATTATAATAGATTTTACATTTAAGTTGTTAAAATATTATAAAATTAGTTAAAAGTCAAGATCGGCTTTCATAAGTGTCCTTATGAGATAGATCTTTTTTAGCGTTGTAAATTGTATCATTTTGACTAATCAGAAGATACCCAGTAATTAAGAAATGTAATTTTGTGCTTATAATCGAGCTGTAATTATAAAATACGGAAGACCAACCAGAATATAATTAAGTTGCGTTATTTGAGTTAAGCATTGTTCTCCGCTGTTAAGGCCTTTACTTTTATGAAACACGTGTGAAGTTAATTTGATTTTTCAATTTCAACTGAGAAGGGTACCTACAATATTAGTATCATCTTACAAAATTTATATGATATTATTTTTTATATTAATCTCAGTTACGACATTTTTCCATAAATGAAATATCAAAATTAATAATAAAATGAATGCAAATACAAATAACAGTAGAATGTAATAAATGTACATAAAATTATAGTATTTTATGTACAATTTGATAAAATTTCATAAGAAAGGTACCTATAAATTAATTAGATACCTTTCTTAAGAAATATGAAATTTAATCTCACTCTTAACAGTTTTATTTTAATTTCTTTACAATATATTTCCCATAAAGCATCATAAACATAAAGGTGAAAGCTAAGTACAAAAAAAAAAAAAAAAAAAAAAAAATGAGACCGCTGAAAGTTTTCATTAAAATAACAGGGTAAATAATTTGTTCACGTAAATGTAAATTATTTCACTTTTCTCCTTTCAGAGAACAAATTAGCCTCATGGAATTTCAGAATATATCATTCATCACATGTCAAGAGACGCGAAAGTTTATGACCTGCTTTTGTTTTATTTTCAAATTACATCTTTTGGCACAAAAGCTAAGTTAAGTTTGGTTCAAAATATTTTAAATAAACATTATAATTTCTGATTTTCTTAAAATAAGTTTTGAAAAAATGATAATTGATATTTAAGTCAGATTTCCAGTTTTTTTTTAAATGGAAAAAATGGTCAATTTGCTGACTCAAAAAATACTAGATTTTTAACGTAAAATTTCGGACGTGCTAGGAACGATTAAAAAATGGAAAAATACCCCAAAAAATACTTTGACCTTTCCTCTTAATAATAACAAACATTTAGACGATAAAATTTTGTTTTCGTCAAGTTTATGCGTCTTTTTTTTCATCATGCTATGCTCTTTTTTTAGCGATCTTGTGGAGGTACCTATCCTTAGGTCAAATATAGTATTTTTTGAGTGGCACACATATTTCAAGGTTGCTAGAGTTAGTTCAAGATGATGAGTGCTCAGGATGATAAATCACTGACAAAAAGTAGAAAACATGGAAAAATAGGTCATCTCATTCATGAGGACAGTTGCTAAATAAATCAGTTAGCTCTCTCTCTCTCTCTCTCTCTCTCTTTCTCATATAACTGGAAACAATTATGTTGCTTGTTGAGAGATCTGGGAATTTTTCCATATCTTTTGTGAAACCTTCTGGACTCAAAATTTCTGAGAGAAAATATTGTTGCTATTATACATGGAGCCAAATGACTTTCTTAGTCATTATGAGAGCATTTCAGCTGCAATTCGTTCTGATGTTAACAGATTCAACAAACCTTGGATCATTAGTAAATATAAATGCTGATAATACCACAGTTTATGGGTGTACCTCTAAAAATCTAAATGACCAGAGCCTGGCAGCTAATCTCTCCTGTGAATCTGCTTGCACATCTCAATTGGGAAGGAACTGACTTCTAACATTCAATCCCCTCAAAGCCAAACTAGTAATATTTTATCATCACAGATCAGGCATCGAATTTTCTCCAGTCAGTATGAACAGTTGTGCTCACTAGAATGTCTATTGGGACTTAAGATCACCCAGACCTCAAGTGAAACTTGTACATATGATCCGTCACTGATGATGCTGGACAAATGGTTGGTTCCTTGCACTGTTCCAGAAAGCAAGACACCTTTTGCTATTCTCTATCTTCACAAGTAGGAGGGAGGGGGTGGAGAGACAGACAGACAGACATAAGTTTGAATACTGCCCAAGAATGTAAAAATTTTTCTTTTACATAATAAAATGACACTTTTTCAATTAAAGAGACAACTCTCTAACTTTCAATAGCCCATCTTCTTTCTATATAATAAATGCAAATATCAGTGTGTCACATTTTTTAAAATTTACTCCTAGAGGCTGTATCCCAACATATACCACTTTGCAATCAGGCCGACTGTGATCAAATTAAAAACATTCTGGGTTGGATCTGGACACGCAATCCTGAAATTCTGTATTTCCAAGTTTTCATTTCTGCAATTCTTTTCAATTTTTTTACGTGATATTTTGCAACAAATTTTTAAAAGTGAAGAAATCAAATCAAAGTGGAAAACAATGATATGTTCCACCTTTGTCAGGTAGATGTACTCAGGGATATTTATGCACATTTTTATTATTTGTGCCATGTTCTTGCTGAATAACGTGTAGAGAGTTTGATGGACTGGGAACTTCCAGAGTCCTTCAGATACTCCCATGTATATATATATATTTTTTTTTTGTAATTTGTTGATTTTACAGTGGCTTGGTATATTACATTGTTCTGTAAGCAATTACTGTTTAAGGGACATTATTCTTTGCTCTGCAGTTACACATGGGTTTCATTTTTGTGAGTGTTTTGTTGATTGTTTTCCTGTTGTGCTTTTTTATTATATATTTCATGCTCTTGGTGCAACTGAAGCTTATTTTTTTTCTGTGTTTTTCTTGAATATCTTGTGGAGAGTGCTTGATGGGGGGGGTTTATAGTATATCAATATCAATGTGTTATTTAATGCTGACAAGATTTTTACAATAGATTCGTATGAATAGAATATATATTCTTTGTAAGGAAACAGTTTGTAGATCCAGTTTTATTAATATACTTTTGTGAAGAGGGTTCTTGTTGAGAGTCTGCATTTATTGATGTATTCTTTTCAGACACGGTTTTTAGAGAAATTGATTTTTGACATTCTCATTTGGTTTATAATTTTTGATAGAGGCCCATTGGTTTCAGAAATGATATCAACTTATACACACTGCTTATATTATAAGATTTTTGTCTTGAGGGAGCAAGATCTGAGCATTCAGTTAATATGTTTAATAGTATATGTCATTTTACATGCTTGGCATACTGGTTGATCTTTGTTTAGTAAGTACGAGTAGGTTATTCTCATATGGCTAATGCATGCAGGCCAGTACCAATTCTTCCTTATGAGATTTTCTAGGAGCTGAATGTGTGGGTTATGGTTCCAGTACCATTCCTTTTGAATGTATTTATTAATAACCCACTTAAAATCTGTGCACAGGATTTTGGTCCTTATATCCACATTCATATTTATCTCACTGCTGGGCTTAGGGTTTTAACTATGAAGTTGATTTTTATTCAAAAAAGCATCACTGAAAAAATGCTTCCTTGTGGAACCCCTTCTTGCAGTTCTGATAGTGTACTTCCTATATGGACTTGAAACCTCCAGTCTTTCAGGAAATTCCCTATGAATCAGTCTTCCTTTTAGACCCAGTTCATGCAGATCTTTCAAGATAGAAAAAGCTTATGATGCAACATGGAAATACTGGCATGGGATTTTTTTTCTTAATGAAAGCTTCCATTACAAAGTTTCCTAGGTGTATCAATTTTAGTAACAATTGTAATTTGTTCGTCAACTGTTTTATGAATTGATAGTGGATATCATCTGGTCTCACAGCTGTTTTGTGGACTTTAAAGATTCATTTAGTTCCGCTATAGTGAATGGTAGGTTATAGCTCTCAGTGTTATTTGATTTAAAGTTTAATTTTTGTTTTTTGTTTGAGCTTCAGAAACTGTTGGCTACCATTTGTGGCAGATGAGTTCTTAGAGATTGTTTTTGGTTAATTGATTTTGCTGGTTATTTTATCAAGAGGTGTTTTATAGCGTTAGTTTGATGTTTATCAGTTATTTTCCTTATCTTATCCCATACAGATTTTGTTTCTGTGGCAGAATTAAGTTTGTTGACACAGTTTCTCCAACATTTTTGTTTTGCTTTCTTGAATTATTTTCCAAGCTTTTGCTCAAAGTTGCTTAAATTGTAACAAATCAGGAGGTTGAAGGCTGTTTGTTGAAATCTCTCAAAGCTCTTCTTCTGACCCTGATAGCTTCCTTACACTCATCATTGAACCAAGGTCTGTTACATTTTTTTTTGGTACTGAACTTTTTGGAATGCATTCTTTTGTTATAGATATAAGGATTTCCATAAACCGTTTTAAGTCTTTGATGCATTTATGTTCAACTCGTTTATCAAAACATTGGTTTTTAAATTTGTCCCAGTTTGCTCCACCTAATTTCCAACGGAGAGGATTTTTTACCATTATATTCTGAATTCTGCAAAACAATTGGCAATCTGCATGTGTCCATCAGAACCTTCCAAGAGAAATCCATATAGATTGATGGATTGCATATTTTATGTCCTTATAGGCCCCAATATGGTGCTGTAACAATTAAAGACCCTAGTATCATAAAAGGTGCAGGGAGTGAATTTAGGCGTTATTAGGTGGGATATATACTGAGCAAATGCTTATTAGCCTATGTAGGATCACTTTAGCAGTAGTTGCCTGTAGTTTTCAAATTTATTTTACTTTGGGGTACATCATTCCTAAGTAGGATAGATGTATGGCCAGATGCACAAAGCCCAGTATCATGTGTATAGTTGTTTTGCTGGTATTCTTTTATATTCAAGGCCTGTTACTAACAGAAGCAGTTCATTTATATTTGCCTTTATTCCATGATAGTCCCATTGAATTATTTTATGTAGGGCTGTTTAAATTTTTCAGCCTTTAGCTTATGTGATTTTGATTTCCTTTTTACTAGGTTTTCATTTTGGAGGTTTTAGCCATTTGAGAATTCTGCCATCATTTCCAGTTCATCAAATCAGTTTTGCATAGGAACTTGGTCATTGTGGATTTCCAGCTTTTGTTTGGCTGATTCTGTTCTTTTGGGAGATAAACTTTTCAGTCTGTCTTTCCTGGGTTTTGACAGATGGATAGGAGATCTCTGCGACCTTTGTTTAGTAGGAGATTTGGTATTTTTGGTGGGAGTCATTTGTGTTTGAGTTGTCGTTTTGCTATTTGTTTTTTTCTTTAATATTTCAGTTCTTTCATTGTCTTTTTTTGGGGTTCAGCCTGCACCATTTCCTTGGAATATAGACATTATAGGTAAGTTTGAAATTTGGGCCAATCATTTGGTTCCAAGTGTATGAACTTCTCAATGAGGTCTTTGTATTCATCAGGCTGACCTCATTATTTACAAATAATGAGGTCAGCCTGACGAATACAAAGACCTCATTGAGAAGTCTTACTTTCTGTTATTTTTGAGTAGGAAGGGCCTTTCATGCAACCTTCTACTACTTGCCTTGCTTCTGAAAATGAAAATGTTTCTTTTATCTTTGACCTTCTCCCTTTTCTTTTCCCAGAAATCCCATGCTCTTGAGTATGCTGGATGGCTTTCCCGGCACTTAACACATCTTAACTATTCGTGGCATTCATCTTCAGTATAGTCTGAATTCCTTTGGCCACATATTCCACTTCTTGGATGACTCCTGAAGCTATCCCTATAATGTCCAAATTTTGGGCACCTAAAGCATCTTAGTGGAGAAGGGATATACATTATATCCTATTTTTATTGCAGGGTGGATTTCAGGTTTGCCAAAAGTAAGGATATATGTATCAGTTATAATTGTTTCTCCTTTTCTTTTGAGATTCTATGGTAATCACAAACCCCTTGGTTTCCTATGGCAGATGTAATTTCCTCAGGTGTGGGCAGAGACAACTGTTTACTTCTAATAACTCCCTTAGAAGTATTCAGTCTTGCATGAGGGAAAGTTTTAATTTTGATATTATGAAAGGTCTTCATGTATTATATTTTCTGTGTCTTTCTTATTTTCCACCTTGTGTATCAGTTTAATGAATATTTTTCCGATGTTTGTTTTTTTACGTTTTTGTTGTACAGTGGGTTGAACCATATGTTTCTTTTCCTGTTGGCTTTTTTGTGGGGTGTATGTGAGTGTTACTGAAAATCTACTATCTTTTAGGGCTGTTTGTCATAATCTTTCTTGGCTTTGACGAATAGGAAAAAACAAAACAGAAAAACAACCAGATTAATTTGAAACATAACTGTTACTGCCCACCCAAATAACTGTTAGAATAATACAATAGGTCTATCCATAATGTACCACTGATTAGCATATATAAATAGCTAAGCCAAAACAATGCACATGGACTGATGATTGCATTTAAGCATGAAACTGACTGTTGCTGCTAGGTGTTGACTACAATGCCCACTTTTATATTTGCATAGGCTCTATCCCTGATACTGAGCACTTTAACCCATAAATATAGTATACTTTATTTTTATTATATCTATACTTATATACAGTATCAGCTGTAATGTACTTGGTTTTGACAAGTCATCCATTTATAGTTCAAGTAGATTTGCAATACTTACCAACACCAAGTATTCGATCCCCAAGTCGGCTGAAATCAACACTTTCAGATGGGAAATTACCGTCCAATGAAATGCAATGTACATGTGTTTTGTTGTAAACCATAGCCTCATCTCCTTCTGCATCAGCAACAAGAAGATGATATCCCAATATGGTATCTTCATTAGAATCCTTAATGAAAAAAAACAAAAGAAAAAAAACTTAAAATTTTTTACATTGCAAATTAATATTACTCAAATTTTTAATAATTAAAAATATTGCAAATAAAATTCAATGATGATTTATAATGATAAATTAATGAGAGATTAGCCAAACACCAATATCTTTGTTACATGATCAAAGAATACTGCTGATACTCAACACAAGAGTTCAAGTTGTTGATTTCCCAAGGTGTGTGTGTGTGTGTGTGTGTGTGTGTGTAGGGGGAATGATTGCAAAAAGCCACCCCACCTTCATAGTCATGACACAGAATGCATACTGGGATATTTTTCTTAGACAATAAAATGTGACGGCTTGCGTTTTGACATGGCTCAGTCCAGATCTGCCTTAACTACTAGACAGACATAGTGTGTTCACTTGGTCGACCTTGCTTTTGTGTACAAGCACCAACTCCTAGTTTATGAATTCTTTTGCCACCTTATCAATTCTGATTTGTTTTACTCTACTGTTTGCTTGGTTGCATGATTGTTGCTGTTTCATCTTTTTGACCTTTTTTTTCTTTTCATTGCAAACTTTATTAATTCTGATCTTAAAGTTCTTATTTTTCTCCCAAGAGGATCAAAGGTAACAATAACACAAGGTTAGACAGAGCTTGTGAGATTTAACTCACTGCAGCCAATAAACATGCTAAGTAACAAATTAAAAATGAAAGAAATTAATAAGACATTAGCAAACTGCTTGACTCTAACCTAAGTTCCCCAGGATATATGGAGTATCATCTTATGCAATTTATCTCGTACAAAGAATTTTTTAAAATGATTCTGTTGATGTTTTTCTTATAGTTTTGCTAATTTTTTATATAAAAAAACAAAAAAACAAAAATAAAAACAAAAACAAACACGAAATTAAAAATATAGTCTTAGAAGAAGCTACATATGTAAGAGATGTTTCAAGATGAAGCAATGAGACTATATTTTCATATCTTCCAGAAATGTGCATATCTGCAAAACATAAAATAAAATTGTGGCATGAAGCTATATGTGTGGTCCATAAGAATACACCAGGAAAGTTTGGTTGGTTTGGTTAACCTCAATGGGTTAATGCCGACAAATTTTTTATCGCTGGTAATATTTTCTTTCAAAATAAACTATAGTTGTTAATATTTTTTTTCTAAAAATGTATTGCTGGTAATAACTTTTTTTTTTTTTTTTACAAAGTATTTCTGGTATGTATTAAAACCTATTTCTACACTTTCATGGTTTGGGTGGCAACTATTTGCCCATAGCTGGGACCCTAACAGGTGCTACTGCCCTGGGTCAGGGTGGATCTGGGAACATCAGCAATTAAGAGGTGGTTCCATGCTCCTCAAAACCTCCTGATCAGAGGCCCTGCTCTTAGATGTAGTTTACAGTCATACCCAAGACAGACATCAGGAAAGCAGGCAACTAATTAAAACAAAAGAGAAATAAAAGATGCAAATCTATTTGGGCAGTAGGGTCCAAAAGTGAAAATTTGATAATGTAATTGAAATGCTGAAAGTAACATTCACGCACACAAAGACAGATCAGCCTTTCTCACCCTACAACTAGATTTTCTCACCTCAGCAATTATATCAGAGGTTGTCATAAAAATTAAGATTCACAATATTTATATTATACTCTGTTCAAGTCGGAGAAAAAAAAAAAAATTGCAATCATGGTTCATAACATTTCCATCCTGGTTTATCTTGACTGTATCACCAATTCCCAGAAGTGACTTAGTGAAGATTTTTAATGAATACAACATCTTTTGTAGAAGACATCACCAACTACCTTTTTGAGCAGAAACTCCAAAATACATCCTGAATTCTGAAACACTACTAACATGACCCTCGCCCATACCCACAAGTAGTATCAGAATTCCAAAGAGGTTGTAAGCTAAAGGAATGGGATATTTCATTACCTGCCAAGTCTCAACATGTTCAAGAATTATTACTGACTCCAAATCCACATCATCACTCAACTCCTGAAGGTTTACCACACCTGGAATAAAAATTCACAGAAATTAATTTTCATAAAGTTTTTATTATGCTGTGATAGACAATTTTTCTCCAGAATCTACAAATCTACCATTCATCCATGCTTTGAATATTACTTCCCCATATGGTCCAGTGCTCCTGATATATGTTTAGAGATTCTGGGTAAAATCTAAAGAATCAGCAATATTATTTGTTCTAACCTTGCATCTCAGCTTCAGTCACTTTTACTCCTTAGTGGGTATTTTTTTGTGTATGTATATATATATATATATATATATATATATATATATATATATATATATATATATATATATGAAGAAATATAGTCTTAAGATGTGCTATATTTATGGGATAAAGTGAACATAGAAATCAATGGCCCAGTGGATTAAAGGGCAACAACTGAAACAGAAATATCCAGAAGAGGCATGGCACATGGAACTAGAACAAGCTACCCTCTTGGATGAAATAAATGGTTCAGTTTGAAATTCCAATCACCTGAAGAAGACTGGAGTGTACAATGGCCGAAACATTGAATATAGCAACAAAGATGAGGACCATAGTCCAAACAATGTAAATACTGTAAATAAGGTCTGTTTATTTTTTTATTGTATTTTTCTAATTTCAAGTAAGGTGTTGAGTATTGTGCTCAAAATTGTGTATAAACAGTTTAAAGTTCATCTTTTGTTATTGTTTTGTTCAAGTACTTTCAACCATCTCAGTCATTTTCAAGATCCGATGTGGTGTCTGTGCAGCCCTGCTTCCAATAGCTGTTACACATGACCTCACCGTAGACTATTTCAATCTTCCAGCTTATAAATACCAGTATGTAGTCAAAGGAATTCTGCCTGCCACATAGACACTGCATTAGTTCTTGATAATAACCGAGATGGTCAGGAATACGTGAACAAAACAATAACACAATATAAACTTCAGATAATTTTTCACAATTTCGAGCACAATACTCAAATATCTTAATTGAAAAAATAAAATAAAAAGTTAAAACAGCCAGACCATATTGATTCTTTTTAATCAAACTTGTGTGTGTGTGTGTGTGTGTGTGTGTGTGTGTGTGTGTGTATATATATATATATATATATATATATATATATATATATATATATATATACACGCACACACACACACAGTGTGATGGGCGAATCGTTGATATTTTATATTTTAATTTTGTACACGTGCATTGTTTGTTTTTGTCAACTGCACAGTACAGTAGGGTCAGTTGGGCACTGTCTCAAAAAGAAAATGCACCATGATGCAATTCACTCCACCAAAAATTTGGAAACAGCATGCTGTACTGCTTGACATTTATGCCAGAAGCTCCAATACAAATATTACAGAGTGTGTGTCAATCTAAGGACAGTACAGAGGATTCGGAAAGAGTTGTACAAGTCTAATGGTGATTATGAAGGTGTTTAGAGTGATCACTAGTTACGGTGAAGTTAAACCTCCATTCATCTTCCCACAATGCCTCAGACTCAAAATAGAGGCCAACATCAAGTTCCTGGGTCTAGAGGGTGGCTGCTGGAAGAACCTGTGTTTGGCAACAGGACTGCATCATGCCACACAAGCAGGCAAACCCAGTCATGACTGTTAGACAATTTCTGCAACCACATCACCCCTTACATCTGGCAACCTAACTCCACAGACTGCAACCCCCTCAGTTGAGCAAAAGACCAACAAAACTCCTTATTACATCAAAGATGAACTGAAGGCCAGGATCATTGCAGCATTTGCCAATTTAAACAAGGAGACTGGAATCTCCTGCAACTCTTCTGGACAAAATCGTGATTGAAGCCAATGGCAATTTTATTGAATAAATTTACTCTTTAGTATTTCAAGATATTTTTTGTGTAATTTTGGTAAATATATATGTTAAAACTAGATGTCAGTATTTTTGCATAATTTAGACAATTTATCCATCGCACTCTCTCTATTATATATATATATATATATATATATATATATATATATATATATATATATACACACACACACACACACATTTATATATAAGAATCATGTTAGTAAAACTTACCAATAGCATAATAAACTGTATTGCCCACCTCAGTATTCATTGCAGCTGCCAAAATAACAACACCATCACTATAAAGAACAAAAAAAAAAAAAAAATGTTAATATACATTATATTTGCAGAGAGAGTTGAAAATTTTCTTCACAATACATTAAAAATGAAATGGTTTTTGCATATAAATCAAATTGGGATTCATTTAACATTTTAAAGTTAAAATTTTGCCTAGACCTGGTTTGAAAAGCAATTGATAAATGTTGATCCAAAAGAGAAATTAAGTGGCAAAGAAAATGACCTTGGCAGCTGATAAGAAAGAACATTGGAGTTTGCTCAGTTTGGGCAAAAATCCTTATTTTTGAGGCTATCACAGGTTGTACATTAATTAGAATCTTAATTATTCAAATACACTGAGAATCAATGTTATCTTAAATAACTGTACTTTATTCTTTATTTTGATCATGGATCAAAGCAGGGAGAGGTCAAAGGATTGGCAGCAAAGATCTGAATGGGACTTCTTGATCCAAAACTCATTATGTTTTAAAGCAATTCGAAACAAGTGTATAAAGGAGAACTAGCTTTCCTGGTCACCATTAATGTCAATAAGTCATAATTACTATATATATATATATATATATATATATATAAAAAGAATCACATTAATGAACTTACGAAGTAAGCTGCATGTCTAAAAGCCATGTGTTTAGCTGTGGAAGTCTTGCAACATCTTGATTCTACAAATGAACAAAAAAAAAAAAAAAAAAAAAAAAATTAAAAAAATTGCAATATCAAAGACCTAAAAAAATTTTGAATTATAATCATCATGCCAGCTCTTCATTTGCAAGTAGCCTAAGGAAAAAAACTATGACAAAGTGGAAAATGTTTTTATGTGACATGTTTCAGCCTTTAGGACTTCAGAATGAATTATGTTTACATTGATGTGACTATATATGCACAGGAAGAAGAGGGGATGCCATGAGTTTTTTTTTTTTTAAATATGTATTGGACAGTTATTAGTCTTAAATAGAGATACAATAAGTTTAAACCAGAACAACAAATTTGCCAAAATAATTTGACAACTACAAAGTTACAGAAAGTAAGACACAAAATAGAGAAAAAATGCCATAAAAACTTTATCCTGGAGTGGTTGGGTTTTGTGGGTGCACAGATGACTAGTTAGTCCACTCCATACATGGAAGTATCTATGGCAGTGTAGAGAGGATTTCAGGTTGGAGCAGGAAATCTGATGGCATTGTCCTTTTTGGCCTGTTTGCAATCACACTGTTTGGCCTCACAAGCCTCAAAGCCATTACAAAGTGTTGCAGGCTATTTTCTTCTGTCAAACACTATCTGTTCCCAGTGCTTTTTAGCTGATGTTGAAAGCCTTCAGCAAAGCTTTTAGTGTCCATTTGTAGCCCTCTCACAAGTATTTATTGTGCAGAGTCCACAGAACAGTTTTTTGGTAGCTGGTTGTCTGGCATATGACCTGTGTGACCAGCCCAGTGAGTTATAAGTAATTGTAATTAAATTGAAAAGTGTACAAACTCATATTTAAAAAGAAAAAAAAAGAATGACAAATGACAAATCTTCAAAAGCAGCTGTATCACAAAGAGAAAAGATTCAGTGAGTGCAGTCAAGCATGACATGCAGTCATCAGCAAACAGGCAGGTTAGGTTTAAGGCTCCAATTTCTTAACTGAGAATTAAGATAATAGCCTAGTTAGTTCATGAGTTTGGTGACATAATAATTGTGGATTCAATCCCTGGGCCACTTGAATTTGGTGGAAACAGTGAGCAATAACTGAGCAGTACTAAAAACAAGAACTAGACAATATATCCCAAGACATGTGCAGTGAAACAAGAACAGTCTACATCCATAGATTAAATAAAGGGTTCAGTTCAAAATTCCCTGTATGTCACCTGATGAAGGCTGGAGTGGACAACAGTCGAAATGTTATAAGACTTTTCTGAATGCATACAGTGTAAATAATCACATTTTAAAATTTTAAATAAAATAAGGTTTTATTGTTGTAAATTTCAAATACTATTTTAAATATGTCACTTAAGGATCTAGTTGAATATAGCTGCCCACAGATCCTGTTTATGTATTATCTATGAACTGCTATTACATTTTAGGAAAGACATTGGAGTGGTTTCCTGTTCTCTTCTCCACAGCTTTGAATTCAGAGTTATCCTTCTAGACTGGTTGCCACCCAAAGCTAGAGAACCTAAGCCACTCTGCTATTTAACCCATAGCTAGGTGAAAAGGAAATGGATTCATGTCTTTCACATGCTGATGATCATGGTGTTAGCTGTACAAATGGTGAACTTAATTGCACAGAACACTTTCATATTGAACAGATTATTACTATCACTTGAATGAGAAAATATTTAATATAATTAGTAATGCAAAAATCTGGTCTTTGCCATTTCATCTGTATTGAACCAAACTTACCCAAATCTTTTTAGCAAGATGAGTCCGGAATAATCTTTGAACGTTGGATTGATACAACAGCTGAAAATGTATACAGAACAGTAAGAAACTAACAGACATTATGACAAGGATAATATATGAAAACATTATGAGTAAATATATGAAGTAGTATTTTTATGTTTCCAGAGTTGGCAAACAAATTCTTTACAGTTTTAACTGCTTCAATACAAAAGGTATGTAAAAATACTTTAAAAAAATAAAATCATTAGGAAATGTAGTAAATATAAAAATATGAAATTAAAAGGAAAATATGAAAAGCAAAAGTTTTAAATAAAAATAAAAAAAATTGTTAGATACTATCACTACTGATATCACCTGACCTGACCTCCAGTTCTTATTTTGGCAAAGTGCCAAGTGTATAAATAAGGCAGTCAAGTAGCAGATTTGAATTTTGCTTTTTCATGAAGCTACATTCTGAAAAGTGCCCCATTCTGGAAACAGTTATTCATAAACAGATGTGAGAAAGAAAAGTTGTTCATGAGTGACACATTGTGCACTGGAATTATAGTTCAAGTAAGCAGATGTTCCTTGTTACTTGATGAAAGGGGAGAAGAGGAGGAGGACAAACAATCAATCAGCCAGGTGATAAGGAAAGCACAAATTTATAAACATATGCAATGATTTTTCAGTGGTTCTTGTTTCTTGCAAGGATAAATTTTTATAAAGTACTTCTTTTTATAGAATTAGGCTAAAGTTTAATAACTGAAAAATTTATGAGATAAAATGAAATTCCACTTACCATTTCTGTATTACTTGAAGATACAGACCATTTTTGCATGACAGAACCAGAAAGAACATAGAAAAATCGGTCTTCTGCAGATTCATAACCATCATCACTTGCGACTAAAGCATGAAGTGCCTAAAAAAGAAAAAAAAAAGAATCTAAAATTTGCTTTCTGAAAATTTAATATTTTATTAATATTCTTACTTTACAATGTATTTCGAAGCGAATATAATACATACATCAGTTAGAAATTTATCAAGGGAGGTAACCAAAAGATTTGCTATCAAAAGTTGTTTTCCCTACATATCTCATGTAAATGGATATTGTTCTTTTGCACCAAATAATGAAAATTTCAGTAATTAACAGAAATTATAAAATACATCTTATATTTTGGAGACAGTTATCAGTTTATGCAGATTAATATCTTTATTTAGGATTACTACACATCCATCTTTGAGATATATGATAAATTATTATAATTTACATTGTCAGCCCTGAAATTTAGGGTGTTGGGTTATGACAACACTATTATACAGGGTGTGGCAAAAGTTGTGTACCCTAGGAGGGTATTTTGAACAGCACATATAACAATTAAATAACTAGTAAATAAAATGTTCATGTGTAATTACACTTTTAATAAATTATCCCCATATTGCATGACTTTTGCCTCTCCCTGTACAAGAAAACTAAACCTATAACAAATTGAAAAATGTCCCGATTAGTGGCTTGGAAATTATGGTAAGCTCATCTTTAATTTCAATTAAAAATGCTATCACTAAACTTTTGAACAATAAGTAGCAAAATTAAATTGAAATATTAAAGTTTTGAGAATCAATTTCAGAACTATTTTTACCGTGTGGAAATAGAGTTAATTACGAGGAGGGCACTAAATTAAGCATTTAGGAACAGTTGACAAGCTGAGAAAATTTTTCATTGTTCTGAGTCTTCTTACTGCAGTAATGAATTGGCTAGTGATTCCAAATGATTTTGTTGTAATGTATGGCAAGAGGGTGTTGAGATTGGGGGAGGGGGGAAACACCAAACAGATTGCTTTCCCAATCACTACGGGGGTAATAGGCAGAGAGGGGAAAGAGACAGGAAATAAAATATTGTCATGGAAACCATACCAACTTTAGGAACAAAATGACCATGGAATCAACTTCATAGCCAACTGTTGGTTTGACCCCTGCTTTTATTCAGCATGAGGCATCTTACAAAGAACCAGATTTTGATCAGTTGCACAGTGGTCCATATCTAGATATGCCAAACTGTCCCACTGCCAATGGAAAAAAAAAACTCGGATGTAGCTGGTGTTGACAAAACACGTCCACATGCGATCCAAAGTCTCTTTTGTGTCTGTACTGTCATGCGTTTGTCACAGATTTGTAGACGGCAATGAAAACAATGCTCGTCAAACTGGTTAATAGAATGATCTGCTATTATGACATCATCAAATCTCCCACACATAGTTATAGCAAACAGCAAAAGTAATTGATTTTGGTAATATTTTGATGGTTAACATCAACCTTAATTATTGTGGCACCTTGCATTATTAGAAATATTCATAGAAATATGATTTAATTTTTTCTTACTCGGTTTACTAAACAGGTTGTTGATTTTTTTAAAACGGAAAATAATTGAGTTGAAAATAATTCACTAAGATTGTACTTAGACGATCCAAAGGGAAGAAGAGGAAGAAAAGAAAAAGAAAAAGCAAAAAGAGAGGTCGAGAAATACAAAAAGCGGTCATTAACAAAAACACGTATCAGAAAGGTAATTAGGCCAACATCTTGGCGATTTTCAAAGAACAATGGGATTTGTTATTTAGAAGGGAAAGTCATTTAGAGAGTGGAAGGACAATGCTTGATAAGAGTGTATTGATAATAAAAAAATCGGTCAAGCACCCAGCCTACTTTTTGCGTGGAAAGACTCATTGTCAAATTGGAGAAAGGGAAATTCTTTTTAGAACAATAGAAACGAAATTTATCTTAATCAGAGAAAAAGTGTTTTTGGGTTGAGGGGGGAGTGACCGGTGGAACTATATACAGATTCTGACCTGTTAAAAATTAGAACCCCACATTGACGAGTGAAAGATATTTTCAATGTAGATAATTAAGATTTTCTGACTGTCGGGTCTGACCAAAAAACAAGAGGTAAAAAAAAAAAACGATTGTCTCAGTTCACAGATAGCGCCAATATTCTTCCCTGAAGTCACATCTAATTAGCGGCAGGCTGTGTTGACAAAAACCCAGGTGAGAAAAAAGCCAAGATTATCATTTTCAGACGAAAAAAAAGGCCAAATTAGATTTTGTTTTTTAGAACAAGAACGATATAAGCCCGCCCGATTGATTGCAGGAAAACGCCAACCAGAGTCTCATTAGCTGAAAACGGTCACGTGGCTGCGGAAAAGAAAAGAAAGAAATGCTCGATCAGGAACCATTGGTCGAAAGCGGTCACCTGACATACTGCGCCCCCACCAAAGGCACTATGAGGAAGTAGGGTGAAAATAATAGCGATAATGAGAAGACAGAAATAATGCGACTTTTGAAATTATCGAGAAAACCCTGACTAAACAGACCCACCTCGGTTTGCTGGCGTCAATAAAAAAGCAGGACCCCAGTCGACAGAAATCAGTTGAGTTGAGAGTTGCAGCTGGGCGGGCAGGGATAGAGCCTGAATGCGGGCATCAGGTCTGGATTCACTCCCCTTTATATGGCAAGAGAATCCTCAGACAAGAAATCCTTCCAGCCCAAATCGAAGAAGAAGAAGATTGCTCGCAAAGCCTCAGAGAAGTTGCAGCCAAGTCTAAGAAGAAGAAGATTGCCTTTCGAAAGCCGAGAAGTTACAGCCAAGTCGAAGATAAGAAGAAGAGCTGCAGGCCAGACAGGCCAAGAATTGCAGGCAGACAAGAAGAAGAATTGCAGGCCAGACAGGCAGCAAGAGTTGTGGCAGAGCACGGCAGAGTTACAGCAGAGTTCAGCCCCGGACGGCAGCTAGAAGAGATCACCCGGACGACAGAGAGTTGCGGCTGAGTTGCGGCAAGAGATCCTTCCAGCCCAAGTCGAAGACAAGAGAACTTCCAGCCTAAGTTCCACGAAGAAGAAGAAATACAACTCAAGTCGAAGAGAAGAATCAACTGCGTAATGATCGACAGAAATTAGCCCCAGTGTCGAACCAAACCACACTCCGGACATACACAATTCTAAAAGAGTAGGCAATTCGAAATCTTTAGGTTTGTGATAGAAGCTTGGTGCCATAGTCCACAGAGCGGGTTGGGAAATGAGAACAATTTTGTTTTTATGTAACGGACATTAAGATATAAAAGGTTGTTACCCATTTTTTTTCATCAGCAATCTTTTGTCTCGTGAGTTTATTTTCTTTTTATTTGTGTTTTGCCACCCCGTCGGACTCAACTTGTATCGCCCCAATCCCTGCTGGTCCCGTCTGTCTAAGATCTAAACACAGCGTGGGTAGACAGACCGGAGATCGGTACAGTTGCTTTAGTGACCAGGTATTTTGGGCAGTCGGGAAAGGCGAGGCTGGTGATCATCTGACCAAGGGGTTGGAGCGGCACGCTTGGACCCAGGAGGAGCGACCAGGAGGAGCGACGTCACCGTTGGCGCCCGAAACCAAAGGATCCGACCCTGGGCCAGGTGTGTAACCGTCACATTATAAGTAGAAAAGGGTTCTCAAAATATATGTCGAAGGAGAGGTGTAGCAGGCCAGGAGCAAGCACATCAACAAACTATTACCAATGAGAAGGGTATCAACTCCATAGGTGGCCTAATGGTAGAAGTGCATTTTGTCAGACTAAAATTAATGTTTGTATCAAAATTATCTTACTTCAGATAGGAAGAGAAACAAAAATTTTCATTGGAGGGGTTAGCTTTCCCTAACTTTATTTTTTAAACCCATGAGGGTCATAGGGGAACCACACATACCGCAGTAACAGCGGTGTTTCCTGGGCAAGATAACCTGACAGAGCTCAACCCTCCACAGGCTGGTTTTGAATTATCTTTCTCCTAGACTAATCACCAACCAAGGCTATGGGACTCAGTTTTTCTTGCTATCTACCCATAGATGGTGGTGGGGGGAGAGAGAGGAGAAGATTGGGATTCAAGCTCAGTACTGCTGAGGCAAAAGTATGGAAGGGGGTGAGGAACAAATCTGCTAAATAATGGCACTAACGGGACAGAGTCTGCAAGCCTTATATTTCTTGCATGTCTGATACCCCCCACCCCTGAGCAGAAGTAACTTGTGTCATTCTATAAGGAAATTTAAAATAATGAAATCATGTAAAAAGTAAAAATGCTCTTACTGACAAGTCAAAGAGAAACTTTGAAGAATCTAGAGAGAAACATCACAATAGAAGTTAACACTGGTTATGTTTATTTTATTGTGCCACACCAAAAAACAAAAAGGAAACTATTATCACCAGCTGAAAGAGGGGTTAACCTGAACTTGTTCAAAGTGCTCCAAACCTTAAAATAAAACGTCCAAGAAAAGGACTGTTAAGGCAAATGATGCAGTAGATAGTTGCAACAAATACCCTTGCTGAGGCCTTCAGGGTTTGGTACCCTAGTGGGAATGAAAAGATGTCTTGTAAAATAGATAATTACTCTCAGTAAGATTGGGTAAGGTGAAAGAAGTGGCCAGATTAGTAATGAAAAGGTATTCTAAGTAAAATACTTAAGTAATATTATTAGAAACAACAATCCAACCAGGAAGAGATTCAGTGGTGGAAAAATAGTGAATAGGAACCACAAATGTATTAAATGGTTAAAGACCATGTTAAGAAGACTGAAAGAGAACAGGTTTTTATAAGAAACACTTTACACCTGATCGGTTAATGCAAATTAGGTCTTAACCACATCAAGGGTCTATAAGCACCCCCTCATTCCAGCCTTTCTGACAGTTAAAGTAAGAAACAATTTTTCCAACAATATCAACATCCATAGTTTAAAGTAGCTAACTGGATAAAAAGATGGTTTAAATGCAATGTTAATTGTTATCTACTGTTCTCCTGATGACTCTTTTTCTCTTCCCATTCATTATTAATGTTTCTGTCCCTAATTCTTCCATGCTCTGTAACCCCTTGTGTCTTAGTGGTTTTACTGACTTGCATGGGATAATATTGACTAAAAAAAAAAAAAAAATGGAAAAAAAGAAAAAAAAAAGAAAAGAAAAAAAGACCTAATTCTTGAAGTGAAATCTCCTGAATTCCTTTGTTTTACAAAAAGAAAAGAAAAAATATTAATAAATATAGAATTATGTTAGTAATCTTTGATAATATGAGAGTTAATCTTTCATATGTAAAAGTTTTGCTTATTCATTCCTAAATACCATCAAATTAATGTCATCTGTGAGGTTACATGGTTTTTTCAGGAACATTCACATGAGTGTTCAATTCTGTGTGTGTCTTGAGAGATCCCCCCTCCTACCCTGTACAGGTTGAGCGTTTATATAATTTCCTCTCATCTGGTTATTTTGCGAATGTATATCTTAAAACTCAGAAGGGTTGATTTCCTGCTTTATGCAGTTACAGCAACAGACATCATTTGAGGACAAATTGTGCACTTGGTGGCTACAAGGTAATCTTTTATATCAACCCTCTCATGCACCTAGCTCTTTTGACATTCTGTTGTGACACCAAGTACAAAACTTTGGTATCACTTAAGATGAGCTCAGTACATATTGTGGTCATCAGAGGTCAACTCCTCTTTTATCAAAGGTTCCTGATTAACATTAAATTTGATTCAAACCACTGCTGTGAATCATATACTATACAATCTTAATTGCATTTTAGCTATTAGATTGTAAAGTTAATGTGTGTAGATAGTTAATTGAGTAGAGGAAGAAAAAAAACAAAAAAAAAAAAAAAACAACCTTACCGCACCCGATGCTTGTGCTGGTGATGAGCCAAATATGAAAGAAGACATTTTCCGTGTGATTCCAGCTAACATTCCTTGTGATGCTCTAATCATGTGACAAGTTATTGAATTCTGAAAGCACAGACATAAAATAGGATATTAAACAGTTTTTAGTGAACAAAGGTTTCACTGCTACTTGTAGAGTTCCTTACTTCACTCTAAATAATCATGACCTATATGAGTGGTTCTCAACCTTATTGCCCCAATACATCCGTTTCACCTTATGTCAGAAAGTCATCACCCACTTTCCAAGTTTGTCTGACTCAAAAGATGCATTCCAAATTCTGTAAATAAAAAACAAGAAAAAAGTAAAAAATCTACCCCCCCACTTCCAACTTAAACTATTTAACTATAGCTCCATTTTAGTCACTAGCCAAATGACTGTCCTGCAGAGAAAGGTTAAGTTGTCAGATGTTTTCTAAAATTTTTGTATAAAACAATATTTTCAGCAAGACTTCTATTTTCTGAGGTTTATTTTGTCATGATACTAAAACTCCATTTGAATTTCCTACTCTGGACATAGCTGGTCATGAGAAACATTTAAATAATTTTCTAATGTTTATATTGATAATAATAAAAATTAATTTAGTAAACTTACTATTTTTTCACTTATTTAAATAATTCAGTAGTTTTAAGAAAATCTAATTAAACAGGTTATTGTGACTTATTTAGATAATTCCATATTTTTCAAAGCTCCATTCAACTAATTTGTAGTAACATGAAATAACAGATGACAACAATACTTATTATGCATGCTGTAAGTTTTTTTAACTTATGACTGGATTTTGATGAGGAATATATAAATTCTTTCTATACAAACATAACATTTCTTATATTTGGCAATTTTAAAAATTTGAATTTAAATAACACAAAAGAAATATTTATTAAAATATACTTTTAAAAATTGTTATGTTAATTAAATATTAACACTAAAAGGTTGATAAGCCATAGAAAACAAATCAATCAATCATTACTTTATAAGAACAAACCATAATTTAATTATTTCCCTCTATTACTTTATAAAATCATTTTAAACAAAGTTATAATTCCATGTATTCGTACACTAAATCAGCTTGGTTAATCAATCAAATACCAGCTGTCCTGAGAGAAACTTAGGAGAGAACCAGCTACTAAACGACTTGAATGGTCTTTCTCCCCTACACTCTTTATTGAGGTGCTTTGGACAGCTATCAGGGTTCCCTCTGACTTCACCCAATAGGTGTGGACTGCCAACTTTTGTGTCCCTGTCCACTTGCCACACCAGAGTTGTACTCACAAAAAAAATTACTGACCAGTGGGGTGAGGTGTTCATGTGCAGCACCTAAATTTGACAACCTAAATCGTGATGAGTTCAAGCCATGGTATCTCACCAATATGTGGTGGGAGAAAAGTTTGAGGCTGCCCTCACACCCCACCCACCCACCCATCTGGCCATATTCTCCCAATTAAGGGAAAATCTGGATTAGTTCAAGATGAACAGAAAAAATTCAAGCAGCAGGTTGAATGAAATATGGCTCATCATAAGGTGTACTGCACTATTAAAAGAAAAAAATATATTAAAAAATTCAAGGTTTCACTGATGATGATGTGGCCATTTTAACTACAGAATACACCATACATATAAGCATCTGCCTTAGTAATGGAAAGAATTTTTTTTGTTTTACTTTGGTGAAAAAGCAGTTTAATATTCTCATTGATGATAATGTGATTAACATATGCTGCTGTGCATGATTTGTTTCTAATTTATTCATTTGATGATACAAAAAAAAAAAAAAAAAAAAAAAAAAAAGAAAAGATTTCTTCTCCAGAGAAAAATTAATATGAACATTTCACATTTCTAAAGCAGATGATTTTCCTTAATGAAAATCTTCAACAAAAGATTACAAAATTCAAGAACTATCGAATTTCATAACATGGTTTAGTTGAACAGTTTCCACAATGTGAGAGAGAGAGAGACTGACACAAACATTTTTAATAAATGTTAATTTCCTGATGAAATTAGCTGTATCTTTTAGAAAAACAAAGAGGCCACACATCGCCTGCAGTTTCCCTATGACTGCACTAAACATTTTATTATAATTGTATAAATATTGGTTTTGCATGAGTGTAATAAGTATTAAGAAGAGAACTTACTTGTCCAGCAACAGGAGTGAGCAAAACAAAAGAACTGGTTGTTGTTGCTAAGATACATCCATATGGCTGGAAAAAAAGAGAAAGTTAGCATTTAGATTGTTCCATAGAACAAGAGATTTTCCTCAGAATGAATCGGTCACAATTTACCACCACATTATTCTTTAATCATCCTAGGAATAAACAATAAATGAAAGAAAAAAAATTTCTTCACATATGAATACATATTTTCTGTTGTAGTCTAAAAGGGTGTAGAAAAAAAAATATACTGTATGTTGACCCCAAGATAATGTGTTAATTCAGGTTTAGGTCTTTCATTACTAGAGAATTTGAGAAAAAAAAAATTTCCATCAGACAGCTAAGTTTAGAGAATATAAATGGACTAATATAACAATTTGTTTTTGCTTATGTTTAAAAAAAATTTCAGCTCTTTCTCTGAGCATGTGCATATATAGACAGACACATACATACATGCATACATATTCTTCCCCTTCATTTTTATTAATAAATTTGTATTTTAGCTGTGGTTCCATTTTTTTTTCTCTGACTCATGTTTTTCTTTTCTTGCAGTGTGAATTGTTATTGTCATTTTAATATTTACCAATGTATTCTTCTGATGAAGTGTTGGTTGAAAAGGATCCTTAAAGAAGAATGCTTTCCTGCATTTTCAAATTTATATACAAGTTTTGTGATATCAAACTTCTGTTTACACACACGCATATATTAAAAAAAAAAAAGATTACATAACTTTTTAATATCAATTTTACTCAGACTTCAAAAATCTTACCAAGAAACTTCAAAGTTGGGATAAAATTGATATTTAAAAGTAATCTTTTTTTTATACAATATTAACACTATTTTTAAAATTATTTTAATATTTCTAATATTGAGCACTATATATAAAAATATCTGTTTTTTAAATTACATATATATAGGGTGAGGTAAATGAGATAACTAGATATTAGTGACTGTATACGCACATGCTTGCCTGCATAAGCTGATGAGCAAATAAATAATTACCATATTTAGCCAAGAGGTGTAGACAAAATAGTGCTCAATGTGATTAGACAGAGCTAAGAAATATATATTAATAAATACACATATACCTACGTTTGATAAATGTAGGTATATGTGTATTTATAAATATATATAATAGCTGGCCACTTGTATTCGAGGATACCCGTCTTTTTTTTTTTTTAGGGTGGCTAGCCAATCTCTATTGCAGACACTCACTCAGGCACATTTGTGTTTGCTCAACACCCACAGAGACCACCTGTGGTTTATACTGCTACTATGCTGAGCAGACCTTAGTTACAGTTTTTGGGAGAGAGAATGTTATCTAGTGTGATCAACAATTTGAACAAAGCCAGCACGCTCAAGCTCTCAGCCACGATGACTTGTGACTTCATGCAAGCACAGCTATCAACGGCCCACAAGAGTTCTGTCTAACCCAATTTCACTCAGAAGACTTGGATATGATTTTCAGGCACTTTCCAAAGGTGCTGCATACTGGGATAGACCTCGATCCAGTCTGTAAACATCAGGAAGTCGCCTTCCTGACCTATCGACCATGGTGAGATTTTTGAACCCAGGTCTCATGGTCAGAAAGTGAACGTTCTAACCACTCGGCTACATGCCCATTTAACATATATACATTATCAAATATTTTATTCTGTACAGTATAAGTTTTTTCTTTATCACATTATATATATATATATATATATATATATATATATATATATATATATATATATATAGTTTATGAAAAACTAGGTAATCCGTATGGGTAAAACCGAGGAGGATAAAATCCAGAGCAAATAATTTAAATAAAAACAGACCACTTTAAGGTTCAATGTAATAAATTATTTCACGACAGCCCTTTTAAAGGACTGCGGATCATAAGACTTTACTTCCAAAGGTTGAAACAAAAAATGAAAATGAAAAACATTCCACCCCCATCAATGAGCTGTTAGAGCTTGGTCAGAGGAGAGATCAGCTGCCAGGTTCTGGTCATTGAGGGTTTTGGAGGTGCACCCATATATCATCAGCATAGATATTCACAAAAGATTAAATTCTTAGGTAGATCATTTATGAAAAAGTAGAAAGAAAGTTGGAATGAGAATCTAGCCTTGGGGGATGTGTGCATTTATAAATGCTTGGGCCTCAGAGGACTACTTTCAGGGACCTACCTGTTAAGAAGGACTTGATAATTGAGAGGACACTTTCAGTTATTCCATAGCTGGAGAGCTTGTACAGTAACCCTCTATACCACACCTTGTCAAAGGCTTTTGAAATATCTAATATGAGCGTCCTTGAGATACATTTGCTGTCTAGTGCCTCACAGATTTTGTGAGTAATGACAGTTAGGATATCAGCAGTGGACCAAGCCAATCGAGTTAAAAAAACCTGGATATCTACTCAAAATGAGGTGTTAACTTATTTTTTCAAATGTCCATTTTAAATATTTTATTCCATACAGTATAAGGTTTATCACAATGTATCAACTGAAAAAGGGAAAATTAAATTTAGCCTTGTTGACTAGAAGGAAGGTTGGGGTGACAAGTGAAACTGGGGTAGTGTTGAGAAAATATGATGTCAGTCAGCAGTACTGACTATAAATGTAGAATTCACATACAGAGCGATACATAAACACACTAATGCATGCATACATACACACACAAGCACACAGTTGAGACAGACAGACATTATTTGAACAAAAAAAAAAAAAAAGATCTGGCTAGAGATTTAAAAAAAATTATATATTTTAGTTAGATGCTACAAGGATTCCTTTAAGTTATACCAATAGTATATTTTGTTAAAGACTGTAATGAATCGAACAAACACTGATGACCTAGTTATCACAGATTTTATATATAAGATACAAAGAAAAGCTGAAGAGCAACATGTCAGCTGTCAATATACCTCATAACACCCTAGAGCGCTTAGTCTTGGACCAGGTAGAATGGAGTTCAATGCATTTTAGTGGACTCAGCAGTTTTCAATCTGCTAGTCTGAATCGTCTTCAAGAAGCGAGAGAAAGATCTAAAAGGCCAGCCAATCTAAGTGATCTCATCCCACAATCCTCACTCTTGTTCCATATGCGGGCTCCTTTGTAAATCACTAGCAGGCCTTAGGTGCCACTTAAGATTATCGCACAAAATTTCGTAACTGAATCAATTGGTTAAGTTGTCAGACCCTCATATGTCGAAACCAATGGGAGAGTCCGTTATATATTTTGTGATGTCAATGAACACTCGTTTGACACTTTTGTGATGCCAACGAATACTCATCACTTCTATAATGCTCGTTGTAGTCAAGACCTTGTAATTGCAGATACAACTATAGTATGCTGTTGAACAATGCTGGTGTTAGATGCCTTCAAATCACACTAATAGTACTTGCTTGATAATACTCGCTTGAATAGTAATCACTGAATGATAATCTGTGTTGTGATCTGAATAGAGAAATAGTATAATGAATAGAGTAGAGAATAGCAGACTGTATAGTAACAGAGGATAAAGTAGAAATGGTGATCTGAATATTAATAGGATAGAATAGAAATAGCAATTGTTAGTTGTCAGCTACTTACTACATATATGCGTTTCCTCTATGGTCACATGGTCTACCTGATTTAGTAATGTGATCGCCAGTGTTTGCTCACTGGTGATCTATGTTCAAACTCAAGTGTTGGCAACAACACTTTATTCCAATATAACAAACACACACACACATATATATATATATATATATATACATAACTGATAGTAAATTCCTCCAATGTTAGTGATATCGTCTGGGCTGTTTTCTTCTCGATGTAAGATAAGGATATGGACAAATTTTAGCCTCATGTGAATTTAGAAAAAAAGAGACTTGTACAAATGAATAATAGTCTGTATTAAATTAATTATAATGGAAAAAAAAGATCTTTAGTGTTGCCTGCTATTAAGAAAGACAATGATAATGTAAGTAATCAAATACAAAATAAAAGATGATAACTTACTTGCAGATTGACCACACAGGCACATTCTTCACCCTTTAATTCAGCACTTATTTCAACAAATGCAGCCTCATGGGCAATACTTGACCAATAGCGAACAACACCTTCTGGAGAAACAGCTACACAAGCTGCTTGCTGAGATTCCCGTGGACTAGGGATGACGCAGACACGGTTTGCATCATGGGCTAAATCACTTGGGGGAAGAGTCAATTCTTTCACAATACGAGAACTCTGAGTAATGAAATTGAAAAGAAAAAGGAAAAAAAAAGATGTTTTCAGAATGAATGGTGGAAGTAAAATGACTTTGAAATAAAGAAAAATAATTCTGACCATTTCCAGAAAGATATTTTGACTTTTTTTCACTTTCTAATATTGTTACAATAGAAGATAATCAATGAAAAAAAAAAAAAAAAAAAAAAAAAAAAGAGAGGAGGAGTAGAAGAAAACAGGAAAGAAAGAAAAAGTGGGAATAAATGAGATATGATATGTCACATAATTATCTAACCAACTCGGAACATGCTGCCAGGTGTTGATGTGGGCCAAAGTGCATATATATATATATATATATATATATATATATATATATATATATATATATATATATATATATATATATATATATATATATATCACATAATTAAGCAATTCATCGAGTCCAGAAGAATCCTCAACAGAATGCAGAAAGTACTGGACAGCCATTTTGTCCTATATCTGGAACTCATCAGCAGCACACATCCACTACTGAGAATTGAACTGGGACCATTATGGTATGACACAAGCGTCATACCAACTACAAAGAAATTACTAATTAGACTCGATATAGCGCCACTCTTCACAAATTCTATGGTGTAACTCATCCGAGTTTCCCTAACCCAACAGACTGTGCCCTCACGAGCCATGTCTTCTATCTCCAATAATGTGTGTGTGTGTGTATATCATTCCGTACATTTTGGCAGCATATTTTCATTTAAATATATCTGATTGAACAATTTAGATAGGTTTTGTTTATTTATTTTTAATAAAATCTTTTTGTGATCATGCATAAGCTTTCTTGTTTCATGATTAAAGTACAAATGTTCCGAAATGCTTCTAGTATAAAGTTTTTTTAAAAATTGTCTAAGTTATAACTGAACAGTTTAGAAATAAGTAGATTATAACCTTCTATTAATATTTCAATTATTAACTAAGTTACCTCCCTTACATTAAAATTTTTTTAAATTATGAAATTGATGTTATGTTCACAAGCATAGTCATAATTGTAATTTCTCTTACAAAATTTCTTTTAAAATAAGCATTTGACTTTTTGCATGACCTGAATTGTTAACAGTTTAGCCACAAAAGCAAAAATTTATTTTGGACAAACAATTATTTGTCTTAGCCTTTGTTTCTCCGAGACATTCACCCACTCTCTCTTTATCAACTTGTTGAAGTTAGCAGTCCGATGAATAATTGGGCAGCCAAACAAAATCCAGAAACAGAAAAACCCCAGAAACAAAATCCGATGTGAGCTAAAAATAACATTTCACACATGTCCAGAATCACATGGTCTAATATGAAAAGATGAGCGGAAAAAATATCTGAAGTATCAGTTGGATAGCAGAGCTTGAGTGATCAACATCCTTTCTTTTGTTATAGTCAACTAAAAAGGATAGCATAATGAAGAGACCGAAGCTTAGCCTAAACTCACACACACTATGCTGCATGTGGACACATATTTGATAGACCAACTAATCCTAGATCAAATGCAATGGTGAATTACTTAACGTATTAGTCATCAAAGACAAGAACATGTGATTCATTCAGTTATTGAATTGGAGAAAGCAATGATCAACATGACACTGAAAGAGAAATTTTATATTGCTGAAGAGGGGAAAAGGAATGACTATCACTTGGGGTCAAAACTTTTAACAGTAAAGAAAGAGAAATGGAATTCAAAAGATATTACTAAATGTGCAAATATGAAAACAAATGACTGAACTGAAAGAGAAGGAAAAAAAGAGAAATATGAAAGAGAGAGAGGGGAAGAAAAAAAAAAAAAAAGAGAAAATATGTTTTATTTCATATAACAGACAAAAGCTAAGTGCGTCTTTTGATTTTCATATCACATACACATGCTTTACATGCAGACATATTTTCTATGTTGTTCTAATGTATAATTAAATCTTATTCCGGTTTTTGTCATTTATTATTATTGATTATTTCTCCTTATCTTTGTTTATTTCTCCCTGTGAGAGAACCCCGCACTAACAGAGTGTAAACACTGGATATATCCCAAGTCAATTTTTTTCCTCCATTTTTCTTTTTATATTGTGTTGTGACAAATGGTTCATATATATAAAAATAAATAATCATAACAAAATATATAATTACTTTGTCTTGTAATTATGAGTTTAGCTAATGAAATATCTTTTTCTATATTGTGGTTACTTTTGATGAATAAACCTTTTCTTTATTGTATTGGTGCATTTCCACTACCATCTACAACATATGCTTATGCAATAAATTTATTATAATTTTCATTTCAATCAATAATCATATCTTCAGTTCAAGTTTTGAATTAATGTATATTGTAATGGAGATTCCCTGTTATGTTATTTTTTTTCAGCAGTACAACAGTGTTCTACATAATTGTAATACTATAAGCATTTTTGTATTGGGGTCTGTAAAAAAACTCAATAATAATATAAATTTTAGAGTTTAGGTAGAGATTTTAGAAGTATAGAATTGAAGTAGACTTTAGAAGGAAGCGGAAATCCAATCCTAAATAGGAAACAAGGGATAAACCTTTACTCCTGATCAAGAGACTGGGTAGGAGTGTGAACCAGACAATGTTATATACAGGAATCATTTTGTGTGTGCGTTTAAAAAAGGAACACAATCATAATTTTCTAGCCTGCTAAAAATGATTTCATTACATATGTGAAATATTTCGTATCTACTCAAAAACGCAAATTAGATACAACAATAATATTCTAAGAATAAGAGTAGCATTTTTTGCCTAACATTTTAAAGATTTACAACAATTTAAAATATATTCATAAAAGTTAAATAAACCCACCTTCTCATGACTGCTTTGGTTGTATCGCCATATGAACAGCTTACGGCCTCCAACTAACCATGCCCAACCGGACGGATTGATTTTAACTGTATATTCTATCAATTCTGAAGGAGAGAGAAAAAAAAAAGGAACATGGATTAAATATTTTAAAATAAAACGCTACATTTTTTGAGTTTAGAAGAAAGCATTTATAAAATAAAAGTAAGTAATATGCAAAAATATATTTAAAATAAATCAACTTACTCTCTGTAATGTTAAGAGCCTCCGAGATCAATACAGGCATTGGATTACCATAATCTTGTAGAGAATGATATCTCTCAGCAGACCCACTTCCAGCAAAAGAGTACCTTTAAAGTTGAGATAAAATTAAAGAAAATGAATAAAAGATTTTTTTAAGTGTTGAAATTTACAAAAACTGGTTAAGTCTATAAAAAGTCAGTTATGTTTTAAAAAACAAAAATTATGTTGATAATTTTTTTCTGCCCCCATATGTTCTTAAAGAAAAAAATAAATCTCACCTCAGTTGCTCCAAACAAAAGCATAACTGTTACTCTGTGGAAGAGACTCCCAAGAGGATACTTCTTCAAGACTAGGGTTAACTGTTATCTACCATACATAAATTAATATGTACTTCTTCCTCCCTTTATGCCCTTACAACCTCATTCAGATACCCTCTACTTTGAGTGTTCTTGGGCACTGTGTTGGGGAAACAATAGAGTGTGTGTGTGTGTGTATATATATATATATATATATATATATATATATATATATATATATATATATAATAAAAAGCCTTGAAGGTGCCTTCAGGCAGACTTTACGCTAACCCCTGCAGGGGAGCTTTTGGGCATTTGGTCTTTTAACTTCAGTGTCCTATGTACATAAAAGTTATAAGAATTTAGAAATAATAAAATTATTTTATCTTTATTTGACAACTTAATTCGGCATAATCTTTCTTCATATATGCAACCAATCTCCATAGTTTGTTTACATTTATTTTGCGTGCAATTTTTATTTTCTTTTAAGATCACCATTCTTTATGATTCCTTCACATAAAAGTCACTCTTAAAAGACATTACGGAATCCGAACTATGTAATATTTTGAATATGTCACAGTATACATGCTAGAAAATGAAAAACAAAAAATGATCAATCTACCATGCCCCACTTAAGTTTTAATTAGATGATATCAATTGCAATTGCAACGAAAAAGCAAAATTAAAGTTAAACCTTTAACAAAGAATTGTTTTTTAAACCTTTCACAGTTTAATATTTAAATTTAACTTTAAAGGATTTATTTAATTTTAATCATGCGTAACTACAGTAGTTAACTATCTGTTGCTTCAGGTTGTTTATGATTCACTGAGATTGAAAAACAGATGGATGGACACATGTACACTGCGCTCTATACACACACACAGAGAATATGTTGCTGAAATGGTGCAGCAATTTGATTTGTTTTCTACAGCTTATCAACTCTTTGCAGGTTACTTACGGACGGAAAGTATCTTAGATTGTAGGAATCTTTTGGGAGATAACAAGGATTCAGTGTTACACGTTTTACTAATTAATCCATAGCTGAGGGGACAAGAGGTGGATTTATACCTTCCCCAAAGGTATTGTGCATAAGTGAATATAACGAACCCAACTAGAATTGGAACTCTGCTCTCTGATTAACAATTCCAAGCCATTATCCATTACACTACCCACACATCCAAGCTTACAGCACCTGGTATTCCTAAGCATTCACCCATCTAGGTACTGATCAGGCTCAAAGTTGCTTAACTTTGAGTGATCATAAGGGAATAGGTGTTTCAATGTGATATGGTCAAGGTGGTGAAGTGATATTCAGTTACACTTTACCTCCAGTGGCTCTTGAGCCTTGTACTGGGAGAGGGGAATAATAGTGTGTGTGTATATATTTATATACACAGACACTATAAGTTGCAGCAAGGTAGTGAGGTGATATTTCTCATAAAGTGTGGATGAGAGTTGAGGATGTTTTTTTTTTCATTTCTGTACAGAAGAGTCCCAAAGACATCTGTGATAACTACCGAGGGATCTCACTGTCATCGGTTTCTGGCAAAATCTTTGTAAGGATACTCTTCAAAGGATTGTTGGATCATGTTGCACCAAACATTCTGCCTAAGTCACAATGTGGCTTTATGTTTAATCAGGGTACAACTGATATGATCTTTATGATGAGACATGTTCAAGAGAAGTACAGAGAGCAACAACTTGATCTCTACCAGTTTTTCAATCTCACCAAAGCTTTTCACACTGTGCATAGGCCAATGCTTTGGAGTATCCTTCTTAAACTAGGGTGTCCTGAAAATTTCACAGGACTCATCAGATGATTTACATGACAACATGAAGACCTGGGTTTGTGTCAACGGTGAACTATTGAACCCATCGCTGTTGACGCTGGTGTTAAGCAAGATGATCTTCTCATTTCTAGTCCATTCATGATCTTCTTTACCATTGTAATCTTGCAGACATTTGCTCATAGCAATGTAAGTATCTATATCAGTAGGCCTCCGTTGGTCAGGGTTGACAATGGGTAGCATCCTAGTTGTCTGCTTGGCTGGGGCATCAACGTCTGTGACTGTAGAGGCTGATGTGGAAATGACAATCTTTGTTGCAGAGCTTGCATGTGTGTTCTGTCTCGGGTCAGTTGGAGCTGTCACTTTGCTTTCTATGGGCCCACCTTTCTGTGATGACTTGTGTCAGCTTCTCCTCCCCTGACTTGAGGTGTTTGGTCAGGGTTCCTCCATTTGGATTGTATGGCTGCCAGGCTCTCCCAGGACTCTGTTGATGACCACAGCTTTCATGTTGCGCTTCATGACATTGTGGTACTGCAGCTGTGGCTACCCAGCAGGTCCCCTTCCAGAGGCCAGCTCTACATACAGGAGAGTCTTTGGGGATGTGTCTGTCTGGCGTGCAGAGGACATAGCCCAACCAATGGAGTCTGTGCTGTCTGAGCAGTGTGAACATGCTGGGCAGACCTGCTCGAGACAGGACTTGAGTGTTGGGCACCTTGTCTTGCTGCACTATTGCAGTAGATGCTTCTCATATGAAGCGTTCAGATGCCTTTCTTGCCTGGTGTATGTGGTCCAAGCCCCACTGCCATATAGCAGAGTGCTGATGAAACAGACATTATACACTATCATCTTGGTCTTTACTGTCAGCTTCAGATTGGTCCACATGCATGTTGTGAGGCGTATAAGGGTTGTGACTGCTTTCCTGATTCTCTTGTTAATCTTTGTGTCTAAGGAGAGGTTGTCTGTGATAGTGGAGCCAAGGTACGTGAGCTGATGAACCACATTGAGCTCATAGTCGTCAATGGTGTCCCAGGATGTTTGTCTTTTTCAGGTTGATGGTCAGCCCAAAGTCTCTGCAGGCCTGGGAGAAGTTAACACTTGCACACTGCAGCTCCTGATGGACTGCTTCTCTGCCATGTGTGATGAATTCAGGGTAAAAATTAATCTTAACTTTTAGCACTCTGCATTATAATTATTACTTCCCTTTCCACAACATTCTTTTTCAAGGCCTCAATTGCAATATCCTTATTGTCAATTTCACTGTTGCCATAGCAGGATATGACAACACAACTATGAAATTCAAGGATGGAATATTTTCAAGGATGAAATATTTTAACTGTTAAATAAAAAATAGTTTGTTCCATGTATGTATTTATATAATGTTTTCATTTTTCAAAACACAGTCAAGATGTTCATAGTTGATATCATTGTGTGCTGGTTATTTTGATTTTATTAATAAGGCTTCCATTATTTTTAGCCTTTTTTTTGCATGTAGATGATGCTATTATATTTGTGTTGTCAACAATATGTTACAAATAGGGCTCGGTAAGTCTTCATGTGTATTTAAATGTGATCTAATTGAGCTACGATTAGAAAGAGTGAGTCTTCATGTCAAACATGTTGTAGTATGGCCTATACAATTTACAAATTTTGATTGATCAGGAATACAATTCCATAATGGGCAATTAAATTTAGTGCTTTTGGCTATACATTTAGCCATTTTCAATGGCTAAATAGCTGAAAAGTGAAAACACTCAGTAAAAAAGAACATTTGGACAGTTTTTATATAATTTATCATCTGAAAAGAAAAAAATTAATAGATCATATGAGAAATTGTATAAAAAAACTAAATCAAAGTACCTTATCTGTCATATTAAATTAAATGAAATGTTCATAAAAGAAGAATTGCTGCCTAAATACAAATATATATATATATAGAGAGAGAGACACACACATACACATTATTACATAATAACAATACATTTCATTTTAAAACAGCAATACTTAAATACACTGGTCCTCTCAAAAAGTAAAGAAAACTGCATGTCAAAAAGTCAGGGATCAATTTGATGTATTTATATTGTAAACAGGATCTTCATCTAAAATAACAGAAAATTATTGTTTTTCGATTCTGACAAATTGCCTCAGTAGAGGAAATTCTTCTGAATGCTAGACAACAAAAGTTAGTCATGAAAATGTTTTTTATCTAATTAATTAATATTCGTGTCAGAAAGTGAAGGCTTGTTTTGATTTGACATTTACTGTACATATTGTAATATAAACAAGTCTAAAACTCACAGAAAAATAATATTTTGTTATTCTAGTCTTTAATATGTTTTTTTTTAACTGTAATAACGATTTGAGTCGACCTTAGTACAGTTTATTTATTCAGAGCTTCAAATAAAGAAAAAAAAATCATTATTATTTTCAAAATATTCTGCCAATAAAGTCTTAACTAAATTAGTTTTATAATTTTCTCCACAGATCGACTTAAACCACTCCTGCTGAAACAGAGTGGTCAAAAGCCCTCCGAGGCTCAACCTTCATCAAGTTCTCATCATCCAACAGAAAGTCATCACCATCACAAAATTCAAAATAAAATAAAGATCTCTACATTGAAGTCATGGAATGTCTTGGCTGGGTTGGGTCAGCGAAGATAATATCTTTGTTGATTAAGTATTGTGCACTATTTGCAGAAAGGTACAGGCCAACCGCCAAACTAAGTCCAAAGCTGCTTTCTTACCTAGGTGTTGATGCTTTTTAGTTTTATTAAACTAAAGGAACTTTCAATGTGAAAAAAGACACAGCAATGGCAAATTAACAAATAAAAAACAAACTTTGCAAATTCTAAAAAAAAAAAAAAAAAAAAAAAATTGCCATGGTGCCCTCATTTTTAAGGGGTCCACCAAAGTAATTTTTGCTTGCCTTAGGCTAAAATCTTATCCATATAGTTTAGCAAATAGAGTTAAAACAGCTTGGTTTCAATAAAGAGGTTAAACAACAAACAATAGGTGGCTGCGTCAACCTATGCACAAAACTATTATTTTTTTTTTTAACTATAGATCAACCTTACAATAGTATTTTTATTATTAGTTCTATTTTCATACTTTTGAAATGCAAATTTCGCAGAAGGAACTCATAAAATCGGTTAGGATTGAAGTCAGTTTTCAATGCAAATAAAGGGTTTTTTTTGTTTTTTTTTTACAAGTGTAGAGAAAGAATTTAAATGTCTAGTAGTGAGTACAATTACAATTCTAGGGCAATCATATTTTCTTTTTTTTTAAAAGAACCAAGAGACCTGAAGTTCATTTATGAGGCCATGTCGGCTACCACATGTTTGAGGAGGAAAAACAATCTATTCAAACTTCTAAAAAGATCTTAGTTCGTCTTATACTAATAAATTACTTGATAACCAAAGAGAGGCAATATTTGAAATAATGAAGAGAAAATGAGACACTAATGAATTAAAAAAAAATTCATTCAATATTTTAACAACGGAAAAAAAAACACAAACACGTTTTTGTTTGTTGAACAAAAATGGAAAGAAAATGAGACTAACGTCATGCTCTGAGCTAATGACGAAACATTAGCAAGTTGTGATCGTCCCGGAGTTCTGTATCCTCCTTGTCTGGGAGAAAAAACATTCTCATTAAAACGTGAGGTCGGTATCTTTCGACGAAGGTGCATCGCCGACATGATGAAAAAGAAAAGTTTAGAAACCGACCAGCAGCAAATAAAAAATTGTATCTGCCGGTAGTCCGACAGTTAATGCGGGAAGCGGGGGAGCAAATGTAAAAGCTAACACGAGTTGCGTAATGCCGAAACGAATAAAACGAAATAAAAAACATTTTTTTTTTTAAACAAAAACCTTTTCATTTTTTGTCTTGCGCAATAGTTTTTACGCTTACAAAATTTACAAATTTTCTTTATAAAAAATGAAAGACTACATTAATTAGAAAAAATATGATTATTCAAATCTACTTTTTTCATAATTTTTTCGTAAAGATAAAGAAAAATGACATTACTGGTCTTTGACGTTTAGTTCTTTCTAGTTATTGAAAATTTATTTTAAATCAATCGTTTTTTTTCTCATCTTATTATAAAATTTCAGCACATCGATAGACAATTTTTTTTCACTCAGCTATGTCACTATTTAAAAACTGGAAATAGCGATCGTTTTTCGTTTTGCCGTTACATTTCGCGCAGTACCCAAGTACTCTGTTAACAAATTTAAAATTAATTTTATCGCACTATAGGAACATTTAAAAAAAAAAAATCTTTTTTATTTTTTTACATAAGAAAAATCGAAGAATATAAATTAGTTAGAATATTTGAATTCACCATTTAAAAACGGGAGATTAACTGAAGCAATGTCAACATTAGCATTCCATTTATTGACAATTTGCGATGAAAAAGCTGAAAAAGAACGTAAATTTTGGGAGCCTATTTCTATATATATATTGAATGAAATAATTAATATTGGCTCGACTACCGTTTGTCGGGCACACTTCGGAAAAGCAGTATCAAATTATTGCTCTCAAAGTAAACTTTTTTTTTTAAAAATGAAAGAAATTAAATGAAATTTTCTATGGCGAGCGTAAGAACTATTTTTTCCGAGCATGATTATAAATTTATTTTGTCATTGTTATTTAGGAAATTTAATTCAAGTTTTCATGTAAAAAATTAATAAGCTGACAATAATTCAATTGTTTTGGCTATCGCCACTTTAAGCGGGCGAAAAAACACTTACACACTGAGTACCAGTTGAAGTTGAAACTAACAATTGAATTAAATAAAAAAAAATTAGTTAACACTAAAACAGTAACACATGAAATATCTCAAAGATCTGCACAAAACTTAAAACACGAATAATTATTGCGTTTTTATTTGGAATAATGGGCAACAAACAAGTAATGATTTCGATCCTTACTGGGTGTCCTAAACTTGTGGCTTAACTAGCAACCTTAGTCAAAAAAAAAAAATTTGTAAATAACAAAGAGTTACATCCCTTGAAACCATTATTGTGCTCTCAGCACAAGTGTTCAGTTCTTCTTGACATGATATTTTTTAGGAAGTTGTGGAGAACCATCATCTTCAATGTCCTGAAGAGATGCAGCACATGGATAAGAAGTTATATTGATATCACAATAATATATATAGACCACAACAATTTGTAAAACCAGAAGTGTAGCTCCTCAGTCAATTCAGTTATGTGTGGATGTATATTGTAAAACTATCCCCTGAATAAAGTTTCATTATGATTGTAAATAGAAATATAGAAATTTTACGATCATAGATCCATAGACTCCCTTAGAAACAGATTCACAAACAAGGGCCCATGGATCTACAAACCTATTTTTTTTTTATATATTAATGTTCACCCTGTACAAGGCCCAGAGGCCACTATAAACGTTATTTTTAGTGGGTACACATGTTTGAGTTGCTATCTCTGTTTTTTTTTTATTTTATTAAACAATGAAATTAATAACAACTGGGCAAAACTGAGAAGATCTATTAAAAAATTCAGCCTTTGACAGGAATCAAACTTGCATCCTTTTTTCCATCAGGGCAGTGACATAGAGGTTTGGTGATGTCCAGGGCCAACTCCTTGATTGTATGCTCCTAAGACTCAAGTAGGAGGACATATGTGAGACATATTTTAAATATGTAAAAACAGATGAAACATGAAATAAATACTTTATTCAAATTAAATATAAACTAAATTTTTATTTCATTCTTTGATTGGATACTCTTCTTATATGGATATCTGGAGTTGTCGCACCCTCTCCCCCACTTGTGCACAGTACTGTGTCAGGGAAACCACTTTTTCAGCCAAAGTGTTCTTCTACCAGTTCAGCCATGGAGACCATCCAGATAGGGAAAGTTTGAATTAACTATTTAACAAAAGCATGTTTCTTGTTGTGACTTCTGCTAGTTTCAGTTTTGTACCTGAAATGTAAATAACTGTAATTTTTTGAAAAGATGTTTTATCTAACATTATTTTTTATTACTATAAAAGTTACTGTGGATTTGCAAATGTGTCTGTGTGCATGTGCATATGTGATTTGTTTAAATATATCTATCAAAATAATTTCTTTTCTTATTTGTTTCTTTTCTTATTTGACAATGAATCAAGGAGAAATGTTATTGTGGTATAAAAAAGAATAAGCAGTTGAACCCTGAAAGAGCCAATTTTATAAAGCAAAGAGGCACAGTCAATAAAATAGGAACAACATAGTAACCAATGCGGATCAAATAAGGTGCCAAAATATTATATGGAAGAGGATGAAGAGCTTCCAATAGGCACTTCCATTTATGATTGTGTAGAGCAGTGCTTCCCAATCTTTTTTCAACCAACAATGAAGCTTGACCCTACAGAATGAAATACATAAAGACATGGTTATGAATGATAGTGGCAGACTGGCCAGGGTGTCAGCTTACCTGGTGGTAACTGGACCCTTGATGGAGTGGCCTCTTTTGTCAAATGAAAATGCAATAAAGAAACAAATGCAGACAACTGTTCTGGTAATAAAACAGACACTGCACACTATCAGTTACTCAAGTTCAATATGAGAAGATATTTTCAAAGCTAAAGATCATAAAGACAAGGTTAAGGAATTCACTGTCTGAAGAGAATTTGGAATCATACATGTTGCTATTCATTGAAAAGGAATTGTAAGATGAATTGGATACAGAAGCAATTATTGGCAGATTTGCACAATCATCTATTGAACACAAACAATTGCTCTTAATATTGCCCGAACTGCATGCAGCACTGTTGTGTTTTTTAACTATCTGTTAATGTCTAAATTGTGCAGTAAACTATTTAAAAATACTAATTACTTAAGAATAAAAAAAAAAGAAGGTAAATTATAATATTCTGTATTTACATTTGGTATCTACTACCAGTAATATATACAGTACATGTACACAGTAATTACTAAGAAAGGTTTCTTCTCCACAAAAATTTTAATTGTACCCTTTTTTCATGTGTTGTGATAAAGTAATTAGGAGTAATCTCCCTTGTTTTATGATTATCTCCCTTTGGAGAACTCTTTCATTTGTAGAGGATTATAAAACTTCCTTAAGCCTACTCTTGCTCTCTTTTGCTATTATATGTGTATTTTTAAAAATGTTATTTATTTGTTATAAAAATTAAACCTTAAGCATTCAACACACTCAAACCTATCCTGTAAATATCGGCTATCAAAGTCTCACTTTTTGCATGACTTTCTGCCTTATTTCTGATGTCATCATATATTATGGTAGATTATACACGGAGTGGGTTATGGCTTTTTGAACACTGAGAGCTGATAATTTATGGAGTGGGTTTAGGCAGGTTGAAGGCTAAAGTGTTAAATGATAGCATTGTAGTTGTGGATGGGCCACCTTTGTCTCCTGACAACCAGTATTTTTAGACCCTGTGCCCTGATGGTTGATCAACAAGGCCAAGAGTATTCTGAAACATCTTTTGAAGATATCACAATGGAGGAATGTACTAAGTACAACAGGGGATGAGCAAAATTGAGATCCCCCAAGAGAAAAAAAATGAATCAAGATCTCAGGAGAGGGGAAGAAAAGGAAAGCAAAGAAATTCTCAAAAGGAAACAATGGATAGAAGTAGCACAAGAGGTACATGGGTCATAAAATTCCTTTGTTTCGGGCAGATGTCATTAGTTCTCAACTCTGTATCAATGCTGATGACACAGCTGCCTTACTGATTAGTTCGATAGGGTCAAATTGATAGCTGATCTCAAAAATAACCTATTGTAGGGATACAGAAGGTGATTATCCCCCATTGGTGGAGATAAGTCACATGAGACATGTGATGACTGCGTAGTGACTTCACTTCATACTGTGATGAAAGTGATTAGTCATTCAGTCAGTAAGTTTATTGGTGCCAAGAACAAACATGGGTATCAAGGCACATGTGTTTGCTAATCCAGTCTGGGTTTTTGCTAAATGCTAAAGTCCATGGTGCCACATCCTTTTGGGAATATATCTCCTCCAGATACAAGAAGAAACTCTGGCATACAGTCCTCAATTTGGAAAAAGCCAAGATTCGTCATTTCCTCTTCATGGAATATGTCCTCACCTGGGAGATAATAGATTAATTCAGCCCAATTAAATTTGGAGTGCTAAACATGGCTTCTCCAGAAACACAGAAGAATCTCCATATTGTATATATAAGACCCTTCTTTTTTGCTTCTCCTTACACTCTGTTTTGTAGTGTAGATATATGATATATTGTTCTCAGTTTTGGATGTATGCAACTAAGTATATATAGTTTTGTATATGTTTGTAAATATGTACATGTAGTTTTGTGGTATAAAATTCTTCCTGAGAACAAAGCATGTTTGTCATTCCTTTTTCTTTCAGACATTCCATTTTGTCCGTGATATATAGTGTTATTATATCATGGATACAACAATGCCCATAAAGGGTGAAATAAATTGGAGAATAAACCTTTTTTTCCATAGCTCTCTCCTGTTATACTACAATGTGTTGTTAACTGGGGCAAGAAATAGCTTCTCTATTTTAATGTTTCTAAAATGAAACCACTCTCTTTTAGTTGTCTTAGAGAACCATTGTTGCCTTGCATCTGTATGGCTGATATTAACCTCCAGGAGAATGAATCATTGTTACTTATCAGGTTAATATTTTCTGATAATATGAAGCAGAAAGAT